TTTATTTTTAACAATGTTTTAAATATAACTTTGATACCGCGATACAAAATATTCCTTAACCTTCTCTTCAACTCTTAGTTTGTGTGACAAGTTTTCAACAGTTCCGAAAAGTTTTATTCCTTTAACGTTCAAAGGTAACTTACAGCAAGCCTTGGCCTTAGTTTCAGCCCATAGTGCTGTGTGGTTTAACGATATGAGCACCTCGGCCTAAACACTAACGGGTCTGTGTCTGTAGATGCCTTGTTGAGGTCTGTTTATTATTATTGCACATGTAAAAGGTTTTCTGGGGGGGGGGGAGGTGCTTTAGTAATAATATACCATACTAAGCCTTGGCTACCAGACCTTGGTCAGATGGAAGTGGCTAAGGCCGAGGGACATATATTTTCAACCCTTAAGCCCCGTGTGTGTGTGTGTGTGTGTGTGGTTGGCTGTAGCACCACACCCAACAGCCACACTCCTCGACTTGTCTTCCTTTGTCCCGCGAGTATGAAGGTGGAAGACTTACCTCCTCCTCCTCCCTTGTTTTGCTCGGCTCTATTCTTCTGTTGTTGAAGATCCTAGAATTCTGGTAGAGCTGTTGCCACTGGAGACGTGAAGCAGTTACCTCTCCCCTAGTCAATGTTCTCAAGATACCAGGCAGAATTTTGATGGTGAACTGATCGCTGGATATTAAGACAGGATTATCTCCCACGTGTAAACAGAGACAGTTCTTCTGCCGCTAAAAGTGACAGGTAAAGTTCTGTTTAGCGCCGAGACCAAGCCGAGTCTCCCGCTTTATTAACAACAGTTGTGACATTCACTGTACTCAATAGAAGGGAATTGTTCACGTGTTATGTTACAAGATATTTATGTCCGTTATTATGGTTGACAGTTACGCCACGATAGTTAGTTGTAGAGTTGACAACCAGTGTAATTTAAAGTCAGATTTGTCAACCACAGAGAAAACGTTAATTTTTACAGCGAATAGAATGTTATTGTTTCTTTTTTTTTAATTCACTTATGGCCGCCACTTCCTCAACAGAAATCTAAGTGTGAATTTCTGTATTTACAAACCACGATGAATCAACTGCAGCATCACTTGTAGTTGAGGCAGTCCATATACAAGGTACAGCGTTACGCTTAGTGGTTCGCACACGATTCTTATTTGCATTTTAGAACAAGTTGAAGTGTCGGCTAGAAGAGGAAAGGTTCTATAATGCTTCAACCGATAACCGAACACTTTACTTCAGCAGAGTGGGATGTTAATGGTACGTCAACAACACTAATGCATCTTTATCAAGTCACTCACCACTCAACCACTTATCTTAGTAGTGAACTTTTACCAATATTGCTCACCAAAAATCTCTTATGGGTAATAATGACAAGTTCTGAAGTCGAATCTCCTCCACAAACACAACAAAAATGTTATAGTTTTCAAGTTGGACAAAGATCGATACCCACACGACTCTGTCTAACTCTCCCTCCCTTTCTCTCCTCTCTTTATCCTTATCCTTGCACAGCCTCTCAATGCAACCACCAAGGATTACATGTAAATTTTGATCCTTCAGCGAGTCCTTTTGATGTCCTGGGCTGTCAGCTGCTCCTTTTCTTGCAGGATCTGTCAAAAGTTTCTTCAGACGCTCCCCGCTATTTTCACTATAAGAATTACCTCCGTCATCCTGTGGCTTAAGAACCTTACGTGCATATTTTTTTTTTTTACATGCTTTTGTTATTTGACTTTGTTGCTTTTTGAGGAACCTGAATTTTTCTGTAGGTAGATTTTGTAATCTATTTATTTATTTTTTAGGTTTAAGAATCGATATCCATAATTTTCTTCTCATTTGGCGTCTTGTTCACGATTTTGGGGATGTGAGAATCAGATTTTTTTTAACTTGTGTTTTATACTTTTATTTTTCTTTATCTCTTTTGGGAATAATAATTTGTCTATCTTTTCTTTATATTATTTAACACTCGGTCTTTCAGTTTTTTTCAGTATAAGAATCGATTTTGTTTAACTTTTTTTTTTCTTTTTCTTTGCTATTTAGCGTTTTGTAGTCCAACAGATTTTTCTTACGTTTGAAAATAACAAATTCCTTTAGTCATCTTTTCTGTTATTTCCCTCCGCTGTCTTCAACTTCTTTGCAATCTAGTGAATTTTAGCCACACAGTCCTCAAATAAATTCAACACGTGGTTCAGACTTCTTGCTAAAACAGAACAACGGGAGAGCAGCCAGTCTCAACAGATAGTCAACAGTAAGATCAGACAACGGGATAACAACATTCACTACAGCTTGTTATCAAGACCATCAAGGTGGCGCTATTATTGGTCGAAGCAAGTTGATTATCTAATGTCAGTCTAGAATTTAAGTTGCTTGTCCTACACACACACACACAGGCTGAGAAACCAATTTCGGCTCCGACAAATACCAAAGAGGCCAATTTCGGCGTCTTATTACGAGGCTAAATTTGTTATAATTTAAGAACCCAGGGGAGATTTATTTTTTGGTTTAATGAAGTGAACGATTTTAGTCTTGCCTTCGACGTAAAAAACCTGAAATAAGTGGGGGGGTTTTTCTGGGTTTAATTTAATGGTATTTTTCTGAGCACAATTCAAGAAGGGTTTTTTATGATTCAATTCAACGGGTTTTGGTAGTTTATAAACCACAGTTCATTAGCGTCTGTCTGTTCAAGTGGTTGGTCTTGTTTTAAAGGGATTTGTCTTCCTCTTGGTACAGTTTATCACGTTTTGTCTATATCCCTCTTTACTCTCGCCTCCTTTGTCCTGTTGCGTCGGGCGGGTGTGGCAGTTTATCATTCACGTCTCCCTAACATTAATCTATCACATATTGTTTCACTTATGTGTTTTATTTTACGTTCATATGTCAAGTATTTTCTCTAATATAAGCTAGACCATGAAAGTATTGTCACAAGGGGGTTTAGTATATAAATATTTACGTTATATTCTGAACATATTGTAATGTTTCACGTAGAAAAAAAACAGCATGTGTATTAATTTAGCACAACTTGTATGTCAATTGGCCTACAGGCACACCTTCTGGTTACCATTTATCAAAATATTAAGTTAAGTTCACGAGAATCAGTAACTCCTCAAAACACACTGTAAACTCACTTAATGGGGCAATTTTACCAGAGTACTTTAGCCGTCTTTTTGTAGTGCATGGTTCTCGTAGGAGTAGGTGAGGGAGGACACACTGTAGGAGGCGAGGATGGGGGAGGAGGAGGAGGGTGTCCCACGGCCTCACTCACATGTTGCTTCAGCCCCCACCTGTAGAGCCACCAGCCCGGCCGCCTCGCTCACACACACTCCTCCACGCTAGTTATTGCTTCTCTTACTGATGATCCAGTTTATTGTTTCTTGCTTCAAATGAACTTCCGAGATATATTGGCTGATTTGATAATTAACGAGAAACTTTTTTTTAATAGGGCGGATGACAACTCCCTCCTGTTAAAGCCCGTCGACGTCACCAGCCAACTGCCGAAGACTCCGCTGGTCTTTACCTTCGTCCACCCAAAATTTCGTACTGCGATTCGTGTCCTGTCTAGCTATTCTATACGTTCTTATATAGCTGATATACTCAATATACATAAAAACTTGAAGGATTTTATATATTTCTTTTTCGTGGTATTCGCAGTCACTCTTCTCAAAATATTCGTATAATTTTGATTTTTGATGCGCACGTACGTCTGGCAAGCGTAGGTACTAGCTTAGGAGGATCGATGGGCAGCGGCTGATCAAAAGCTTGGGTCGGGGCGAGAAGTGATGCCATTACTAACAATACTTCTTCTGGATAACGAGAAACTCCACCTCCTACACACATTACTTTTCCCCTAACTTAACCTAACCCAAAGCTAAATTCAAATAACTTCAGATTCATTCCCTATTCATGCAAAATTACCAGTCTGCCATGAAGTTACACAAACAACAAGAATCTGCTAACCATGTCATCTTATCTAGAATTATATCATGATACTCAGAAAATTAGAATATGGGAATTACTATTTACTTAATAGAACAAAGAGGAGTGTCCCAAGTAGTTAATTACAGTAGAAGCAATATTTAACTAGGTTTTCCATTGTATTCACCTGATTATTCTATTGTATTAATTTGACCTTTGTTGTGTTCATCAAATGTTTAGTACTTACCCATTTGGGGAGTATTATACATAATTGAATAGGTTACTGTATATGCAATACTTAATTCCATTCAATTTTATTACAATTAGCAATTATTTCGTGGTAAAAATTTATAATACAGTACTTCATGCCATAGCGTGGTCCTCTGCTGATTGGTCCCATACCAATAAACTTATGTGTGATAATCTTCCTACGTCCAACAGATGGTTAATTCCAAGTCATTGTTTTTCTTGAGGGTTTGGTCAATGGCACCTTCACCAAATCAGATCATGACAAGTTTATATCACATGACCTATAATTAATGCATGTGGAGGGTCAGCTGGCCAGTCTGTCACGAGTGTATGTTTAGTGTCATCAGCTTTGCCGTTTGTGGTCTATGACCTTTACGAGCTGTGTGGTGCTATGCGATTGTTTGTCACATTCCTCATCTATGTTGATTATTGGACCATCTGAGGGGTTAATCACCAGGATTAAGAACCCTCGCTTACTTAACCAGTCACCACCCTAATGCTACGTACCCAAACTTAACCCCCCCCCCCCTTAGATTGAGGGTTTTAATCGTCAGTTAATACCAATACAAGGTAGGAGTCACACTACTGCTTGCACAAGTCCAAACAGCCAGTTCAACAATCCTCTAACACCACACACTATATCATAAGGACCCAGCAAGAATCAAACTTTGCAAAGATCATTAGAATGGCACATCTCAAGCCACATTTTCACACATTAAAAATATTTCCCAGGTTATATTGAATAGATCTTGTCAGCATTAATTAAATCCAATACAGTCTACCAACAAATTTTGGAAACTAATATAACTACCGATAGTCATAAGCAAGTAGGTTATCAAAGGGAAAAACTACACATTCACACCACCACACTTTATTACATGCAGGAAATACAGTCAGTAACATGTAAAGTGGTTGGTCCTTGTACAATACTTGGAATGTTATCGGGAATGTACTTTATCGTGTTCTCGTACTAACAATATTGGCCATGTTCTCCTGAGTAATAGCGTGGTGGTGGGGAGTTCAGGGATCTCTCTACTCTTCTGGGACTTCGACGCTGCCCTCATCAATGCCTTCAATAATGTCGTGGGGGTTCTGGCCCTCAACGGTGCAACCGATGCTCTGAAAAAGTAAAAAGATTTCAGTCACTCAGGTCACTTTAAAAACATTAGTCATGACTCATTCTTGGCAAGTTACCTTCCTTAACCTTACCTGTAAAGATAAACCTGGTAGTACTTTATGTCCTCAAGATTGGGAACCCCATTTATTTCACTTAGGAAGATTTATCAAGCAATAGGTTCAAAATCTTCATCAGATCCCAAAAAGTGACAACTGAAATTTGTTATGTACACCTCAAGACAATTACCCCCCTCCCTCCTAAATTTTCAAGACAGGATTTTATTATCAATAGCCATGAAAGACTCTTGGAGTACAGGGAAGACTGAACTTGCCTTTGTTAGAGGTTTAAAAGGAAATACTTTATTTAAAATACAGTACTAGTGGTTTGTCAACACACTGCATTTCAATATATTGCTACAATCACTGAATATGTGAAATGAAGAGACCAAAATCCAAGAATTTATTAATAAAATATATTGTCCTATTTGTTTAGTAATTCAGTGCTGGGTAACAATAATAAAATAATAGCTAAGGGTCAGTTGTACACCATTCTATAAAATTATTATACATAATCTGTCGGTAACTAAATATTAATGTAGTGTAACTTTTGTAGAATCCTTGGGTAATGCCGAGCCAGCCAATATGCTACGACTCGGCGACCTAGAGGATTCATATATTCTTGGCTCCCTACTGACTCCATCTACACTTTGTGAATGAAGTATTTTTTAAGCCTTTTCATATATTGCATGGAGAAAAAAATAAAAAGCCACAATCTCTCCTTGGTGTGTGTGTGTGTGTGTGTGTGTGTGTGTGTGTGTGCGCGTGTGTGTGTGTGCGTATAGATTAAAAAAATACATTTAGCACCAAGAAACATTACCTGTGCTGTTCCCAAGACCTCCTTGAGGGTACCACTCAGAGCCTTGGCCTGGGATCGGGGCCTCATTGTTCGGGCAATTTCAAGCATCTGGTCGAGGGTCAGGTTACCAGTGTGCTTAACTGTGGAAATAATAAACTAATCTTAGAAACGTTAATATTAGCTTCTTGTGGTGTGGATCAAAGCTAACAGCACTGCATGTACATAATCTGCCACTAATGAAAGCTCAAGAAAAAAAATCTATTCTGATAAGGATAAACTCCCAAGCCATGTCATTTTTAAATCTTATTGAAGACTAAAAGATATTAATTAAGAGTACTGTATATATAATCCTTATTTTACTGATGACTAACAATATATATAATCCATATTTAGTGAGGACAACAAAAAAGTAATTGAATTTAATCCAGATTCCTGTTTACGTGCTTTAAGTCGAACAACTGTACAGTACTGTACTCGGCCCAAGTTTGAACCGCAGGACAAATCTTTGAAGAGTTTAACGAAGAATAATTCCACCATGAAGAACAGAATACTTTAAGTTCTGTACAAAAAATTGAGAAAAACACACACGACTAAAATTTAAAGTGAGGTTCAAGTTTTTTATTCATTTACTGTAAATCCCGAAGGCATTAAAAAATCTTGCTGGCCATCACACAAATTAAGTCATTATGCTAACATTACTCAGTGACATAAACGTCAAGTTTGACTGTTCAGATGACAGCCTTTATTACCAGGAGTTAATTAAGTTGTACCAGTGATGCCCCCATGAACTACGATACTCTAGAAAAATAGAAGAAATACCTGTGGATCCTTGTTAAGGACCAATTCACATCTGCACGGCATGTAAACTTTCTATAGGCACCTCCTACATGTTGATGTAGTCACTTTTACAGTATATGGAATCTACTGTACTTTCAAAATAGCAGTGGTGGTTTATTTAATGCAAACCTTCCATTCAATTTATAAACAAAATTACCACTACTAATCGTGCATTACATCACCTACACCTGTGAGACCTTTTGTACACTAACCACTTGGTCAGTCACGGCCGAGTCAATACAGTACAGGACTGTACACAATTTTCAGCAATGTGAAACCGAACAACAAGTTAAACTCCCAACAAACTCTCAGATGATAGACAGACGAGTAATACTACCATACCAGACCTTTTTGCCGAGGAACAATGACAAAGCCGAGGGTCTTACAACCACTCTGATCAACACACACCACCCTTAACCTGACCCCCATCAATGAACATTACTGCCAAATATTGTAACAAGACTGAAAATAATACAAGCGACAGAAGGCACTTACTATGCTTGACCTTCTTGCGGTCACGTGGAGGTTCCTTGAGGGCCTTGATCACCAGAGAGGCAGCAGATGGGACCACCTCAACACGAGCCTGACGGTTCTGGATGATGAGCTTCACTGTTACCTTCAGTCCCTTCCAGTCTCCTGTGGCCTTCATGATGTCGTCACCAACCTTCTTTGGGGACAGACCCAGGGGACCAATTTTGGGGGCAAGAGAAGAGGTGGCAGCCATTTCTCCTCCAACACACCGCAGACATACTGAAGATAGAGAAACTCTGTCAGTAAAGACACCACAGGTCATATCCCACATTAGTGGTTACAACAGGTTCTAGAAATAATGATTTTGGAGCTGGATTTAAATTTGTCTTAAGTTAATACAATTTATTGTTAGGCCAAGTACAACCAAAAAGAGTTATGAAAAGCTTCATTCATAATCAGTAATTAACTTAGGAAAACCAAAATATTTTCCTAATAACCATTTAATCCTAACATTAAGAGCTTTATTTCTATTGAACTAAACCCAAGCTCTGTTATTTAGTGAAGTAGCAATAATGTGACCACCAGCACAGTATATCTGCTACCAAAACTTCCCCAAACAGGTCGTCTACTTAAACAAGATCCACCACCCCATGTGCTCCAGCTAGTCGAGGAATTTATAGTCAGCCTCAACAGACTTCTCACAGGGAATGTAGTAACTCTGGGTAATGCTGGAGAAGTATTTAAAATGCCAACCCAGCGACCATGAGATACACTTACTCTAGGCCCCCTACTGTACCCTCAACAACACATGGTAGAAGGAGTATCTTTGATGGCCCCATAAAATGGTACGTCCGCCTAATTTACTTACAAACACCTATTGCTAAAATAACATGATTGTTGCTACAGTTTTGCTAAAACTAAGTCCGCCAATTAGTACTGGCAGTATAAGGTAGGGTTCCTTTCCCCAAAAACTGAAGCCCAAATTGTCTAGTTGGAGAGCAGCCATTTCAATATAATCAGCAACAAATACCCTAATAAAATTTCCAGGACTTTTAATGATAGCAAATGCCTTAGCTGAATAACAACAACACATGCTTTTACTTTTTTCAAGATTGATATCAATAAAAATCATGGGTTTGTGTTCATGCCATCAGACCAAACATGAATGGTAGTCGTGAGTTATATGAAATTAAAACATATCCTGGAACCACAAACAGCAAGTGTTAAAAGGTTAGGAACCTCTGCTTACATCACCCGATGACTAAAACACCCTAATGCTAAATGACAGGGTTTGGTCACCTCAGGTTAGATTAGGTTAGGCAAGGTTGCTATTTTTTTTTAACCATACAATAAATTTTGGGGGGCATTGTTAGGTTTGACTATGTTGAGGTTCTGCGCTTCTCATACGGATTTATTACCATCGTCCAAATAACATCCCTGGTGTTGGCCATCGTCACTAACTTTATAATTATTACTCTTATATTTAACAGATGTAAACTACTGAGCGTCATTGTTGACATTCAGCAAGACCAGAAACTGAGAAGTACTGTTAAATGAACCACAATATTCATGCCTAGTTATTGTGTTATCCTCAGGGTTCTATTTGATTTACTACATGACAATTGTTTATACCATTTTTTTTTTACTGTACAGTACATGTGAAATGTTCCAACTAAAACTAACTTGCAAAATCTTGAGTTTCATCTTAACATTATAATATTTAGGTTCGGTAATTTTGTTCACACTGGATGCAGATGGCAGCAAATAGCGCAAAATGCTGTAGTTAGGTTAGCATACATCTTTCTCATACAGCAGCCATACCTACATATTGGTTGGTTTATTTGGTTAACTTTATGAATTATAAACTATATATGTAATGCCTTCTGATACTAAAGACACTCTTTACATACAGGACTACCTTACAGTTTAATATTTGGTTAATATATAGGACTAGCCCACCGGGCTGCATAGCTCTGATGCAGCCATATCATCTCGCGTCCAGAAATGCCTAAAATTTCACCATATCATTGTAAGTTCTTTCTGTATAATATACCAGTGAAGTTAGGTAAGGTTAGGTAGGTTTGTTTGGTAGGTTTGTTTGTTTGGTTAGGTTTATTTTTCATAACCACAATGTTAAGTAGCGTTTATTTTAAAAAAACGCTTTTTTAATCATTTCCACAAACTACAAGTGTCCATTATAATATAACAATGAAAATCCGGCGTTTATATAATTGTTTTCAATCAATTTCGCCTGCGGGTTAGTCCTATATAATTACCTAATATCTTAGTTATTTTTAGTGAAACACGATGTAAAGCACATGGTACTGGGGAAAATATAAATTAAGATTCCTACTGTGTTTTTCTGATTCAAATAAACATTTAACATTTGTTTTAATCAAGAACACTCCGCTTCAACCTCCAATGATTGTACTGGTTTAATATTTAGCTCTCCATCCTGACAACAGTTGAACATTGGCTGGCCAACTATAACATTACAGTACTTACAGCACCAGATCAAGAAGCTACCTGTGTCCAGATGGCAAAATCGTGCTAGTAATCACCCTACGCATGGCACTTCTACCTGCGATATATATCACCCAAACATAGGGCTTCATATCTGGCTATCCCAGGTGTCTATGTGTAAAAAGCGAAGATTAATATTAGAGGCCTACTAAACGTGGATGACTGTACCCACTGGTTTCATTCCACTAACCCAAAATATTTAGTGCACTTAGAAATACGCACAATAAAATACAACACAACTCTAGATCTCATCACTGTACACCTGTATTCGAGTGACTTGTGTTGGATTTCAAGTGAATAAACATATATTTCTGCAAACAACACGGTACTATGATGAGAAATATTGAAACCCGTCAAATTCTAACAACAATTAAAGTTTAAGCGGATTAGTTATAACGAAAGAAAACGCTATATTAACATTATTAACAAGACATCCAATCAGACAAAATAAATAACCACACATTAAAATATAACACAACATTACCTTCCACAACTGAAGGGCCGAAACCCACATGTCACACCCTCTCATGTATCGTAATATAACATTAACACAATACGTTTACCGGTCTTGATCTCTGTAGGATCGAACTTGGCAGGCATTATGGCGGGTTATAAGCACACTCGCGGATAAATGCCAGAGGATAGGTGGTGGATGAACTCAGATGAGACGACCACAACGATGTTACACCTTCCTCGAGGCCGACACGAGAGGAAAGAAGGACGTCTGGTGATGACGTCAATACATAAACACCATACTCCCGCTGGTATAAATATATTTTTATTATTAGTTATTTTATTAATCAGTTTTCAGCTCATAAATTAAGGTTTTAGTGAATTTTTATTAATATTTAGTTGAATATTTTAATAATAAATTTTATTAAATGTATCTATCACCAAACTAGTAACTGAAATATATCTGATGGTATAATTTTTTTGAGTTAAAGATACGTACCTAATACATTATCATCACTGTTAATCAAATTTTATTTTAGGCCTATAACTCTATTTTAATTGCAAGAAGAACGTGAGCAAATTAAAGCTGTTCGCACTCTTTCTGTTACCAGTAATTGGCCATGGTTCACAAACGTTATATATTTTGGTCTCGCATTAGGCTGGTAGACCACGGGATACTCAATTCAATTGTTTATTCCTTGATAGAGGAAGCGGGATCCGAGTGCTGTCGGGATACTCTGATAATATGTTACACAAATTTATTTGTCAGTGGGCAATCTAAATCTAATCAGTCTTTGTAATTCAGTTGCCTCTGAAGATGTCTTGAATAAAGACGAAAGCTAAGGATCTCCATTGTTTCCCTTTCCCTGTGTGATGTTATAAAGATTTATCTTATCCATGTTTCCATTGTGGAGCTACATGATATATATATATATATATATATACGGACTTACATACACGGTAGCGCGCATCCATAGGTATACCCAGTGTGTAATAATAATAATAAACGGTTTATTAATAGAGTTGCAGCCGGTGGCTGAAAATATACACTTACATTTGATTTAGACATTATGATATAATGTGCATTGAATACATTTACAGGGCTGTACAGTCCATAAATCAGGAGTTGTTTATTATTTTAACAATAGATGGGATGGTGCTGTTCTTATATCTATCGGTGCGGGCTCTTATGGGCTGAATTTTGTTGTAGTGGCGGACTGAGCGAGGTGGGTGGGAGGCGAGGGTGGTGCAGTAGTCCACGGCCAAACCTTTCCAGTGCTTGGTGGTGGAGGTCACTGAGGGATGGCATTTCCAGGGTGGAGAGAGCGTTGGTGTAGCCGGAGTTTTCTGCGCCGAGTATGATTCTGCAGGCCCTTTTCTGTATGTGACCTTGGCTGTGTGCGTCCTTACATGAACTCCCAAACTCGCAAGATTTACTGATTCAGGCAACAGCCAAGCAGTCACGCACGCACAGTAAGATGCCCAACTGCTTGATTTCGTCTCCTTAATAGAATATAACTAATTTTATTGCCAGCATAAATGCAAAAGTCTCACAAAGGCTTGATGATCAGAATGAGATATTGGTTAAATTACCATCTAAACTTTTAAAGAGTCATGTTGACATAATGAGTCCCAGAAGTGTTATCTCGATAATTTCTACACTGCCAGACGCACCAGGAGTTTCCCACTAGTGTAATATAATGCTTTACTTTGATGAAATACACCTATTACGGGCTACCAAATATGATTATGGGTACGCTCTCATTTCTATATACTGCATTCTAGTTAAATATTACAATACAAGAAAGGCAAAAGGCAGTCACTGTTACTGAATGCTTGTGAATATGATGCAGTCCGCAGTCGGTAGTGAGAGAAGAACAGACGGTTGTTGTCCGTGATTTTTAGTGTTATCCCAGAGTGCACTGTCATAGGTACTGAAGCCAACAATGTCGGGTAATTATTTCTTTGTTGTTTTGTCATGATGGTTGTGTAGAATCCACTACAGATTTACCAACATCTTGTACCCCACACTACCATGACGATTGACGGGTAAGTTAAAAAATTTCGTTCCTCTTTCGTGACATACTTGGATAATAGGATTTACAATGTTGGCGCCCAGTGTCAGTACATTAAGGGCGCGCCCTTACAAAAGAACATAAGAATGGAGGAAAATGCAGCGTGCCTATTGGCCCATACTGGGCAGTCCCATTTACACCCAACCCCGATTGCTCACAATATATCCATCCAACCTGTGTTTGAAGCTACCCAGCGTATTCCCTTAAAAAATATTATATTTCCCTTAATATCCTTTAATATAAAACTTCCGGTGCCAAGAAAATCGGATTATTTCTGTAGAGCAATAATGGAAAACACTGGTCCTGGAGTCTCCCGACCCTGGGACGCTGTGCCGAATAAATTAATGATGCCGATAGTCACATTATTACTCGCGTATTAATTCAAAAGTCAAACAGCTACAGGAAGCAGACTGAAGTGTTGTAAACCTGCTTTGAGAGTGAGTTAGCATGATGCAGCACTGTGATAAGTCATCACCGATTACAGATGCTCTATCTTCCCATAAGTTACTAACAAATATCTTTTATTCTTTTTACCTTGTAGGAATGCAGCTCCTTAAAAACTCACTATAATTAACTAACCATGTATAATTATACAGACTCCATGGATGAAACACCACAGGACCGCATAGAGTAAATGATCATTAATATCAGTAATGTGGTACCCTGCAACCGTCTTTACTACGTAGACCAGACTCGGAGATGGAGGCCGGCAGCGAACCTGTCCATGACCTGTACAGTAGTACTTGAATCTGTAGTAATCGTAAGAAATATGAACTTGGCCAGAATTATTATATTTGATTTTGTTGTTTTCATTATTTGATTCCATATATTTGGATTAGAAAATAAACTCAGTGTTATTTCCAACTACAGTTTTCTTGCCATTTGCTATAAATTGCCGACTGGAAAAACATTGTGCAAGCAATGGTTGGGCGTTCATTGATAACTGGCAACCATTCCATGGCAACGACTACCCGTACAGTAGTGACTTCTGACGGAGTACTCTTGTCTAGCGGGGAATGCAAGTTTAGTTTCTTTAATCTATCTTGATATGGAAGGTTTCTAAGTCCCGGAATCATTTTTGTCATTCTTCGCTGCACCGACTCCAGTGAATTAATATCCATTCTATAATAGGGGCACCAGAACTGAACCGCATAATCGAGGTGCGGCCTGACTAGCGCAAGATATAGTAGCAATAAGACTTCTGCACTCTTATTACTTACACTTCTAGATATAAACCCCAATACTCTGTTTGCCTTATTTCAAACATTAACGCACTGTTTTCTAGGCCGTAGGCCCAGGCTTACAAGTATCCCTAAGTTTCTTATAAGATGACTTCTCTAGATTGATGTTGTTAAGGCTGTATACATTGACAGTTTGTTCTTCCAATATTAAGTACGCTGCACTTGCTGGTGTTGAATTTCATTTGCCATTTTTCTGACCACCCCTGCAGTTTATTTAAATTCTCCTGTAATGCATTTGTATCCTGCCCTGAATTAATCTGCCGCCCTATTTTGGTGCCATCCGCAACTTGCTTATGTCACTGCTGATCCCAGTATCTAGATCGTTTATGTAGATTATGAACAAGAGTGGGCCCAGTACTGACTCCTGGGGAACCCGACTGGTTACACAGCCCCACTCAGACTTAACACCATCTTCGCTGACCCTCTGTGTTCTATAGGTGAGCCATGATTTTATCCAATTTAAAACTTTCCTCTCGATACCCATACCCATACTGGGTATACACTGGCTCCTGAATGTGTCTGAACCAGCTCCAGTATTGGTCAAGTCTGTTCTTGAAAGAGCTCGGTGCCGTCACAACACTGGCAGGTTGTTCCAAGAGTTCACAATTCTCACTCCGAATAAGTTTGCCCTCTCAGTTTTTTGGACTTGTGGCTTCTACAACCTTGAGCTGTGACCCCTTGTGGGGCGAGCGCCTGCCAGCTCCAAGTAAGGACACTTGACTAAGTACTAGTGCCCTTTGAGATGTTTATACATCTTAACTAGTTCTCCCCTTGCCCGTCTATAGTATAAGCTAGGCAGTTGCAGGTGCTCTAATCGCTCTGGACAGCTGAGGTGCCGAAGTGCGGACACCAGTCTGGTGGCTCTCCTTTGGACATTTTCAATCAACTGACATCATGAACGTGTTATGGCCATTATCCAAGCTTGTGTGGGTCAACTGGGATATTCTGATGGTCAAACAACAATGGGAACCCCTCCCCCACCACCACAGTACTGTGCAGTACAAAATAGTATAAAGGAATTGCTATTGTATCTGAAATATACAATATTTATTTACAGTACATCAATCCCCAAATTGTGGTGGGAACCGCGTGTATGTCTTCCGGCCGTTGAATGGACAGACCTTCAGGTTCCGCGTGAAGGCACCCAATGATGCCAACATTTGTCTGTCTGGGGCAGCAGCAGAGGTCCCCCATCACATGTTTGAGATCTTCCTTGGTGGCTGGGGTGGTGGTGAGTCAGGCATCAGGAGGAACAAGAAAGATGACGTCTGCAAGGTTAAGACCCCCAATATACTCAATGCAAATGAGTTTATGGGATTCTGGGTTGTTGTCACCAACAGTGCCATTAAGGTACGATGCTTTAAAGGAATTCATTAATTTTTTTTTTTAGTTCTTATTTATAATGAGAAATTTAGTGCTTTCTCTGTTTAAATGAGTGAGGAATCCTCAGGTTGCTGTGTCTCATTAAAGATGATGGATTCCTAAACATTGTGAAGTGTATAGAAAATTTAACCAAGCAGTACTGTACGTAGTAGTATTTTTGTGTTTGATTTTATAGTGCAATATCTATAGTAATATACACAATTGCATGTACAGTATGGTACCCACTTAAGGCCGAGTATTATAGACTGTACAATTTCAGTATGACCCCTCTATATGTGTGTGTTTTCTTAAATGGTTTTAGATTGGGCGTGAACGGGAGTCAAAACCATTTTTGACCTTCTCAGATGCCATTGCACCCATAAGGGTCACCCACTATGGATACTGCACAGCTTATGGTGCAAGAGGATCCTGGATTTTTGCAGGCAAGTGATATAATACTGGACAGAAAAGCTTATTAATGTGTAGTTAATTACAATGTGGACCTTAGCTAATATTCTTGTGATTTTATTGACTCATAGCTGGCAATTTTGCAGTTACACAATTGCTTTAGTGATGCATTCCCATGTAGAACTAAGTGTTGACTTAACTATACCATATTGTCTTTATCGGTATCTTGTTTAAAAGATCCTGTACCTTAGTTATACAGGTATTAGTTTGTATTTATATTCATTCACATAAGTACAAACCTCATCATTCTGATATTGATATTTAAATAGTTTAATTAGCCAGAAAAATACAGAGACAGTCGATAATAACAACAACACTATTAACATGGCTAAGCCAGTTGAGAGTTACTGTACTCTATAGAAAAGTCCATGTAGGTTAGATTATCCTGTTCATGGTTATGCCCGTGATATCAATGTCCCCCTCTGCAGGTTACACTTGTGAATAAACAGAATGATTCAGTAAAATGCAGGGTTGTTCTAAAATGTTTGAGGATACAATTATAGTTACAATGAAGCCTCTGACATCTTTTCAAACTGCTAGCAGAGTACTGTGCATGTACTGCAGACATCAGTCATGAAATTTTATTCGGGTGGGCTTCCTACTTGTAATGGTCCCGACCCTGATGAACCCACACATAGTGGGAGTAAATTGGTGTCTGATCCTAATGATCCAGAGTATGAGAAAAGCTCTAGGAGGATGAAGACATGTAGTGAGTGAAATTGTGTGGCAGGAGACATATGACCTCCCTTGCTGGCTTTTGTTCTGTCTCTCCTGCTGATGGGGCTGTGGCAGGCTCTAAGTAACACCACTTGGCACATGGAAGGAGGTGCAGAAGTGAGGACAGGAAACTGATGATGGAAGAAAGCGTGGTTAACGTAGAACACAAGATGGGAGAGGGAGGTCGCAGTTGCCCGCCACCATCCATGTGGGGCCCACATGTCTGTCTTCCACCCACCTATGGAAAGGAATTTGCCCAGAGAGAATGTCATGTTTATCCAGTGACAGTTGCAGCCAAAAAAGCACCATGATACAAGGTTCAGTGTTTGGGTAATAATAATAATGATTTATATTTAGTCAATTTGACTAAGGACAGCTGACAAAGCCATGAGAGGCTTGTCATCCCACTTCGACGATCGTCTGTTTTATGCGATTTTTACCGTCTTAGTTAAATAATCAGGTTAGATTAGGTTACATTAGATTAGGTTACTTAACAGCTCCAACATTGCTTAAAACTTTGCTGATCAGACAAGAAGCAGTGTTTCCAACAAGGTATTGCCTTTTTTTCCAGATACCACCAGTTTTACAGTGTAAATATTCATACAAAGTTGTGTATTAAGTTTGACATATTATAAGGAAAACTAGTATTTATAAGGTAAACAAGCTCCACTCTGCTTCACTCGGCACACACATGATCGTGTGTCCACTACGACCAAATCTTTATGTAAACAATCGCTGTCGAGTGTTGGTCAGTGATAACTACAGTACAGTACTGACATTACAATACGTCATCCAATTAGTGTTATTAGTAATAAAAATTAATGTAATTTGTCAGGAAAACTAAAGTATAAGTGGGAATTTTTGTAAGGTAGCACATTACTAAAGTATGTTGGTGGTGGCAGCTACTCCAGGGAGACCCACCAAAGTCATGAAGTGCTGGCCATTAAATAATATATTTTTTCATTGTTAACTCAACTAAACTGACTATTTAAGCAAATAAAAAATGTCAAGTTTTTGGTAACCTAGGGGGTCACTCAGGCTTCTTGGTCATAATCATGAATGGGTTAAGTTTGGTTAAGTTACTTCATAGACAATTCCACTTTGGTTAGTCATTTCATGTGTACATTACTGATTTGTCTGCTTTAAACTCCTCATGTTCACCCATAAAGTTTATCTCTGATGTACAGTACTGTTTACATTATGGACCTGCGACAACTACAGTAATACCCCGCTTTACGCGGTTTCACTTTCCGGATTTCGCATTTACGTGGTACCTCGCCAGAACCGGACTTTCACTTTACGCGGTGCATCTACTCATATACGCGGGAAGCGGCGCGGGCAGGATGCGCACAAGGTCGCCCAGTCATCAAAACCTTACCGAGTTCTTCACCCGCCACCCACCACAGCCGGCCCAAGTCAGTGATAGTGAGGATATGAACTTATATGGACTTTAAGGGGTTTGACAAAGAGGCCCTGCAAGCCTATGTGGTGGATAGTTATACAATTGATACAAGTGATACAGGTGAGGGCCAATAATCTGCCCTCTGCCTCAGAACCAACCCCCCCATCCCTGTGTGCCCAGCCATCTTTTCTACTAATGTAAGTGTTAAGAAAACTAATATTATTGATATTTCTCTTAATTATTAATTGTGTGTGCATACTATCATAAAATTAAGATGTAATTTTTACTGCAACGTAGGTATTGTGTCTGAAAAAGTGGAGTTTGGGGGTCGGGCCAGTCTCTATTGGAATTAATCCCATATGTTCTGTTGTTCACTTTACGAGGTTTTCACTTTCCGCGGTACCCCATGGGTTCAATTGACCGCGTAAATCGGGGTACTACAGTACTGTATTGTATACATTATGGACCTGTGACAACTATTGTATACATTATGGACCTGTGACAACTATTGTATACATTATGGACCTGTGACAACTATTGTATACATTATGGACCTGTGACAACTATTGTATACATTATGGACCTGTGACAACTATTGTATACATTATGGACCTGTGACAACTATTGTATACATTATGGACCTGTGACAACTATTGTATACATTATGGACCTGTGACAACTATTTACATTACGGAACATTCACCAAAATGGTTAGTAAGGTAATAAATGGTAAAATTATATATTTTTTTGTGCAATACTGCAATATAATTTTCATGTTGTTTCAGATGAAGATCCAACACCGTTTGAACCAGAGTCGGTCATGATTAATCAGCGTAAGTATGTAGCTGTTTGTGGATCAGATTTACTTTTACTTTTTTTTTTTTATCCTCTTCGCCACTGATCGGCTTGTTAGCCGCTTGGGTGATCGGTCATGTCTCTGATTACTTTTCCTTTTCATTTATCTTCTTCGCCACTGATCGGCTCGCTAGCCGCCTGGGCGATCGGTCACGTCTCTGTCACTCACTGTTGGCAAATACTGGGCGTGCACCGGCTCCTGAATGTCCTTTACCTTATTTGGTTAATGGCTACCCCGAATAGAGGTGGAAATGCCCAAGGACTCTTATCCTTGGTTATGCCTACACAGGACCCCTCCAGTATTCTTGACAGTATTGTCAAGGGCTATTTTGAAGTCCTGTACTGTTTTTGCTGCAACAGATTGAGCTGGTAAACTGTTCCATAAGCCTATGACCCTCTGTGTGAAGAAGTACAGCATTTCCTTATATTTGTTCTGCATGATATTGGAAGCATAATGTATTGTCTAATGGTAGACCCTGCTGCCATATGGCATTACAAAAATTGTGACCAAGTCTCAGGTTGCTGATCTATCTTTCTGCCTCATTTACACATAATTGCAGGGTCACTGTCTTTTACTATTGACAACACCACAAATATAACCGTACTCACTCTTGATCTGTTTTATTCATTCTATTTTATTCTCCTATGTCAGTTTATATTAATATTGAAGTGGGGCCTTCTCGGATGGGACCCGCTGGTTGGGAAGGTTGTGGACCCCAGGGCCGTATACAGTAATCCAGACTGGGACATACATGGAAGTCATACATTTGAAAGAGCATTTTTCTATCTTTGTATTCAAAGGTATGCTTTATAATTCCCAAATCTAAGTTTGCTTTTCTCTCTTCTGCTCCCACTTGTTGTGCTGCCTTCAGTGAATGATTGTCACAATGCCTAGATCTTTCTCCTTATTTACAGTATCCAGGAAAGTGATGTTAGCAGTGTAGTTGTTATTAGGGTTGTTGTATCCTAGGTGTAGGATCTTGCTTTTTGTAATGTTAAAAGAGTATTTGCCAGTCTCAAGACCATTTGAAGAGATAATGCAGGTTCTTTCTGCATTATGGCCATCATCAGTGGAAGTTAACTGTGGGAGCGTGGCCATCATCAGTGGAAGTTAACTGTGGGAGCGTGGCCATCATCAGTGGAAGTTAGCTGTTGGGACAGTGGCCATTATCAGTGGAAGTTAGCTGTAGGGATGGTGGCCATCATCAGTGGAAGTTAGCTGTAGGGATGGTGGCCATCATCAGTGGAAGTTAGCTGTAGGGATGGTGGCCATCATCAGTGGAAGTTAGCTGTAGGGATGGTGGCCATCATCAGTGGAAGTTAGCTGTAGGGATGGTGGCCATCTCCTAGTTTCTTGACTTCCACTTCTGCACACATGAAGAGGAGAGGGGAAATAGGGAATCTTTTGTCACTGGATAAGGGTTAAGTTTTAAGATGGATCAGATATCCTGTGCAGTATTTCCGAGTGTCTTCCTGTCTCACCAGTTGGGCGTCTCCAGTTAACACGGCAGCCACAGAGACCATCGCCTGCCCTTGGCTTTGTTACTGTACAACCTAACATAGCAACTCCAGTTTGCAACAGTGGAAGTGAGTTCTGTGTTTGCATTTGTATATATTATTCTTTTACTCTACAGTACACTGCATTTACATTTTTCTAAAACATTTTATTGTTTTAATGTGGTATTAGATATTAAATGAAAACCATTACTTATGCACATTACTTATTTACACTTAATCCCTAATACATACCATGGTAATGTGTGGTAGTATTTACTGTTACAAATATACTGTATCATAATACAGCTAATGTGCTTATAATTGCTTTGACGATGTTACCTGCCAATGGTACATATAAATCAGATGATTTCGGTAATTTCCTAAAGGTTGTCTGCCCTAATGAATGTAGAGGTAGAAGGTGTGGATGAGGTTACCGATAAATTACTGGAAGTGCTCTTGCACCAGTTGTTCCAGGCAACAGAGATATCACTTGTATATCATCTTTTATATGCATTGGGTCTCTGTAGTTGTTACAGTCGTAGCAAAATTGACCTTATCAGCTGCAGTCTTTGTGTCCCCAGAGGTGGTTCCCTCATCTTCACTACTTATATACTGTACCTGGGGAAGTTACTCTCTGGGTCATTATAAACCTATTAATAAGTCACTAGTCAACAATAATGACACATTCACCTTACTACATAATGTACTTGTAGAATTTGATATATGAAAATATAGTTCTTTATGTTATAACTTTTAATTGTTGGTGGACTGGTCTAATTACTGACCAAGTCACTGTACTGTGTATGCTTAAACACCTTAGTTGTTGAAGAGCAATAATACCATTATCACAGTAACATAGTGAAACCTCCCTAACGGATTTTCCTCTCCTTTTACAGTCCATTAATTACAAAGTTTCACAGGTATATAAAAGAACATAGTTGACACAGTACTAACTAAAAGATGATCAATATCTCAGCTTTACAGTGGATCCCTTGTAGAAATGGGTCCAAGTGTGCAGCACCAGTTCCTGCTACAGTAGGGAGAAACCCTTCATATGTAGCTGCTGCCCACCATCAAGGAGAGTTTATCCCTGGAGTCCTTCTGCCGGACACCAATGCCTGCTACATATCCTGGGGTGGTACCTCTATTGCCAAACCTAATTACTTTGTAAGTGTTGTGTGTTAATAGGAGAATGAATACTTTTTTTTATCTCTGTAGTAACATAGATACTTAACATTGTTTTAATCTATATAACATTGTTTTATTACCGTATATATTTAACGTTAGGTTTTTAGTATACAGTATACATTTACGGACTAAATATAGCAATAAGGACTAGTTGGCATTACAGTACAATACTGTATAATAACACTAGGCAATAAGTTAATAAACAATTCTGTAACATGGTTCAGAGCAGCTTCCTTTTGGTAATTTTGAGGTGTTGATTTCATTTCTGTGAATAAATATGCTCGGGCACGTACAGTTTATTTGTTATACAAAAAATTAAATATTACACACACAGGAAGCCTCCGATAACGACGGTTCTACTAATGACGATTCATATTTAAGACCCTGGTTAATTTAGGACCCAATTCAATCTACGCCATTATTTGCTTCATATTTACTACAAAAATAGAATTAAAAAAATGAATAAATAAATGAAAATAAATATATCATATAAATAATAACTAAATCCCAATATGTACTATAATAGTAGTAATAATAATAATAATAATAATAATAATAATAAACGCCTTGCGCACGGAGGCTGCCGGGTTTGTGAGTATAAACAGTCGCAGCTGGCGGGCCCTTTGTTTTCACTCATCTGAACAGCAGGAGAAAAACTTTCTCGGGTTTCTTACGGCATTTTTTTTTCTTGTCCCTATTCAACATGAGCAAGAGAGCAAGTGATGGTAGTGCTGGTTCAAAAGCTAAAAGAAGTTTATAAGCTTAGCCGATTAACTAGATGTGTTAAAACGATATGAAAAAGGTGAGAGGTCTGTGGATATTATATGGAGCAAGCAATGAACATACCGGTATTTTATAAAATGAATCCATTGACAGAACAAAGCATTAAAATTAACAGGAACATGAAAAATGCATATGACCTCTACATAAAGATGTTTAATGAGAAAGAAAGCAGCTGTGCAAGGTTCTTTCGACAGCTTTATTATTCAAAGGCCTAAACTACCAACTTCAGCTCCACCATAATAAGCAGCTTCATCAACAACTTCAGGTTCAGTAACAGTTTCAGCAACAACTTTATGGAAAGTTACAGCTTCAGCCAGATTTGAACCTGATGATATACAGTATGTGTCTAGTTATTGGTCTATTATGAATGTCCCAGTACTTTTGCAGCTGCTGAGTAACCCCGGGGGTGCCAACTTCACGTGGCAGTCAGCAAAGCAGGGTAATGTTCCCATGGGAGCCCTGGAGGGTGGCTATACAGTGAATGGGGAAAAACTATTCATCGGTCGCTTCAGTGTTAGTGGGACCGTTGTCTCCGGAAAGGTGAGCACATTAAAGTTATGGTAGAAATACTAATTTTGAAACTTTTACTACCCCTGTTCAGTTATGTGCTGAGGTATCTTTAGGTCGGTTTTGTTCTCTGTAGTGCATTGAGATTGATTTTTCATAATGAAATTGTAACTATTTGGTTTTGGCAACTAGTAAAAGTACACATTATGTAATTGCAGCTTGTTCCTTTTTTATTATAACTCTTAAGTAATGATATGGTGTCAGGCTGTTATCATTAATTCTGTTCAATGAGGTCTCATTTTAAAGGTGACTTAATGTTTCCCAACATGCTGATTAGCTCAGGGAGTAAGGCAGGTCGTTGGGCCACTGGCGAGTTCAACTTTGCTTTACCGTCATCAGACACTGAAATTACCACAGAGACGCTGGGAGTTTTACACCATATGATTCAATGGGATTTTGCCAGTAAACCAAAGGTGAACTTGTCATACATTCTTGTAATAGTAGAATGAAACTTTCTGTAAAGTATGGTACAAAAATCGTATGTTTGTTCGGGTGGCGAGTACACCCTTGTAATAATTAATGTCTCATATTACAGTACTCATCTCTTTTAAATCCTCTTTGTGTGGACCAATATATCCCCCCCTTTTCATTCCACTTTTGCTGATATAAATTTAAAATTTACCTATTTTCATAGTGCCTATAGATTTTCATATACGCACTGTACTGTACTCTGAGTACAGGTGAAACGATTTGTCATGGTGTACATTTTATGTTGTCTCAAGATGTATATACTGTACACACTGCCTTACAGACTTTCGTGGTGATAATGTGAATGCTTGTAATATAGCGGCAACATTGTCCTTACTTGTGGGAGAGAGGAATATGTTGCTCTTATAATACAAATCTTCCAGTGATCTCCACAAAATTTCTAAAACAGTCTGTATACAATTTTCTGAGACACCCTATATATAAGAATGATCTATTTCCAGGTTCACTGCAGTCATAAGGTGTGCTACGTCCCTTACTGGGGTTCAGAGAATAAGAGCGCAGTGTATGAGGTTCTCTGTCTGCAGACTGTCCCATTCTCCTTCCTTGGCGTACAGTAAGGCCAACTGCTACAAACCCCGACCAGAGCAAGGTGGTGAAGATAGATGGATAAATTTCAGAGTTTTACATTAAAGAATTTAATTAAATGCTGTAAGATATCTGGGAGGACTTAAAGAGTTGTAGTACCTGTGTTGATGGAAGTTTGTAATCCTAAGATGAGATAATTTTTGGAGGTTTCTTTTTACACAAGTACAGCATTTTTACCCAAAGAATTAATTAACTTTCCTAAGTACATTATTTCTTTTAGAATTTAAGTATAATTGAACCTCAGAAATAAATAAATCACTCGTCTGAGTCACAGGTTAAGTTAGTTTTAAAGAGAAGAAGAAAAAAGTCCAACTTATGCCGCTGGATCATAACTGAAAATAAAATGCACAAAACAATTAAGATTAGAATAATTTTGATGAAAAACTTTTTGTGAAGATTTGATCATAATTCATAAATATTACTGCTGCCATGGTGCTCTGTATAGTATGTTAGGTCTCAACTCCTTATACAGATAACAAATGCATTCAATATCTGAGTAAGAAAATGTGTTTTTTGCAAATTTTAATTTTAATTTTATCACAGTTATTATGCCATAATTTTTTTTACAAGCATTTACCTAACAGATGTGGGTGTGTGAGAGTCCAGGGCAACAGATAAATCTTTCCTGTGTGCAGGTATGTTTTTAGTATTTTTTAATATGTGGATAATTGTGGTCACAAATACAGTATTTACTATAAATATAACATATGAGAAAAAGTAGATTTTCTTACTTGTAAAAATGGCTGCCAGTTTCTTCACAAGCAGTTGAAGGATTAGGTAGTGGGTTTTACACCTGACCACAGACAACACTTTGGTGGCAGGTGCTGTGCAAAACTTTATACAGTGGGGTATGCTACAACGAATCTAATTGGTTCTAGAACCTTGTTCGTTATAGGATTAATCCATTCCAGGCCCCCAAATACAACCACTTAACACTGAAAAATATAATATAAAATTGTAAAAATTTTAAAAAAGTATCTAAACCCCTGAAATAAAGAATATCATTAATACTTGTAATAAAAAAATAAATAAATTAGTAAAAAAAAATAAATCAATAAAATAAATAATGTTCGTTCTAGGAGTTTCGTTCGTTATAGCATTCTCAATTTTATAGGTAAAACCGTTCGTTTTAGGAATATTCGTGGTAGGATTCGTTCGTTAAAGCATACCCCACTGTACTGTACCGTGTTAAGTTGTGCTGCTTAAACTCTGAGATTCACTCTTTGAGTACAGTACAGGTATTCCTCACTATACGAATGGGTCAAGTTCCTTGAAAACCACTCGTTAAGTAAATATTCATACATAAAATAAAATGACATGGGAAAAATAGAGTACAGTTCACAATGATAAGAAAACCTCATTATAAAACAAAAATGAAATGGCTTTAAAATACTAACTTCAGTACTACTGTAACGAACACATTAAAAATATATATATATAAATTTGGTACATTACCTTAGGAACCATACTTATATAAGCGAGAATGGCTTTTGTATAATGAGAAAGAGGCATAAGAATAGAGTACAATACTGTACTGTACTGTATTTGTAGAGTGAATGTTCGTATAGTGAGGGATTCTGATTTCCCATAATTTGTTAAAGTTACATTTTAATAATCTAATGTACTGCTTTTTTTTTATATGATTTAGTTTCATACAAGGATAAGTTTTAGTTAGGGTAGACAGTAGTTTTTACCAGCCAATATAGGTGTAGATCAGGTACAGAATAAGTTTTTGTTGGGTAAATGTAAGCTTTTTCACTACTGTACGATACAGTTATTGCACTTGATTGTGTCAGCAGTTTTTGTATTGCAATAACTTGCAGCACAGTACTTGCGTACAAAGGTATGTTTTAGTTATAAAATGAGAGAATGGTAACTGTACCACCCTCTGTAAGATGGCCATATTATTGGCAGGTAGTAAGCAGCCACCAAACAGGGAGGTGCTACCACCTGGGAAGATATTGGAAGCATAATGTGTTGTCTGATGGTAAACCCTGCTGCCATACGGCTCATGAAAATTATGACCAAGTCCCAGGTTGCTCATCTGACTTTCTGCCTCATTTACACACAATTGCAGGGTCTCAATTGTTTCTCTTACTATTGACATCACAACATTCATATATTGTTTCTCACTCTTGATTTATTTTTTTAGTTTTTGTATTTATTTATGGTTATTTTTTTTTTATTAATTTTATTAATTGTTGTAATAATAATAATAGTTATTATTATTATTATTATTATTATTATTATAATAATAATAATAATTATTATATTTTATTATATTTTCGCCCCCCCAGGCCCTGATGTGGGTCATTACCTGTGCCCGGGTGGATTAATCCCCGGAAAAAAAAGGTTTTGTTATTAGGTCTCAGGCTGGTACAGTACAGTACAGTTCAGTAATTTAATTAAAATATAATTTTAAAGTTATGTTTACAGTAATTTAGAATTGCATAAATAATTAAAGGACCAATTGTATTAAAAAATTGTGTTATTAATTCAAATGAATGCCACAAACCAAGATATATGTCCCAGGACTGTGTTGATAAGTTTTGCTACTTGGTGTTATATACTGTATATGTATGTGTATATGCTGCATTTATTGATTATATATACATTATATATTATGTTACTTCTTACCAAAGTCAGAAAGTGTTTAGGCTTGTGTAAACACGAAATGTGTTCGGCACATTGTAACCAACAATAGAGAATAAACGCCCAGCCAGACTGACCATGTGACTTGTCATTCTCCCATTAAATAATGCAAGATACTACACTTGGGTGATATTATCAGTGCTGAAGCTTGTTCAGCTGTAAGAAGTTTAGGGAGTTATTGCCTTTATTGATGGCACGAAGACTTTCCCTCCACACAAAATTAAAGATGTACTGTATGCAACTGGCATGAGAAGTTTGATGTTATTTGGTACAGTAGTTAAACATTGGCAGTTAAAGAGGATGGGGAATGTATTCTCAAGTGAGCTAAAATGAGAATGGTGATGTGTAATGTGACACTGAAAGATGAGAAGCTGTGTTCAGAGCTAAGAAGGTGGCTGGGAGTATTGGTGAGTTCTGTGTAAAGGTATGCTGAGATGGTTTGGGCATGAGAGAATGGAGGAGACCAAGTGGTTCAAGGTATGAATGTGGAGGGGAGGAGAGCCAGGGGCAGGCCAAGAATGACATGGGGTGATATTGTAAGAAATTACCTCAGAGATAAAAACCTTACAAGAAACTGTACACACACGGAGAGCTGCCATCAAGTAATTATGGCTAACCCACGCAAGTTTGGAAAACTACAATGATGATTATGTACTGTATAATATTTCTTGTCCTTCGTATCTTATGCCTGTCTTTAATTACTGTTTTCAGTGAACAATGTTTTCTTACATTCATATACTGTACTGCACACTTGGGGACACACATGTCTGAACTAAGACACTGCTGATACACACACACACAAGTCAAGTTATGGTTTAATAGGTGATCAAGCAGCTAGCAAGTGTTTTACTCAATAAGGTATTTCTTACTCCCTAACTCAGCGAAAAGAAAAAAAATATGTAGGTATTGTACATTTTAAATATCTGTCATTTCGTCCACAGTTGTAATTAGAATAACACAAAAACTTGGGTACTACACTGAAATTGGTTAAACAAAAAAATCAATCAATAAAAAAACACTGTTAGTCATACACAACCGTAACATCAAAATTGCTTTGCTATTTCTTTGTTAGCAAACACTTACAATACTGTACACAAAGTTTTCTATTATTACTTATTTTCTATTATCTTCATATAAAATTCAATAAAACTGGTTATCACAATTGACAATGTAAAAGGTTTAAGTAGTGTAGTTCTGTTCTTATATAACAATATTGCAAATTCATAAATACTCTTAAAGGTATCAACAATATTTATATAATTTTAATAATTCAATTAATACAAAAGATGCACACCAGTAAAACAAACATGTACATTCTTGTTCAAGATTCTTCGAACACTGTTGGAGACAGCTGGCAACTCAAGGCTGTTACTATAGTACGTAGTATAATATAATACGAAACAACAAAGCCCAACCATTAAATTAAGAAACGGGGAACTAAGTAACCGATCACTTTAACATTTATTCATATTTTTTACTACATACTATAGTAAACAAATGGCCTTAAGTTGCCAGCTGTCTCCAGCAGTGTTTGAAGAATCTTGAATGAGACTGTACGTTCCCCAGACTTAGTAAGCACAACAGATATTGTACTCTTGTTTCTTAGTCAAGGATGAAGAAGCATCATTGAGTTGTGGACAGCTGCCTCAACAGTACAAAGAAAACAATACCATTCTGGGGTAGTTTATCATATTATTTGATTTATTTACAGTCTCTCCTCAACTTACGACAACCCGGACATACGAAGGCCATGGTCGTATAAAATATTTTTTACATTACGTATTTTCGAGTCCCGACGTTAGTTATCGCGCTGTGTACCGACAATTTTTTTTTGAGTTTCCCTTTAAAATGGCTGGCAAGTGTAAAAGTGAGAGTTCTCGTGGTGCTGAGAAGAAAAAAGAGAGACCCATTTTAGAATTTCTATGTAATATTTTTGCCTTTTCGACTTACGACCTGGTCGTCGGGACGGAACCCGGTCGTAAGTAGAGGAGAGACTGTACTTATCATTTCAACACTTAGCAGCATACTGCACAAGCCATTTGGGTGGTTGATCTGTTCTTTGCTATGACCTTTATTGTTTGGTGTTAGTATATACAATAGATAACACCTTTCCCACATCTGTTCAGGGATTGAACGTGGGACACAATAGTGAGAGGCACACACATTACAACCTTGCCATCAATGTGATCTGGTCTTTTCCTGTGCACTTTGCCTCTTCTAAATTTCAATAGTCCACATCCAGTGTCAACCAATTTTTTCATTATCACCACATATCCTGGAGCCCAGCTTATTGATTTTACACCCTAATGCTAAATGGGAGGGGGGGGGGTTAGTTTGGTTAGGCTATTTTAGTAAGGGAATATTTATGGGAAGATAAAAACCCCTGCCCCCCAGAAATTTTAACAATATTTCTACTCGTTCAAAAATTCATAATGTGTAAAGAATTTTTCATAAGTAGGGGTTTATACTGTATGGTCAAATACCTGGAAGTTGTTATGTGAACCTGTTAATTGTGTCAGTATTTGAAGTAACTAGTAACTGAACTACTGGTATGGCTTGTTAAGCAGTTGTTTTAAGGGTTTCATACATGAACAGGCTGGCCGCCTACTATCACTGTGTGTAGTCAGAGCTGTGATGTGTCAGCACTTCTCCACGAGCTTTAACATCTTCACACAAAATGTCAAAGACAGAGTTGGTTGTCTGAATCCTTTCAACTTTAGAGTCATGATACACACTCATATCAACATCTGTCTTTTTCTTAGTCATTCTTTGAAATACTACATCAAGAGGAGCATCACCTATATCCAAGTCCTGTGGGTCAAAATTCTCTAAGAGTTCACCAGACATGAAACTTTTACGTTCATCATCTTCGACTTTTACACCACAACGTACCGGTAGACTGTTTTCTATAACCTCACCGGTATTGTCAGTATCACCACTTTTTAATGCATCAATATTTTTGTTGGCAATATCTGTTTCCCCAGAGGATAATGTGTTGATAATACTGCTAGTACTTTCATTATCTTTACAACCCTCGTCAATTTGATTCACCGTTGTCACAAAATTTGTATTTACACTTTCATTGATAACTGAATCCATACATCCTAACTTACACAACTTGGCATCTGTACTATCTGAATTTTCTTTGTTAGTATGAAGAATTATATTTTCATTGGTAATTGAGAAAGTTTCTTCTATAACAATTATTTTTGGAGCTGAAGACTCAAGTTCTCTCATTCCTTTTGTCTCCAGGGTGCTTCCACTCTCACAGTGTAATGAGGAATAAGGCACTAAACTTTCTGGACTTTTATCTCTGTTGTTGTGAGTGGAGTGTACTGGAGTAACTTCTCTGCTAGGCTGGGGACCATATGGGATGTCAATATTGCCTTCTAAACCGACAAGAATAACTTTATACTTGAGTCGTTCAGGATGGTCCAATGGGTATTGACTCATCTTGAGTTTCATCTTGTACGTGTTGTGAGTAACTGACCAACAGTTAGGCATAAACTGAGGCTTCATGATGTCCAGGAAATGCTGCCTCCACCTCTGCTCAAGCTTCACCAGCCCAATCTTCTCATAAGCTTCATAAACTTTTTGGCCATGAGCTTGATAACCCTCATTCCAGTTTTTCACATCCATGTTAGCTGCATCGTGGAGATGTTTCTCATTTACCTCCTCAACATTAAAGTAATTCTTGACAACATCCTCAAGTTCTATCACTCGCTTGTGCGGAATCTTTGCACGACTCCTCAACAAGGCTCCAGCGGCATTCTTAACAATCTTACGATAAGGATCAATGGTGACTTTTACATCCCGTTCAGTGCCAATGGGGGCATCAAATTCTTTAGCTAACATATTTCTGAGAACAGTGTCATGCAAAGTGCTTTGTCTGTGACATTCAAGACACAGTAGAACAACATCATGGCTCTGGTGATCTTTTAGGATGTCAGGAAAATGTTTGCGATATTCATGAGGTACAACATTCTTTCTGATGTATGATTCTCCCGTACCACACACTACACAAACATTGTGTCTCTCCTGAAGGTAAAACTTCCCATCTTCCCTTTCAATTTGTGGACGGCCAGAAGGTTCAAAATTAAGACGCACAACAAGTGGATCTTCACTCACCAAAACCCCAAGACCCTTTTCTATATACCAATGAGCTTTCTTTGGGTCACAGGTACAGAGAGACTCACCATCAGGGGCTGTCAGTTGACAGTTGTGATACAGTGGACCTTTACGTGTGGAGTATGCCCGGGAGGAAGGTTTTATTCTCACAGGAGCTGGTCGACCAGTAGATGTAGGTCCTGTGGAAGACAAATGTATTACCATTATTATATATGAGATAAATTTGAAACAGAAAAGTGTAATAACCTCATGGAAAAAGAATGAGGAGAAAATAGGCAACAAATTATAGCCAGAGTAAAGTCTTCACTACTGTAGTCTACTTCACAAGCAGAAAAAATACTGGCTATTAATAAACAATAAATTAAAATTTGGGGAAACATGAAAATGGAAGAAATCTTGTACAGTACAGTATACAATACTATTATAATAATTAAGTATTTGACTATTTTATGCAGATTCAGAGTGACTTCTAAACAAGGTGTGTACAGTATACGGGTAGTATTATAAAATGTCACAATCATATATCCAGTAGTTTACAAACAATCAATTTCTTTCTGTAAGTGGATAAGACTTCCTGTAGATAAAAATATACCAGTAGTAGTGAAAGACATATATCTGACTGAGACACTAACATAACTTATTTTACCTGCATCAAGTTGTTTGCTGGAGGATGAGAACCTGACATCAGTGAATGTTTGACAAGCGTGGTGGATGGCTGAGGCCAGGTGGTGGCACCACAGTGTTGGAGGCAGGAAGGGAAGTAACAGGGAGGATGTTACCCAAAGTCTCTTCATCAGTGTCACCAAGATGTGAACACCAACCAGGGCGTCCTCGGCAGCATACTTCTCCTATAGACAAAATTACTGTATTAATATTATTTTATACTGTACTTTATTTCCTGAACTTTACATAAGTTTACAAACAGAGGTGCTCAGCCATGATAATGTTACTGCAATGGATTAATGACAGTTTTCCTGTGTCACTCACACTGCAGTTATCTCATTCACTATCTTTTATTCAGTCATTAACTCGCATAAAGTGTCTGACTTTGATGTTTGCTATGTGGCTAACTATATAATGTATTTATTGTGTGGCAAGAATACCTGTAGTGGTGTGTCCCTAAGTTGAAAATGACAAGAGTTAAACAGGTGAGGAGGAGTTTACTGAAAGGTCCTTGGTCAACCACTAGAATATTTGCAGGAGACTTATTACCATGCAACAGGTTCTGAATGTTCAAGATATAATATTTCCCTTTAGTGTGACAATAATTACAAGAATTTCAACTGTGACCTGAGGGGTAATAATAAGCCCCATAGTGAAGTACACACTCCCATTAATAATTGGGACTATAAGTGAATAAATGGTTTCATTTTGTGCAATGGGTAACACTCCCTAGGAATATTAGAATGTATGCAAAGTTTACTATGCTCTTAAAGATTTGAGGTTTACAGTACTACTTCTCTTTCCACTTAATGCCAAGATACATTCTGTGAAAATACTGTATAATCTAGTTTTTGCTTTTGTCAACAAATTAACCAGTCTTTCAGTAAGTATTTTAATGTCTAAATACAACTCCTCCAATAATACACAAACTCGACAGAGCCAGGCAATCCTCCTTCATTTTTAAAAAACTTCTGAATCTGCCAGAGAATATTCCTCTCAAAAAGATATTCTAACACTGAAAAATTAACTCGGACAGCCATAGACCATACTGCTGTACTTCAACATGAATGGACACTTTAAAAAAATCACATACTGTACCTGTCTCTTGGTCAATACGTCGGCTTCCCAGTCACTTGCCCGCACTCGCCAGTCTTTGTCCAGGGAGTGACCGAGGTACTTCTGAGAGAGAGCATTGAGTCCCATACCACCAGGCAGCTTGTCTCCATCAAGTGTGTCCTCCTCACCACACAACTCTGATTTGTGACACTGCAGCACAAGGTATCGCAGGTCCACACACCCCCGTACCTGTTGTACCGAGAAGATTACAATTACGTAATGACTGAGCATGATTTACAAGTTACTGAAAGACTAGTAGAAAATATACATAAACGATAAATAATGGTAGAGGAACCTAACCTAAGACACAACACAACCTAACCAATCCCAACCAAACTCAACCCAATCTATCTCAGCCCAATCTAACTTACCCTACCCTAACCTAATCGAACTTAAGGGCGTTACTTTCTCATGCAATAGTGTTATAAAGATAAGAATACCTGTACTATTAATATATTTTAATGTAATACCCTGTAAATACATACACACAGTACCGTACAGTACTCATCACACAAGCCAAAATATGTTAATGAGAAAAAGGTAATTTATATACAGTGAGTTCTGCTATAACGCGTGTTTTGAGAACGCCAATTGGCTCTAACGCGATTTATGAATAGAGGAACAATATTTGTATAACGCGAACGCTTGTTTGCTGTAACGCGATTTTTGCTCACTATTTCTCCAATTTTGTGGTATTAACTGTGAATATGGTAAAGAAAAATATTTCCAAGAAGCGTTCTGGTGATCGCATTCCCGGTGATGATCGTAAAAGAAAGGCTATAACCCTTGAAGAGAAGCTCGATGTTATCAACCTCAAAATTACCCTTCTCCCCCATCAAGTTATATTCATATTTTTTCAAGGTAAAGTGTAACATTTACTGTATGATTTCACTATTAGATATGAATGTAACATTTATTTAGACTGTTCTATCCTTTGTGTTAGGCTAACTACTAAATTTTTTTCGATTTCGGGTAGTAATCTGCACCTAACCCTATTTTCTCCATAAGTCCTGTTATTTCTATTACGCGAATTTCTATAACACGATGTTTTACAAGAACACAACTATCGCGTTATAGCAGAACTGACTGTAATCCTTTTGTACTTGTATTTTGATTTTATATCTTTGAATTGAGTGTTACATAATAAAGGATGTACCAACCCAACACTGTGTGTGTACGTACTCCCTTATTCCACTTTCCATCAGACCCTGAGGTTGTGATACTTTGTTGGGTGCTGCATCACAAACAATAATCCACCTGTTCATCCAGACACACGGACAATAATCTACCTCTTCATCCATACATACAATAATCAACCTCATTCAATCACACAATAATCCACCTCCTCATCTATTGTATATACTATACATCCATAATCCTTCTACCAGTTATAGTGTCAGAGAGAAAAAGATGGTCACCTTAAGGTTATAATCTGCAGCCAGATAGTTGCTGTCCTCAAGGGGGGCAACACCCACTTTTAAAATAGTCTTGTCCTCCAACAGAGTCTGGAAAATATAAATAACTTTAATTTAGGGTGAGAAAAAGGTTGTGAGCTGGAAGGCATTTGTATTAACTGCCAGAAAAATAAAAATATCTTGAGAGAGAATCTACAGTACTTGGTCGTGATAAAGAAAGATAGAGGGGGAGCATCTTATCAGTGCAGTAGGGTGTAGATGTTACAGTGACAAGAATATCTCTCACGACTGTGTCCTGGATTCAATCCCCAGCCTGGGACAGATGTGAGAAAGGTATTATCCAGTGTGACACTTCACAACATGGCAGGCTTTCTCTTGGTACTCCAGTTTCCTCCTGTACTAAAGCTGGATAACAGAGTACCGTAACAAAGAACAGACCAACTGCCAGCATAAGTAGTAAGCAGATATGTGGTGAAATGATAGATAAATAATTAAATAATGATTTCCCTCCTGTGTAATCCTGTCACTACAAGCAGGATCTGTCCACAGTGAAGTTCTCATTCCATCAAACTTCAAGAATTACCAGAAGAGCCTCCACCAACATAAAGAAGAACTTACTCTGAGAGTGTGAGGAAAATTAGGCTTCATGTGTGAGAGTCGCACCAGGACACACAAGCCAGAGCAGGAGGCCAGCTGGAGGAGAGCCACGGGACGGCGTCGTCCTCTCACCTGCACCCACTCACAGTCAAAGCCCACGGCACCATCTTGTTGTGCTTCCCTGACAACATACCAAAAAAAGATATTGTCAATTTAATGTTCCACAAAGTATATAGAACTAATTTAGGATTCTCAAAATAAAGTTTGGGTCCTGGGAACCTGGTGTTCAGCCTGAAGACTTGCTGACTATACAGCCACCCTAGAATGGCAATGTGTTGAGAGAAGATGTGAATATATAAAGGCAGGGTGGGGGGGGGGGTCAATGATACATCCAGTACAGTGTTCATTAACGAATGTGCAAAGCCTAAAATACCTTAAGTCCTCATACCTGTACAATAATGGCTCTACTTTCATCCAGGTTTCCTCACAGTTCACCACATGGATCTTTTTCTCAGCTGTCTTTACCAATCTCAGCAGCCTCCAAGAGCGTACTGTCTGGGAAATGTTGTTACGGTGATACAGTATCATTCCACCACTTCCTATACCAAGCAGAATGCCACCAGTCAGGGTCGAGCGGTCGCGTATCCAACGGTCAAACATCTTTATTCAGCTACCAACAAAGAGTCATTAACCTGAAACACAACATTATATAAATACCCCAATTTACAAAAGGGTTACAGTCCTGAAAGAACTTTTGTAAATTTATTTTTCATAAATTGAAACACATATTCCATAGACTCGCATTTGTCAACAGCATGTAACAGAGACATAACCAACTACCCAAGCAGCTAACAAGTAAAATAAACTTCCCAAAGTCTTAAAATGGTTACAAAACATTTTAATAGTGAAAATTTTGGGTGTACAAAATGATTTAAAGTCAATATACTGTATAATAAACATAATTAAAAAGTGTAATACATTGAGGACAGTAAAGTAGATAGATAGTTTATAAATGTACTGCACTTAAATGAGAAATTGGATGAGATTTGAAACAGGTGACAGTATGAAATGCCAAGCTAACATCCATAATATCTTTAATTATATTACTGTAGTAATACTTTACTTTAACTTACTTTAATTTATCCTCTTCATCACTGACCGACCTGTTAGCTCAGGGGTTCTCAAGCTTCATCATAAAGGGTCATATACAGTAGAGCTCATGGGGTTACCTGGGCCTTTGCAATACAGTAGTTACAAGTAATTTTTCTAAGGCCAGGTGTAAAGGAAGAACCAGGAGTAGCAATTGATATCCCATTAAAACGGTACCATAAACTATAGACAGGGGATGAACAAGGTCCTCTTTTCATATGTCCAGGTCTTGGGAAAACAGGAATTGGTCCACTTACATAAAGGACTAGTATATATATATCAAGATTTACATACAGTACTGTTTACCATTGTATAGCTGCACTGTCTATGTAAACCCACTGTGGTTAATATATAGGACTAACCCGTCAGGGCTGCATAGCGCCGCCACGGCTGTATCATCTCACGTCCAGAAAATGCCTCAAATTTCACCATATGATGGTAAGTTCTTTCTGTTTCATATACTGCACCGGTGAAGTTAAGTAAGGTTAGGTCTGTTCTTCATACCCACAAATGTTAAGTAGCGTTTATTTTAAAAACAAATATTTTAACATATTTCCACAAACTACAAGTGTCCACTATAATATAACAATGAAAATCCGGCGTTTTTATAATTGTTTTTAATAAATTTAGCTCACGGGTTAGTCCTATATAATTACCCCCACTGTATACCTGCACTGTCTATAAACATGGTGAACCAAATATAAATATGCATAACGATACCACTTAATAAAGTCAGGTGTACCTCAGGTGTCTCCCTCACCTGGTCACCGCCGGGTGTTTGTTTACATCTGGTCAGTGTCGCCAATGTTTACGCTAACTTCGCTAACTTCATCAGATAGACAGATGATGGCTAGATAGACTGTACAGTAACATAGATATTTATTCAGTAAAATATTCGTTTCTGTTTACATGAACTAAGCATGTATAAAACAATGCAGATATACAGTGTACAATATAAGTTAGAGAATTTACGTTATACTTGACAGGCAATTGATTTGTTAATACAGTACAGTACATAATTTTTACGCCATTAATTTTAGCTTATAAACAGGTTAAGATACTTTTAACCCTCAAAATATACATAGAATGAAAATTATAATTATGGTTGTATTGTATATAAATATGCTTCGCAATCACTGTAAACGTGTATGTCTATTTCACTGAATAATAAAATTATCAATCTTACCTATGACATAATCAACAACTAATGTATGCTCTAAATTCTCATCCAGTAGACAATTTTCACCTGAACAATAATGAGCATTTGGCAACAGAGTGTGACAGACTTCTATCTCACATAACTTTTATTAGTGAGTGGACTGATGTAATTACAGTATTAACCTTGTTATGCGTTTGAATAATTTAATTGTTGAATCACAGTAATACATTTTTTAAACGGATAAAGTAAAGTAAATGCTACCTGGTAGTTAGGTTTGGTTAGGTTAAGTAATGTCAAGGTAGATTAAGTTAGGTTAGGTTGGGTTAAGGTAAGTCACATTACATTATGCTAGGGTTAGTTATATTAGTGAAATAAATATAAAGTGAAATCAATTAGGGTGTCTAACCTTCAGATGATTCACTTGAAGATAAATAAACAATGGTGTTAAAAATAAGAATAACATATATTGTACTGTACAATATACAGGACAAAGTAAGAGGAGCAGAATACAAAATAAGGGAAGAAGGAACAGATGTTAAAAAAAGGAAGAATGGGGAAAAGATGAAAAAAGAACATAAAATATACATTTATAATGGACATAAGAAAAAGCCAACACTTAAGATATGCTAAGGACTGTCAGTTGATTGAAAATATCCAAAGGAGGGCCACCAGGCTGGTGTCAGCACTTCAGCTACTCTGAGAGATTAGAGCGCCTGCAATTACCTAGCTTATACTACAGATAGGCAAGGGGAGACCTAATTGAGGTGTATAAACATCTCAAAAGGCACTTCTCAGTCGAATATCCTTACCTATAGCTGGTGGACGCTCGCCCCACAAGGGGTCACAGCTCAAGGTTGAAGAAGCAGCAAGTCCAGAAAATTGTGAAGGTGAACTTTTTTGGAGTGAGAATTGTGAACTCTTGGAACAATCCGGCAGAGTGTGTTGTGACAAGCACTGGAGCAGGTTCAGATACATTCAGGAACCAGTACATGCCAACAGTGCGTAACAGAGACGTGACCGATCGCCCAAGAAGAGGATAAAAGAAAAAGTTTAAAGAAATATAAGAATAAACCCATTCTTAAACATACATAATTTGAATTTGGTATTTACCTGATGTAATCATCTTTGAAAAATTTCACCTACTTTCTAATACAAATTAATGTACAGTACAGTACTGTACCTGTACTTGCTTCTTGTAAATTTTACATTACTTTATATTATTTATGGATCTACTGCACCATCACAGCTTAGCTTCAACACTAGCAATGGCAAATTTGGCTAGGAATAAAAAAATGCTTCTTGAATGTTTATTTCCAACCAAATCATTGTATTATGAATAATAATGTGCATGTATAACACAGATACACTTCATATCTCTCAGTCATTATACAGTATATACCGTAAAAATAAAGAATAATTATAAAAAACACACTAAATATATTGACATAATTATTTACATAATAATCAACATGCACAACACTGTAAACCTTTAAAGCCATAATAATAATAATTACCCGGACATCTATCACAAGATATCACAGCAATGAAAAACACTTGCAAGCTTCCCCTACCAGCACAAAAATAATGATAACCATAAATTACTTTCACATCAACTAATTATTCCTGAGGCTGCAGGAAAAAAGGGCAGTGGTGTGAAATTTTAACCTGAATACAGTACTTAAACCTCTGAAGATAACAGTACAAGATAATGCAGCGGGTAAACAAGACATATGGCCCTCGTAAATAAACTCTTCAGACATGCATGATGATTTATAACACAAGGCGTTCATAATTTATCAGATCCATCTTAAAACTTTATACAGTAACCTCAAGTGATGGAACAAGTTCGTTTTAAAATACTACTTACTACAACAAGAAAAAGATCTTAAGAGTTGTTCACCAGGGACAATAAAACAGGCATGCTCCATCTATATACTGTGTAATGTTTTTGAGATTACAGTATTAAATCTTAAAATAGATCAGATAATTTAAGGACACAATACATAACTAAAAACAAAAGCATTAATCCAGGTTTTGTGTGATGCATGGAACAAATATTCTGAGTGAGAATAGTGAGGATATAATGACATATAAAGACAGTAACACAATCCTCTTGATCTACCTACAGTATCTATCAAATTTACCAAACCTAAACTATCTGGATGAAGGAGGAGCACCAACCTTCACACACACAGTACTCTATGTCTTTAGCACCTAAGAGAGGAATCCTGATGACCAATAGCAGAGGCACCTGTATCCCATCTACTCTTTAAGGTAACTCAAGCCTTTCACTCTAATTTCACTAGATACTTACTGTATCTTTGTGGTCAGGTTGTCGTCTTAATATTCTTTGATCTCGCCACTTGTAATGAAAAAACTTACTGGGCAGTGATTATTTATCTGGTAATTACTGGGCAGTGATTATTTATCTGGTAATTACTGGGCAGTGATTATTTATCTGGTAATTACTGGGCAGTGATTATTTATCTGGCAATTAATGTGCAGTGATTATTTATCTGGCAATTAATGTGCAGTGATTAATTATCTTGCAATACATAGCTATTTAAACATTACAAAATTAAATGTATATTTGTTTCATAAATGGGAGAATAATTTCTTAGTAAGAGAAGGCACAATGGTGTTGAGGCAGACTGTTTGATGGCAGCCTATGAACAAACACTTACACACAGAGATGGTTGTAGTTTCTTATGAGAGTAAACATACCTCATCATATATACCATAATAAAGTTATACAGTACAGTATTAGAATGATCTCCGCCAACAAATGTGTCCACTGGGATCAAAACGGCAAGTTGGAGAGAGAGAGAAAAAAAGAGCAGGAAAATTGAATCAGATAATTAATCTAAGGTACATATGAGGGAGCTTTACAGCACATCATCACTGCTCAACAGTTGATACTTTTTATTAAACTTTGGTGGGACGGAATTGTGAACTTTACATTAAGACGTACAAGTGTGAGTCAGTACTGCACAGCATGGCCAGCATACACAGTGGCAGCACACGAGACACAATAAATAGCTGAGTCAAGAGAACAACCAAGTATACAGCTGTAACTTACTGTGACCTTGTTGCTTATCCAAATGTCAACCAAAGTCAATCACTTTCTCCTATACCTTTACTTTCTGACACTCATTCAATAGTGTTTGAGATATCTTAGTACTGTAAAATAAATACTGTACATACATGTTAACTAAACATGACATAAAACTTTTCACTTTCTTTATCATTAATAAATACAATCAACAGATACAAATACCTTTTCTGTCACGAGTTTACTAAAACAATATTGGGATAACCTGAAGAATCTCCATCCCAGCTGATTTCACCTGTAGATAAACCACCCTAACACTCGCCTAACCTCATGGGGTGAAATAAGTTGGGGTGGAAATTCTTCGGATGATCCCAATACTGTATATCAGAATCATGTAAAATTCTTCAACTACACACTTTAAAATAGATGTGATGCATATGAAAATAACAATTGGTTTATTTGTATTATATTCTGTACATGCTTAGAATAGGAAGTATCTGGTACAATCAGTTGGGTAATAATAAAAATCTAAGTTTTGTCACTTGTTAAAATCTTTGAATATTTAAAAATATTAACTGCTAAACCATCAACAATAAAACTTATCAATGGTTAAAATCAGAAGAAAACAAATTATCTACAAGTGTTCTGCTAAAATGAAACCAAATGGGATAGTTAGGATTAGTTAAAATTAGATAACAAAAGAATGTATTTATCCTATAAACAAATGGTCTTATTTCCTAATCCTACATCATTTATATTCTGTACTGTATAAGTAGAACACCAATATAACATCTAGAGCCAGACACCAAGAGCACTCTCCCTCTATAATCTTGTGTACTATGCCAGCTGAGGAACACAAACACACACTGATCATCATGCAGTAAGGACCCTACTGGAAATAAGCATATAAAGGCTTTGTCAATTATACTTGGTCAACATGCCTTACCGTTTACCATTGTTTGTATACCTGCACTGTTTAAGTACATTGGTTATATATCTGCACAGCCTATGTACACTATATACCCCTGCAATGTCTATATATAAATGCTGAACTGTATACCTGCACTGTGTATTTACGTACATGCTGAACCAACTGTAAATTTATTTGATTTCATTGAGTAAATATCCATGTAAAGAGAAACTGACTAATAATTGAATAAACTAAAAACAGGTGATCTTTTTTTCTGGCTTTAACCATATTTGAGTTACTCCAAATGCTAATCACAACTATTCTTTAACCCTTAAACAGCAGCCATCACTGGTGGTAGTCAGCTGTAGGGACAACAGCCAGCATCAGAGAAAGTTTCATGTTCCTTGTGTTCCAATTTTGTTCATGTGGGGGACTGGGGAATCCTTAGCCACCAATTAAGGGTTACTAGTTATATATACAGTGCCTATATTGTACTATAATTGTTAATAGTATACATTTCAGCACTAGCAGTCGGCTCAAACACACATCTTACCTAACAACAATTAATACTGAAGTAAAACTCTTGAACATTCTTTGGTTAGTGCAGCAAAATTCTTAGTCATTTAATTCATCAAATCAAGAGAGCAATACTTCTTCAGTCAACTTATCAATACAGTAAGTACTTCCAGATTATCACAAAAACACCAAAATTGCGACTTGGAAGCCCATAGTTGGCGAGTAATTATCATTAAAATCTTCCAAGTGTCATTATGACCACTAATTACCCTGCAATCGAATAGTGGATCATAGATTCAGAATCGGTATGCTCAGGAGTACCAAAACTGAGATTTTCAACAAAATCCAATTTTGGGCTGAAATATACTTCTCTCGGAATTGGAATTTAAAGGGTTTTTAACTAATTAAGTACAGTACTTCCAGCATATCACAAAAACACAAAGATTGCAACTCAGAAACCCATAGTTGGTGAATAATTAGCATTGAAAGTCATTAAAATCGCCCAAGCGTCATTATGACCACTAATTACCCAGCAATCAAATCGTGGTTTAGTAGTACAGGACAGTACTCTTAATGTGTTTGCTATGTAAGTGCCTTGCCATGTCACCTCACCCCTTGCCTTTATTATTACAGAATTGTATGTACATTTAGAAAATATTTTTGTTTGCACAGTAATTATAAATAGATTATTTTATGTGGCAGCCAAGGCAAGGCACAAAAAATGAACAGAAAATGTATGAATAATCGAACACAAAATTCGGAAATTGTCGAATGTCAAAATATTCCGAACTTGGTAAATTCGGATTTTTCAGTAATTTGAATGACCCAGAGCCCATGTTTTGTTGAAATAAACTAACGGGGGTATAGTGTAAATACAAAATATAATTTACAATAATAATGTAAGGTATAATTTTGGTATTAAGACTTATTTCTAGTGAGACAGCTGACAGTTACTAGCGACTTTGGCATTGTCCAGAACATACAGAGTAGTAGAGTGCATTTGTGAAGTAATTAATGAGTGTGTTACGTGTTGTACGGCACACGTTGGTCGGTGTCATCACGTTCAACACACGTGAGGTATACTGTACTGTGTTAAACAATGTAGAGTGATTAACAATGGAGAACATCTTAATAACCCAGAATATTCCTCACAGTCATTCACCACCAAGCATCAGAACCTTTAGCAAGACTCATATCCTATTCATCAAGCCTCTTCTCTCTTTTACACATCTTATCATACAATTCTTCCACTACTCCAGTTCACTTGTATCCTCAGCAGGTTGTGGAGCAGTCAGGTTCATCTTTTGATTACATTTAGTATCAAGACTGAATTTTTGCTGCCGTAAACACTTGATTGCTTCCTCGATTTGATTTTCTGGCTGTGATCGCTGAAACACTATGAAGTTAAATTATTAAGAAAGAGAATACAGTAGTTTAACCTTGAAGGATTTGTAAGAATGAGAGAAAATGTGTAACAGTCCTTAAGTTTGTGTGTGCAATTAAAACATGGAATATATTAGCTAGGGTAATTACTGTACCTGTATACCCTAATTTTGCCATTTCACCCATCAATTAAAACAATTCAAGATGTTTTTGATGCAGTTTCAAAATGAATTAAAACAGGTAATTGATATTGATGAGAATTTTAGGTAACAAAAGAGATTGTTTTGTTTTGAGGCATGAAGTTATGTTTTTCTTATACAGTACTGTATATACGGGTACACCACCGATTTTTTGGCACCCTTGATTTCAAAGCCTTGCCAGATTATCCGCTTTGCCGGACCAGCCGAGGTCACGTAATAATTTAATTTAACAATACACCTCTGACCCACTAATCATACACCTCCTATGTCTCTTAAGCACCATGGACCGCTAGAAACTTAAATTAAACAAATATGTACACACTTTGTACTCAAATGTACAGTACCTCACTAAAGGACAAAATTTTTTATCTCTTATGCAAACTATGTGACGTTTCTACTCAAAATAATCACTATCTTACAAGGAATCCAGCAATGCAAGTTATATTCTGCCAAGTTTAATCTGACATATTATAAGATAAAAATTTTAAGCCTAAAACTACCTTCACCCTGGCTGGGAGGGAGGGAGGGAAGTTAAGTGCCCTCTCATAATTTTGTCCGGACTAAAGGAGGTGCCGGACCATCAGTTCCCGGAAAATCGGTGGTGTAACCTGTATTATATTTGGTGGCACAGTTTTGTGGGGTAATTTGAATTATTAGTTTTTGTAGTAGTAGAAAGGCCACCGTAAACTTATAGAAATTAGGAAGATGGATTACCAGTGTTGAAGATTTGTTGAGAAGGAATTTAATGGCTCTTTCTGTAAATGAAATGACTGAATTCACTAGTGACTCTTTGCTACAAAGTGGAAAAATAATCTTATTTTAAGGTTCATCAGTTTGTTTACTTTATTGTTTCCTGTTTATCTTGATGTATAATGTAATTTATTCCAGTATACTTGTTGTGGCTGGTCACTGCTCCACCTTAGTCCATCTCATTATCACTTTTTAAGGTGACACTATTAGCCAATGTCGCAGATGGCAAGGATGACACTGTGTATTCTGGAGTTGAATCCCTACTGGCTGTTGATGATGTGTCCAGGGGTGTAGTTTCTCGACTTGGTGGAGGATTATAAGGAACATCTATGGTGCCTTCTGTTCCCACGAGCGCCATTTTATATACAAGGCGATTAGGATGGTTAAGTGGCAAACGACCCATTTTCAGCCCCATCTTGTAAACATTATGACCGACAGACCAACATTCAGGCATAAACTTTGGCTTCATGGAGTCCAGAAAGTGCTGTCTCCACCTCTGCTCAAGCTTCACCAGACCAATCTTCTCGTATGCTTCATAAACCTTCTGACCGTGGGCTTGATAACCCTCATTTAAGACCTTCACATTCATGTTGGCAGCATCTTGAAGATGCTCTATTAATACCTCATCCACTTTAAAGAAATCTTTAATAAGTTTTTCCATCTCAAACACTTTCTTTTCTGGAATGTTATCTCGGTTCTTCAGTAGGGCTCGAGCTGCATTCCTTACAAATTTGCAAGAATTGTCGACAGCAACCTTGAAATCCTGTTCAACACCAATAGGAGCATTAAGCTCTTTGGCCAACTGAGAACGATAGGTATTGTCATACATGTTACTCTGTCTATGACAGGCAAAACACAGCAGCAACACATCATGATTTTGATGATGTTTCAATATGGCTGGAAAATATTTGCGATAATCATGGGGCACAACATTTTTCCTGATATATGATTCATCCTTACCACAGACGACACAAACATTCTGTCGCTTCTGAAGATAAAACTGGCCATCCTCCTTCTCAGCCTGAGGACGACCGGCAGGTTCAAATTTCAAACGTACGACAAGTGGTTCATTGCTGACTAGGACCCCGAGACCTTTCTCCACATACCACCGAGCTTTGTTGGGATCAATTGTACAGAGCGGTTCATCATCTGGAGCTCTTAGTTGACAGTTGTAGTACAAAGGACCCTTCCTCATGGGGTGTCCTCGTGGTGATACTTTCTGCTTCAGAGGAGGACATGAGTGGTTGTTCTGTACAGCACCTGTTAAAATGTTTAGAATTAAAAGAATCAGCCACCATCTCTTATGTAGTTTCTCACAATTAGTGGGGTGGTAACCCCTATACAAAATGGGTTACTTTTAACCGAGATATTGATGTGGCTGGTGGTCAGCCCAGCACACACCACAGCTTAATAACTCCCAACCAACTGTGTCTAATTGTATTATTAGATTGAACCAGTGACTGGGAGTTTAGTGTACTACCAACTGAGACATTGAGCCCTTGTGAATTAAATGTATATCAACCACAGTACAGTACTGCATACGTATTTGAAAAAGGTGAATTATACAATACTACATGTATTGATCTGATTATATACATGCATAGAGCTGGTAGTATACTGTAAGGTGTTACAGCTACACACAAAATAATATATGAAAAATGGGAAGAACCTTGTAGAATAAGACAAGTAAGATGTGATGGGTTAAACCAAGGCAAGTGAGGGCTGATATTGATATACAGTAGCTTATTAATATAATAAATCAGTGAATATAATAATAATACTTAGTGAAGGAGATAAACTGTGAAACATGGAGATAACTAAAGTGTTATACATATTAAGGAAAAGATTTGGCTGTTTAATGTGTCTTTGTTGACCACACAAAATTATCATGCCTGTACTTGATTAAGTATGTTAGTAAGTCATTAATACTGAGGCTTAAGTGAGTAAAATAATTTTGAAGAAGAACAAGAGACTGAACAGTATAGAAGAATTATCATATGTATAAATGTTGAGAGGGAGAATAATAGAAAACTGAGATAAACAGTGTAGAATAACAAAGAGACATGAACCTGGATCTCTGACCATCATGTTCTATCATTTAGTCTTGTAATTATCCAACTGTACCTGTTTCTTGTTGCTTGTTGGAGGAAGAAAACTTGACATCAATAAAACCTTGACAGGTCTGGTGGATTGCTGTGGGCAGATGGTGGTGCCAGAGTGCTGGTGCTACAGGGAAGGATGACCCCCATAGTCTCTCCATCAACACCATCAAGATATGAATACCCACAAGAGCGTCCTCGGCAGCATACCTCTCCTTTGGACAAAACAGCTCGAGATGAAACCCATACCACGATGACTCCTTGAGCTTACACCAGCACTCTACAATGATGTGTCGTTTCCAAAGACCTTCTTCAAGTACATCTAGCTCATTACACTACATGTCCAAGTACATCACAGATCACACCAGTCCTTCAGTAATATGTCCAGATACTAGAATCTTTCCCAACTATTACCTGCTTGAATCTGTTTATCTGAAGTATTTGATGGTGAATTCTACATGTTTGTTTGGCTGTAACAGGTGTAAAATAACCCTTGGAACCATTAAATGGGATGTAACTTCCTACCTGTCTCCTGGTTAAGGTAACAGCCTCCCAATCGCTAGCTCTGACTCGCCAGTCCTTGTCCAGGGTGCGGTCAAGATATTTGTGCGCAAGGGAGCTGAGCCCCATACCACCAGATGACTTCCCTACACTTGATGGCTGACTTGAGCCCACCTCTGACGCCTGAGATTGTAGCACAAGGTAGCGCAAGTCAACACATCCTCTCACCTGTTACGAAAAGGGAAATTTTCTGCCATTATAATGCATCCGTAATCATCAACATCATTTTACAGCAATTTTCAAATCTTGCATTCATAATAACTACCGAATAATAATAAAACCTTTCCAAATCATGACAATTCATCCCTAACCTCAGCCTTCACAAACTTATTTTAATCACTGGTCCTTCACTGTACTACGAGGGAGACGCAAGAGAGGTTGCATGTAAACACAAGCACATCTTTTACTCTTAGTTTCCAAGTTACCTCAGAAATTCAGTTCACTTTGACAGAACATTGAAGGGATTGTAAAGATTAAGAACCTTCATTTACTTCACCGGATGATTAAATGCCAAATAGGGGTAGACGGGGTTGAATTTATTGAGTAAAGATTCATGCAGTACAAACATACAGATAGTATAAATATTTACCATGGATAACACAAATTACTAGTTATATTTATTTCCAATGTGGTTTGGTTAGATTAGGTAAAACTGAATTTGGTTGGATTAGGTTAGACTTAATTAGGTTAGCATTAGGGTGTTTAATTATCAGGTAAACTAATAAGGGGTTCCTAATCATTATAATATCCAGCACATACCAAACCAGCTAAACTAACCTAACCAAGTAACCTATTCTAACCTAACCAACTAAATTAACCTAACCTAACCAACCTAATCTAACCAAACCAACTAACATTGTCAGATCATTGGCATACACCAAATTTGTCCTCATTCTCATACTCAACTGGCAGCTAACAGGAACATTGAACCTTTACTATGAAATAATTCCTCACAATTCTCTCTCCATTTTTACCAATTATACCTTAACGAGTCATTTATCATTATCATTTTTTTTAATTAATAACGAATACTTGCGCTGTCGTTGATTTTTATGAGGTAATTCTGATTAGCTACCGTGTACTAATAAACTGATCCACACTGCACCTCACACAAATGCTTGCTATATAAAATGAAAAAGAGAACACAGACATTGGTTTAGCGGGTGAGTATATAAATTAACTTTATAAAAAAACATCCAATAAACATTATAGCACAAGTTATATTTATAAAAACATTCAATAAACACTATAGCATTTGAGTTACCTTTATAATAACATTCAGTAAACATTACACGAGTTACCTTAATGTCGTAATCAGCAGCGAGGTAATTACTGTCCTCGAGGGGTCCAACGCCTACTTTAAGTATCGTATCGTCTTCCAAAAAATCCTGGAATTTATGAGGGACTTGATAGATTTTATTTTCATGTTACGTGCAGCAGAGAAAAGGGGAAAAAAAAGAAAGAAAAACGAAAGTAGGAGGAGGTTAAGGAAGATTAGTTTAAGATTAGGGGTTCATCAACATTGTCATCACCAACTATATCATTATCATCGTTATCACCAAATTTTTTACGGCCATTTCTACTCCATACTTTTCAAAAGACTAATGTACTTTCTAATTTTCTACAACACAACACTTTCAAATAGACATTTCCTTTACCAATATTTACTATAGGAACCTACTAAAATTGTTTCTTTCTACTATTATACTGTACAAGACCCTTTTAAAGACTGTCAAATCTTAATGTCTATTACATAACCCTTTTAAAATAGGCTACAGTACAGTACTTATCTATTTCCTGCTACAACCATTTTAAAGATTACTACTTCCCAATTTTCTATCCTTTATTACTTCCTATAACAATACTTGTACCTTTCTCAGTCTCTTTGTCCTTCCTTCCTTTTACTTTCCTTTATGTCTTTTTTTCCACGGCAGATTGCCTCATTTTCAATCATTCTATTGTTCTTAAGTCAAGCAAATGATGACACCTTCATCTATAAAACTGCTAAACCTGCAGGCACGGAGACTGTCACTAACTGAAACGTGTAGAAAGTATTATTGTACAGGTATCTTTCGCTATATGAATCTGGTGGTGGGGGTGTAGGTGGTACAGTTATAACGAGAGTATCTCTTACATGGTATCCTGGATTCAATCCCCAGCCTGGGACAGATGTGAGAAAGGTATTATCCAGTGTGACACTTCACAACATGGCAGGTTTTCTCTTGGTACTCCAGTTTCCTCCTGTACTAAAGCTGGATAACAGAGTACCGTAACAAAGAACAGACCAACTGCCAGCATAGGTAGTAAGCAGATATGTGGTGAAATGATAGATAAATAATTAAATAATGATTTCCCTCCTGTGGAATCCTGTCACTACAAGCAGGATCTGTCCACAGTGAAGTTCTCATTACATCAAACTTCAAGAATTACCAGAAGAGCCTCCACCAACATAAAGAAGAACTTACTCTGAGAGTGTGAGGAAAATTAGGCTTCATGTGTGAGAGTCGCACCAGGACACACAAGCCAGAGCAGGAGGCCAGCTGGAGGAGAGCCACGGGACGGCGTCGTCCTCTCACCTGCACCCACTCACAGTCAAAGCCCACGGCACCATCTTGTTGTGCTTCCCTGACACCAAATATGAAAACAAATAATCATTCAGGTCATAAAATTCACACTAACAAGAATAACTGTGTGATGTTTACAGTAGACAATACCAAATGTGCACAGAACCAGAAATAATATTTATATACAGTACTGTACTGTATTACCATTTACTAAGGCACATCTTGAAGAGTTACATTAACTTTGATAATTTAACCAAAATGGTTCTGGTGAAGTGTGGGAAAACCTATAAAGTTTAAGAAGAAATTATAAGGCATACTTCCTCACAAGCAAGACTATTTGCTAAGTTTACTTACTTATATATAAGGTACTACTGCATATATAAATTGCTCCTTCATGAATAATTCTAAATCTTCCTGTAACTGTCACATCAGTGCCTGTTATCACATACATGTACTGTATATACAGTACCTGTATATACTCCATGATAACAATATCTTCATACAGGAATGTATCAGCAAAGGAAACACAACCGGAGATTAAGAAATTCACTTGACACATGTTTAAACCTTATACTGGGGTAGTCTTCCTCAGGAGAGTAACTCACACAATGAGAATACTGTATCAGCCAATTACCTGTATACAAATTTCCGAATGTAAACTTGTGTTCCCTTTGCTGCCACACTCCCATCTGTCCAAATGACTTATATTCATCTTCATATACTACAGTATACTTTAAACAATCAACTAATTCTCCTTTCAATGACGAGTCAGAAGGAGATAAACTCTTTTACCTGTACAACAATGGCATCACCCTGGCCCAGCCATCCTCACTGGTCACCACCTGAACACTCTTCTCTGTTGTCCTTAATGACCTCAGCATCCTCCACAAGCGCACCGTCTGGGTGATGGATTTATGATGTAAGAGTAGCAGTCCTATGCTTCCTACACCTAAGACAACACCAGTGACCACGGCTGGATGTTCAAGCAACCACCTCCTAATCATTGTGACTCATTCTCTGCAACACCACAAGAAAAATGTCATTGTGATCCTCCTGTACTGTTTTACTCCACAATTTCCATCATCTTCAAAGGTGATAGAGGTAAACTCACAAGAAAACCATTTGTCCCTGCAAAACAACAGAATAAAATTATTTTATTTTTCTATAATACAGTAATTATATAAATATCCCAATTGTTACAAATTTTAACCAAAGATTCTTTTACGAATGGAACTATTCATAAAGCTTGAAGGTACTGGCTAGAGCTACAAATTATGGTATTTTTTTTTACAAGCAGGCAACCAAGGAACCTCTAGGTTAGGTTACGTTACATTACGTTATTAGGTTAGGTTAGGTTATGGGTAGGTTAGTTATGGTGCTTTTTGGTTGTTGAGCAATGTGTTTTTCCGATATTAAAATCCATGGTTGTCCTCTTGTAAAAATTTACCCAAATTATTGATTGTAAATTAATTAAAACAACCTTTATCAACCACACCTAACCAAACTGCAAAACTTATTCTTTTGCCAATATCATGAGGTAAAAAAGCATTTAAGTTCCAGGGTGATATGTGGAACAGTAAGTACTAGTTAAAGTCTAGATTATATATAACTCCCAAAGTGGTTACCAGTATCTCTTAATGGGATGCAGTAGAGGCTGAAAAAGGTACAGCGCTCACCTATGATTAGCGTTACCATACGTCTAGTTCCCCGGACATGTCGCCCTCATCGGCTCTTAATTCTTTGTATGGCCAGTTTATTTATTTTTTCTTTTCTTTTTAAACATCTAAAAAATGTCCAGGGTTTTGTCCTACTCGTTCTGTTTCAAACAAATTCATATACTTTTATATAGAGCCCTGTAGCTTGATATAATGTGAATAATTATAACACTGATTATTGAGGCAATAAATTTCGTTCTTATTTATAGATATTCAATGTAGACAACTTGTAGTACACAGTTTAATAGCCACATTGTACACTCATCAGTTACTCGGTGTATATGCCCACATTGTATTACTTATTGTATTACATATATTATACAGTATACAACACAATACAATGTGAGTTAGTAAATACTGATACAGATACACCGTCAGGAGTGTCCTCTTTTGTGAAAGTTTAAATATGGTAACTCTTCCCACGACCCATCACAGTTGATGTATGGATATATAGCCTCCATGTTCAGTAAATTCGTTATACAAGATATAATCGATTCAGAATATATAACTACAATGCAGGTACAGTATATAGTCTCCAATGACCGTGCAGGTCCACTGTAATATTTTTGCTAACTACAAATTTTTTAAACTTGTGCTTTGTTACATACCTGTGATAAATACCTCCCCTCTCTATCCTCGAGCTGATATATATTGACGCCTGAGATTCTTGAATCATCTAGAAGCCACAAACTTCACCATGTTAACGTTAGGCAATGTAGAGGAGGTGTGTTGTGTTATCTGGTCCACCCTTATGACGCCACGTTTGTTTACCACTACCAATGTTGGGGCTGTACCACGCGCTCTCACACTCCTCTAATCTGTCGTCTTACCTAGAGGTCACGTGACCTTGGCCAATCACTAGAGGTGGCCATGCCTGATGAAGGAGGCCAGTGGCCTGTGCAGGATCCTTCCTCTGTTCTTGATAGTCTTACCCAGGACTATTCTCGTTGCCACAGCTTGAGCTGGTCACTGTTCCATAGGCCTATCACCTACTGTGTGAAGGTATATATTTCCTTATTTTCATTCTGCACACTGTACTTGGTGAGGTTGTAGTTGTGTCCCCTCGTGGTGGTGGTGTATGATTGGAAGGAGTGTAGAACAAAAGCCCCCTAGGACAAAAGCTCCCAGGGCAAAAGCCCCTAGGACAAAAGTCCCCTAGGAGAAATAATAAGAATTTTTAAAATAATTTTTTTTAGTTTATGAACACTTCTCTAACCTAACCTTCGGGAATTCTGTTATAGTTATAAAGAAGTATACAAGGAATGTTTATTAAATCTGCAATGACGCATGTTTTTGTCTACTGGGGTAATTGCTCCCCTGAAATTCAGTGACCTCACTTGGCCCTCGGGTCACCTCAGTAAATACAGAATGAACATGAAGGTAAAATATGTCGTCTTTTTTCTTTTCTATTTATTTAATAATGTTCTATATCAAAATTGAAAGTTATAATATTCTAATTATTTAAATTGTAATAATTTCATATTTAGGTCTATATATTTTTAATATTTCTAATGACCCTCTCTTTAACATAAAAACAGGGGGCTTCTGTCCTATTTTTCACTTTTACTGAGGGGCTTTTGTCCGGGCCCCGACTGGAAGTATCATATCACAATAATATGGCCCGGGTTCACGTTTTCCACCCCGTTTAAGATTTTGAATATCTCCATGAGATAATTCTATTGTCTTGTCTAAAATCGTCGTCCATCGGTCTTTGTATAACTCAGGAGCAACAGAAAAATTGTATGTTGTTGAGAGGCAGGTGTTGGCCATGTTAGTATGTTGGTCATGATAGTGTGTTGGCCATGTTAGTGTTGACCATCATGTGGTGGCCATCACTAGCGGACCCAAGGGGTGGGCCCATGGCCCCCCCCCCCCCTTAAGCCCACGGTTCCTTAACCGTCCGTGGTCAAATGCTGGAATCCTACATTTCACCCCCTGGTCAGGCAAAAGTGATTTTTTTCTGCCTAATACGTCCCATTGGGTCTGAAAATAAAGGAAATAAACCTCAATTCCCTCGTAATTGCCAATTTAAAGCTCCCGCGCGCACCCAAGTTGCCACGGCAGGTCTCTGAGATGATGTCACGCGCATTTCCTTACCAGTGGTGCCGCTGTTACGTGTTTTTTCGTGTCTCCAGCCCCCCCCCCCCCACCACTGGCCATGATAGTGCAGTGGACATGAGAGTGCAGTGGCTATGAGTGTGGTGATCATGAGTGTGGTAACCATGATAGTGCAGTGGCCATGCGTTTTTAAATCAACACACCTGTTTTCTTACCTGCCCAGGTAACTATATCACAGTCACCAGCTTTTCTATACCCTGGTGCGTGTCATACATCGAGGGATTACAAAATTAATGATCTTCCCGATTTTAAACATTCATTATGAAAAAAAAAACATGAGCACAGCTACAGTAAAAAGCAAAATACTAATATATTTTTTAAGTTTTATTTTCAAGCTATTCGTTAATTTCGTAGCTCTGTAGATATCAATATGGTATTGTTTCCCGCTATATATATTTTGCATCAATCCAACAGAACTTTTCAAACAGCCTTACGTATTTTTTCTAACAAATTTCCAAAGTTGCCATTTGTGACACAGCCCCAGAAATAAAATGAACATATATTGTTTTTTTCTTCAATAATAAATGTTTAATATCGACAAGGTTATTTGTAATCACTTGGTATACACAATAGTCACCGTTGCAATAGTCTGTACTCACACTACTATCGAAGCTGTTAATTTAATTTATTTACTGATGTTTACAATATACAATAAGTAGAGATGTTTGACCACTCCATCTCAGGTATACGGGTAAATATAATAATCAGAACCACGACTTAATTATTTACTGAATTTTCCGAATTGGATTTTTTCTTCAGGTGAATGTGTTATTATATATAGCACAAGATTATCTTCAATATTCACTAATGCGTGTTATCCTAGCGGGTCAAGTCAGGTTAGGTTAGATTAGGCTGGGTTACTCGACGCTACAATTTTTTCTCCATAAAGATGTCCAATTGTATATTCTTTGTACTACTAAGAGACGACAAAGGTGAAGAGAACAGGCAGCACCCTGCAGTTAAAGTAAGGCTTATACCAGTAGTACATTAACAGGTAGTGTTAGCAGGCCACTGAACTGTACTCCATGTCTCCATCACCTTCACGTCTCCAAATGACAACACCAAGCACTTGGCACAAGTTGGCGCCACTGGCGATGAGGATAAAAGTCAAGTAATTGTAAAATAAGATACCCATTTAAAGCTGGGTGAATTTCATAAGCATATATTTTATGTTTTTAACCCCAAGTGTCAGATTGATATAATTTGAAAAACTATTAAGAGTTTCATCCAACACACAATAATAGTCATAAGATAAACACAAGCGCATCACTTGTGTGCCATTTTGGGTTAAACACAACAGAAAGAAGAAATAACTACATTATTACGACACAAGTATTAGTAATATATATATAAAATAGTTACATTATAACTTTTATCATAAAAACTCATATAATATCTACATCTACGTTATTTATTTTGTATTTTGATTTTATATGATCTTTGTATATTAGTATGAAATTTATCATATAAATAAATATATATATATATATATATATATATATATATATATATATATATATATATATATATATATATATATATATATATATATATATATATAATCCTACAGATCACAGGACACACATTATGCTGTTTTCTTAAGGTGATATAGTTCACTTCACTGTTTGAGGTTCACAGTGAAGCATGTGGGGATATTTCTTAAATTTATACATTATAAATATATACCTCATCAGATTGATTTCAAATGGCACAGCAAAACTCACTAAACGAATTTTGTAATTTAAGCAAAGTTAAGTTTACGAGAAGAAGGATCTTGTTCAAAATAATATACAAATTATTTCATTTACGATTCTTCGATTTATTACTTTAATATAATCTGTCTGTCTGATGTGGTGGCTATTGGTGACGTTAGTGTGAGCTAGGGTCTGGTTCAGTGTCTTGCTAGTTCAGGGTTCCATCAACAATGTTAGGTGTTGCCAAGAGGCTGTCCACCGCCGCCTTATATGTAGTCCCACTTTAGGTTGTGTCCAGTCTGTATAGTGACAATGCCGCTGCGCATCATCTGTGGGCTAAGTGTAGGAGGGTGTTGGCTGGTGTACCGTGGTGACGTCACTTCCCCGGAGGACCTACCTGGGGAATAGGACTCGCTTGATACCTGGGGAAGAGCTAGGGAAGGTGAAGTGGGTTTCTCCCCGACACCTCCTGCAGCAGCTGGGGAACCCTCGTGACTGCCAACAGTTTGGGGTCGCGTAGAATTTTGCTCCTTATCAACCATCGTGATGGCAGCAGATGCGACCTTGGATCCGCGGGGAGAAGGGATCGGTATTTTCTTTTTAGGTTTTTCTTCTGGGGTCATTGACCTCTTTGTCTGAGAGGAGCATCCTGCGATGGCCTGGCAACTGTTCGACTGATTTTCAATAAATGGAGAACGTTCTTCATCTTCAATCTCGTCGGCGCCACTGTCAGTATCAAGTGTCTCGTTCAATGTTTCGTCTAAGCATTGTACGCCAGTATTCTGTTGACCTGTTGACTGTTCAGTCCTGTTGGATTGTGGGGATGGTGGAGGCGAGTCATCCTCAGACATCATGGGGGTGGTGGTGGCCGAAGTGTTGAGGTTCATCACCACAAGGTCCTCCTCAGAGGCCAGTCTCATCCTGTGGCTGGGACTCTTTGTTTCTCTCCTGCGAGGTTTAGGTCCGTCGTCCTTAACCTCTGTACCATTCGTTGGAGTAAACTTGTCTGTTAGATCTAGCCTGAGTTTGTTTTTGACCTGCGTCGTCCTCACTCTGACTCGATCATCTGCTTTGATGACAATTGTTTTCCCTCTTCGCTTAATTAGGCTTGAATCTGCAGATTTTTTCACGGTGACCACAAGCGGCCTCTTTGGTACAGCCCCAGAGGCAGGTGAAGGCAGGTCCTCCGAGTCTACTTCACTCGGCCACTCTGGTATACCCTGAGACCTTGAATCCCACAGCTCGATGGACTCAGCTTCCTCTTGTTTTAAGGGAGGTACTGACACCTTTTCCGTATCGCTAATATCTGGAGAGTTCGCGTCTTCATTTTTAAGGTTCAAGTAAGGAATGTTGATTGAAGGCAGAGAAGAATCACTGCCTTCATTCCAGTCATCAGACTCCTGTAAGTGTAATTTAGGGCGAAATTCTTTATTGAAAGTAGTTATAAACTTGGCCGTTGCCTCTTTTACAAGACCTGGCTTAATGTTGGCATCTACAACAGCATTCTTCATGCACACCAGACCTGGAAGTCCTCCTCCACTCGACTCCACCGAGTCACTCCTCAGGACTCCCGGTACATGTTCTCTCAGTGGTGTGACAGGAGAGCGGGCTGGTGAGGGGGTGCTGTGCCGTGAGCCCAGTCTTGGACTGGTTGGCGTTTGGGACAAGCCATTATACATATAAACACGATTTCTAATGCTCGGAATTATTTCTTCCTCTGGAGACTGGGTAGTATCCGGGGCAGTTTGAGTGGCGACGATGATAGGCTTGGGTGAGTCAGGGACGGGACTGATGAGGGGACACTCAAGGTCCTCGACGGATGACATAGTGGCACTGTCATTCTGCGAGAAGAAACTATCCAAGTCTCTCTGAACAATGTGACCGAGGGAAGGAGCTGATTGGTTTCTGACAAGTTTTCTCTTCTTGAGTGTAGCGCTACTCACCGGCGAGTCTTCTGGAAGCTTATGATTGTCTTTATTATTTGGGTCCACAGTCACAGTGGGTGTTCCAACGGAGGTGTCTGCATCTCTCTTCTTAGTGCTCTCTTCAATGGCCAGATAATAATGCACTTTGGACTTAACTCCTCCCATATGAAGATTTTCATCCTTAGAGTTCTCGGGTTTGAAGTGAGCACAAGAACAGGCTCCGTTACAAGTACAGTCAGGCCGAAGTTTCTGTGCCTTCAACAACATTGCTTTCCTTGCTTTAACAGTTCCTCGGTTGATGGTACCACCGCTAGAGGACATTCTGTTATGTTTGGTCCTGTTGGCAGGAGCAGCTGGACGCTTTGCCGCTGGCCTGACCACCACAGAGGTCTTACGTGGCTCCTCTTCTGGTCCCTCACCTCTGGACATCCGCTGGAACATTTCCCTTGCAGCTCGAAGACGATCTGTTGGTGACATATCCTGGGCTAGTGCCGAGTCACTGCTGGTCTGTGTGCTCTCATTAACCTGACTGGCGGCGTTGCTGGTGGAAGGCCCCTCAACAGGACGAGGGGAGACTGGCTCACCCTGACTGGCCTGCTGCATTGCCATTTCGTAGGAGGGAGGTGCCGAATCGTCTTCCTTGCTACCTTGACGCTCGGGTTTACGAGCAGCAGATGTCTTCTTCTTCCTCTTGCCGCCCCTTTTAGTAAGTCTCTTGCTTTTCCTGGCGTGTACAGCCACCCTCAGGTTCTGTGGGGTGCTGGTGCCTGGCGTTGACACAGCTGAGGTGTCGTAGGTGAAAGACCTCACGGACAGCTGTGGAGAGGTGAGTGTGTGGACGGGTCTGACAGATGGACGAGGGGACTCCACACCCTCGGGGGCCTCAGTAATAGTCTCTGGAGCGATGCTGACGCTGTGGCCCTGCACGTGAGCCTGAATGATCTCTGGCAGTGGCGTCACGGGAAGGGAAGAACGACGCACGTGACCCAGCGGCACCTGAGCAGAAAGTGTGTTGCGAGACTCGGCCTCGGTACCTGTTGTCGTTCTTTCTCTGAGCCAACCAGACAAGTTGTTAGTACACTGTAATTAACTACACCCAGAGTTATGTTATCACTATATTATCCAATAAACTAAAAGGAGGTTAGGTTATTAGGTTTGATTAAGTTAGGTTATTAAGTCAAATTTGGTTGTTATATTAGATTGTTATGTTATATTTACTAAATTATCTTATGATCATCACCATCCCCACACCACAACCACCCGTGACTCACCGAGTGGCACTGAAAACGTTTGGATTCCACAGCACAACCTCCATGCCTTGTTCTAGGTCGAGGGAGGCGTGGCGGGTCCTTAGCGGCCTCTCACCGTTGGCCCGACTCTCTCCTACTTCATTAGCCAACTTGTCTGGTACCCAAGCCGTCACCCCACCAGGACGGCGAACCAGCTGACACAAACAAAAACAAAAAACTCAATTACAAATATAAATGTTTTAATGCTATAAACATCTTCATTATCTATAGCTTTTGTGAGGTAAGTTGACCTGTCTTTGATACCTTAAGGTTGTTACCGGAGAGGATGACCTTGATGACCTCCTCATAGTCTGGAGGTGGCTCGTACAGTGGAGGGTCATCGGCCGAGGCGTCGAAAATCTCCACACCGTCGGAGAGGGAGCCTGGATATAAATATTGTTGTTATTATTTTTATTATTACTATAATTTTATCATTATTATTATTATTATTATATCCTAAAAATTCATTATTCCAGCTTATACTACGAGAGTTATTAAGAAATATTAAAAGACAGACCTCGCCGACTGACTATGGCGCGCCGTTCTCTGTGATGGCCTCTGTTACTGTGCATGCCATTCTTGAACATGTAGGAGACGAGACCAAACGCCACGATCACCAGCACTGTACATAGATAGATAGGTAGATAGATAGAAACTAAGATAGGTATTTAGGTAGCTAGAAAGATGAGATGGATGTAGATTGATAGAAAGATGAGATGGATGTAGATTGATAGAAAGACAGTTAGATTGATAGATATATAGGTAGTTTGAAAGGTAGATATATACATAGATAGATAGATATTCAGTTAAATCGTTATACACGTTTATAATTGGTTCAAAACGTACTACAGCATAACCAATGAGAGGGAAGTATCTCTCTCATTAGGGATGAGAGAGAGAAATAGACTGTTTAAATGCCCTACCGCTAACCTAACCTGACCTAAATTAACCTAAACAAAGCTAACCTAACCTAACCAAATTTAACGTACAGGTAATTTATCATAATTTTACCTAACCTAACCTGACCTGACCTAACCTAACCTAACCTAACCTAGCGCTAACCAAATTTAACGTACAGGTAATTTATCATAATTTTACCTAACCTGACCTAAATTAACCTAACCTAACCAACCGCAAAGCTCATTTACCAGAATCAAACCAAATTTACCATAATCTAACAGTTAGATTATGGTTAGATTCTAATGTAATTTACCATAACCTAACCTGACCTAACCTAACACAGTACAGTACCACAACTCACTAATTAAAGAGATAAGGAGTAAGAGGCCAGACCAGCTATGATTTCCCCCGAAGACTGAACTATTACTCTGGGGAAAATAATAGTTGGGTGTGTGTTGGTACCACCAGGCAGCGTCTTCAGGAGTCAAGCTCTTGTTCCCAGGACCCATGTAACAGGTGGTGGGCTCGTCGCTGTTGTCGCCGCAGTGGTCAAAGCCGTCACAGCGAAGCATCTTGGGTATACAGCGGTGGTTATGGCACATCAGGTCCGTCAGTGTGTAGCAACCTGGTGGAGATGACGATGAAGGGTGATGTGTGGGGTTAAATGGTGTAATAGAACATTAGAGAATCTCCTACAACAGCCTGACGAAGGGAGACTATGTTTTTAATGCGAGATATTAACTGTAAATATCTCCTAACGCTGTAAAATATATTCTACTCAAAGATAAGATGGCGTTCGTGGTGACAACTCAACACTGACATCAACTAAACCTTCTCTACCATTATGTCATTTCAGTGTTGTATTGTATTCCTATATTCTTTGTATTCTGTACTGTATCTGGGTATGACTGTAATGAAGCCTATTATCATTATTACTATTGTCATTATTAATATTCTCATTAGTGTCATTATTACTATTATTTTTTTATCATGTCTTTATTAGCAGCAGAAATATAAATAGTACTTGGCTAAGAAGAAACCCAGTAGTAGTAGTAATAGTATTAATAGTAAGAAACTACTATTAGTAACAGTAATAGTAGTAGCAGTGATAGTAATAATAGTAGTAAAAGTAGCAGCAGTGTTAGCAGTAACGGTGATTAGCGGTAGAAAAAGTAGTTGCAGTAATAGAAGTAGTAACAGTATAAGTGACAGTAGCAGTAAAAGCAGTAGTAACAGTGATAACAGTAGTAGTAGTTGTAAGTGATAGTAACAGTAGCAATAGTGATAGTAGTAGTAGTTGTAAGTGATAGTAACAGTAGCAATAGTAGTCGAAACAGTAATAGTAACAGTAGTAGTCGTAACAGTGATAGTAACAGTAGTAGTCGTAACAGTGATAGTAACAGTAGTAGTCGTAACAGTGATAGTAACAGTAGTAGTCGTAACAGTGATACTAGCAACAGTAAAATAACACTCACTTCCCAGATAACTGAAGGAGGTATATACGATGGCTAGCTTAGAGTGCTTAGTGAAGGCGCCCCTCAGCCTCACATAGAAGCCTGTGTCTACTGCTGCCACGTGTTCCTGCCCTCTGCTGGCGCCAGTACCTCCCTCTACCGTCTCCAGAAGGTAATCCTCGCTCGTCACGCCCTGCCTTATGTCCAAGCGGGTCCCCGACACTAAAAAATGCCAGACTGGGTGGTTAGTGAGAGAGGGAGATGATTGAGAGATAGAGGTAGAGATTATGATGCTAGTGAGAGATACAGGTTAGAGATTGTGAAATTAGTGAGAGATGGAGATAGTAGATACAGCAAATGTTTAAGATTCGACAACTTATCTCACCAGCACGACAATTTTACACACTGAGTACGATAACTTTAAAACAAATGTACGATAACCTTCAACAAGCACTGCACTTTATCCCTTTCGCTTGGCCAATAGAAGCGAAGACTTTTTGTTTATTATCATATTCGCCACTTATCAGCTTAATAGCCGTTTGGGAGGTTTATTCAGTGTTAGTACAGGAGGAAACCTGGGACCGGATAACCTGTGGTGTTTGGTAGTGAGGGTCACACGTGTCCGGGACGAGGTTCGAACCCTTGACATATGGGTGAGAGTAATGCACGTTACCGCTGCACCATTTATCAGCCTCCACCTTCTTAATAAAAGCGAGGAAACAGAAATAATATATTAACGAACCAAATCAAGTGATAAAAGTAACAAAAAAATTAATATTTGTTGCCATCTATTATATTTATGGAAATGGAGTGTGCGAAAAATACATTCTAAATAATTACATACACGTGAATACTGATTATAAATTGTCTCACCCACCCATGTCATCGAATTGAACGACCCTGATCGAGAGGTGAGACTTGAAGGCGTAGTTCTGGGGAGGCTGGACGATCCACACACAGTCGTACATCGTGAAGTTACTGTCCTCCTTGGCCATGTTCATCATAGTGATCGTACCTCCAAAGTTAGTGACGAATCCTCCACAGTCTGTAGTGCATATGAGGATTAATGTTAAAAAACACCCCGAACATTGTTTATATATTAATTATAAAAAAAATACATTATATACAATCTTTTTACTTACTTAACCTCTTCGCCAAATAAAAACTCAGTACAGTAATTCATTCGACTATATTTTCGACTTTTCAGTTTTGTTTTTGCTTTATGAACAAGAACGACATCCATTTTTTAAAATTTATATTTGATTTGTTTTTTTTTAATTCATTTATGAGGTCAATAATACAATAACATAAACTGCACATAGTTACCGGTTATTGCAGGATATACTTCCACGCTCTCTGTCAAGGTAAAGTAGAAAAATATCAATAAAAAATCAATAATGAACCTCTCCTTCAGAAAAAAGAAAATAAATTGAACCTCTGACCAATTAAAACACACAAATTGAACCCTTAACATGGCATAATACAAAGAAAAACACAAACAGACTTTGATCATATTACAACCCTTACTTGCATCAATGAAGGAGTACTGCAGATTGAACCCCCTGGCCGTCTCACCATTGCCACTGAACCTTATCGTGATTTGGCGCCCAGACGACACGAGGATGGGTGGTCTGAACACGTTACCATTGAACACAGCTACCCGGGACTTGTTCGTGTCTTGAACCTGCAAAGGGGAGGTTGTGAACATGAGATTGTGAACGTAAGGTTGTGAACATGAGATTGTGAACGTAAGGTTGTGAATGTGAGATTGTACTTGTAAATGCCAGAAAACTGAGTCCCAGAAATTAACATGAATGTAATCCCTTTCTTTACTCTCCCTCTCTTCCCTTTGCCCTCCCCTCACTCCTCTATCCCTTTACCCTTCCTCCACTCCTCTCCCTTTACTCTCCCTCCCTTCCAGAACACACCTCAATAAAGCTCCAGGGTGAGAGTTGGAAGTCCTGGAAGTTAATCTTGATCCTGGCGTCTGTTTCCTCAGCCCACAGCTCATATTCCATCCAGTGCTCCTTGGGATACAGCTCGGGGAAGAACGGTGACTTGATGTAGCCGCGTGTAGCGTTTGCCTTTCCTGTGATGTGGTACTTGTTGCCTGGTGGTGAGAGAGGGGAGGGGGTGAGAGGTGAGGGGGTGAGAGGTGAGGGAGTGAGAGGTGAGGGAGTGAGAGGTGAGGGGGTGACAGGTGAAGGGGTGAGAGGTGAAAAGTACATGCAGTGAGAGAGGCGAAAGAGGTCAGGGGGTGAAAATAGCTTGAAGAATGTATGGGAGTTTAGATACAATTAGTCTCTCTCTCTCTCTCTCTCACACACACAGACACAGACACACACACACACCCACACAATGACTCACGCTTGGCGGTGATGGCCACGGTAAAGGCATCAAGATATTTCCTGGTATAGATGAAGTCGAGGATGACCTCCCTAGTCTGAGTGGTGAAGGTCCTGGGCGTGTCCTTCCCTGTAGAGCACACGTCACGCCCCCCGGCCCCGCTCATGTATGGAGGCTCCCGCACCCGCAGGTAGTCACATCTGAGCCGCAGGACGAGGAAACAAGATGCAGGTATGAGTAAAGGTAATGAAGTGCTGATGGTTGGTAGGTGTAACAGAAATATTCGCGGTTCACCTAAGGATTAATCACTCTAGGTCAAGCCTAATCTAACCTAACCTGACTTAATCTCTCCCCCCCCCCACCGTTCCCACTCACCTGCAGGATTCGTCGTGAGAGCAGGAGGGAAGGTTGACCTGTTCGAAGGTAAATTCCAGGTGACACTCGGGACAGGTAAAGAACTCGGCACCACACTTGGAGGGCTGAGCCAGAGTGGCGGTCACGTCTGTTTCCACCGATGGTCCCAGACAGACAGACGCGGAGAAACAATGATAATAATAATAATAATAATAATAATAATAATAATAATAATAATAAACCAACAAAAATAATTATACAGGTAATAATAATAATGAAAATACTAATTACAACAATAATAATAACAGTAACAATAACAACAAACGGTGGAGTTCTTTTCAGCAGTGAGGTTAGGTTAGGTTAGTTTGTTGGGCTTCTGCTGAGTGAATTGGTCAGGAAAATTGGAATAATTTCTTGTATACATAACACGTATCTATCTATCTATCAAATCATCCAACTATCACATCATCCACCCATCCATCCATCCATTTATCTATCTCACCCAGCTCATTTATCTATCTATCACATCATCCATTTATCACGTCACCCACCTTGCATCTCCTGCTCTTGGGGTTCATCCAACATCATCTCTGGCGACTGTGCTGACGGGGAATTGGCGGCGGCTGTAAGTGGCGGATGGCGGGCTCGTGGTGGCGGCTGGCGGGCTGGTGGTGGCAGAAGGCGAGCTCGTGGTGGCGGCTGGCGGGCTGGTGGTAGTGGTTGGCGGGCTGGTGGTGGCGGTTGGAGGGCTGGTGGTGAAGCTTGAGGGAGAGGGAGAGGTTGTGGAGGGTCGTGGGGGGCGAGGAAGGTGTTCTCCCGCAGGTGGGTGAGGGAGGAGGTGGTGAGGTTACGACGGTAGCGGGGTTCTGGGAGGCCGATCTGTTGGGGCCCTTCTCTTCTGTTAAGGGAGAGAGAGAGAGAGAGGGAGAGGTTATCTTTCTCGTTTTCTTGATTCACACACTCACTCGGTCATTCACTTTCTCCATCTTTCTCTCTCGCTTTCTCTAGATCAAGGTGTTGGGCTGTGTCTCTCTCTTCACCTCCCCATCTCTCTCTCTCTCTCTCTCTCCTTTTCTCGTCCATCCACTCTCCCCTTTCTCTTTAGTATATAATCATCATAGTGTATATTTTTCAACACACACACACACACACACTGACAATTGCTTAACCTTTATAGTCTGTCTGTGTATATCTCGGAGTCCGGACAAAACCTCCTTGGACAAAACCCCCTCAAGTAAAGTGCAAAGTGAGACAAAAACCCCCTCGCATATCTCAGTGTGGAGGAGAATAGGTGTTTGGTGGGCGTATGGTGGGCGGGTGGTGGGCGTGTGTTGGGCGTAAGGTGAATGTCTGTCTCTATATACCTGTGTCGGGTGAGTAGGTGGCGGCGGTAGCCTGGTTTAGCGACGACGTTCCTGGTGGCGATCCTGGGGAAGGCGGGGAGGGTGATGTTGGTGGCGGTGATGAGGGCGTGGGTCTCCGCCTCCAGGTAGAACTTGCGGCCGTCCATCCGTCGACACAAGTCCCCGAGCAGCGCGTTCACCGGCCCCGCCTCCGTCAGCTTCACCGTCGCCAGTGCTGCCCATACCAACGCCGCCGCCGCCGCCGCCGCCGCTGCTGTAAACGACGATGAACGAGGGAAGGATTAGTTTGGGAGTTAATATTTCTTCTTTTATTGTTGTTGTCGTAACATTAACTGCACTAATGTTAACCTAAGCTAACCTAACCTAACCACACTAATATTAACCTAGCCTAAACTAACCTTATCTACATTAACCTTACCTAATCTAAATTAACCTAACTTAATCTAAACTAACGTAACCTAACCTAACCCACCTATGCAGCGCTAGGGTGTTTAATCACTAGGTGAAATAAGCTGGGGAGCTAAATTTTTTGAGCATTTCCGTGGTCAAACAGCTAACATCTATTCATTCAGTAATATCACCATACAAGTTTACAATTACGGTTTACATGTATATAGACAATATAGGTATACCGTTGAGCATGTACCATACACAGAAAACAAAAGACTAATGAGAAAATACGAACGCATACACTCTAAAAGCAGTCAGTAGAATCTTTGTCAACAACTATTTCAAGAATTAAATGAGAGACTAAAGTAGACCAAGTACAGTATATTTATTGTATAAAAACCAAATCTAAACAGTAATCTGAGAGCACTCTCTGGTGCTGACTTGTCACACACAAAAAACATCCTGTTGTAGTTTTTGTGTCTCTTGGCTTTCGTGGTACCTTACTTCTGCAACCTTAATCACTGTCCACTACAGAGGTAGTTGCTCTTTTTGAGGCTCTTTGCAACATTGTGTTGTTAAACCTAAGTCTACAGCTGTTATGATATTTTGCCTACTCCGGGTGGCGATTCTGGTAGTAAGTTAATAAAATGAATAACAAGCCTTATATAGAACCTACTGAAGGTACAAAGGGTAAAGCCATCAGAAATAAACAAATGTGGAGTGTGGATGTTGACGACGCCATTACTCACATTGTCGGGTGTCGCTAGACTTACTCATTTTTCCCTCCGTTTTCTTTTTTACCCGATTGTTATTTTTAATTTAATACTTTAATTATATTGTAAGTGTGTGTGTGTGTGTGGATCACATGAAGATTAACCCCCGGTTTATTTCAAGTGAAGATTAAACACACGAACGCTACTTGGGAGGATAGGTTAGATTAATTTAACTTAGATCAGGTCACATTAGGTTAGGTTAGTTTATTTTAACTTGGGTTAGATAAGGTTAGGTATATGTTTCTAACCGACCAAATTATCGTTTATGTTTGTATGACGATATTACTCATGTATGGTACTATCAAAGTTGCACCGTACTAAACACTCTGTATGTGTGTGCCGCTGCTGCCCCACCTAAGGTTATACACAAGGCTTCATCATCATAAAAGAATCCTTATATGAACACAGGCAACAGCCAACCATGACAAATAATAGAGCCAGGTGTAATACAGGTGTAATAGAGCCAGGTGTAATACAGGTGTAATAGAGCCAGGTGTAATAGACAGGTGTAACAGACAGGCGTAACAGACAGGTATAACAGATAAATAGTATAACAAAATAACAAACTGCCTCAAACAAAGACAATGTCACGTAGACAATTACGTAAAGATTCGGCCCCCTGTTTATTTCACCTTAAGACTAACCACTCTAATGCTAACCTAATCTAACGTATCATATCCTAACCTAACCTAGCCTAACCTAGCCTATCTTAACCTAACCCTAGGCAGTGCAGGTATACAAACAATATACCCAGACAGTTCATGTATACAAACAATCTACCTAAACAATAAAGGTATACAAACAATGATAAATATGAAGCTTAATTTGACCAAGGTGAGAAAAATTAGTACAGAAGTGATCGGAAAGTCACTGTGCACCAGCCATAAATAATATAGCTGTTCCTTTACCTACCCACACTATTATATACCTGGCAATACTGAGAGTAAATAATGGAGAGAAATATATCATGCTACCAAGAGTTCATGTGACTATTCTCACTATTTACTGTAAGTAGAAAGAGGTAAGTGACTTGGAATTAATTTAGGTGCACGGGGATTTTTCGATCACGTAATAGTGGAGTGACGAGGCGGGGAGGGACCATACCTGTAAAAGTCTTCATTTTGTTTTGAGTTTGTCCACGTCTCCTGTTGTTACTTCAGACAGTCACTTAAAATGGGCTCACACGCTTAAGTGAACACAGTTTACTCACTCTCAACTCCTGTTTTCCCGAGTTGTGTGAGATTGTGTTGGGGTTTAGTAGAATTCTTTAGTTTATGTTTGTTGTGTGTTGACGGAGGGTTAAAGCGCTACAGATTATTAAACAAACTGTAAGTGGTTGATAGCTTCAAGTATATGGATTGAAGGCTTGAATTATATGGAAATATTATGTATATACGTTATAACACGATAATATTGATTAAGCAGATCCACAGGTCGGTGCTGAATAGACGAACAGTTCCGGAAGAAATGTTTAGCAAAGTTTTTTGTTTTTTTGTTTTTTACACGTCACACCTCAGGATAATGTTTACTGTATGGAACTCGACGCAATTCAGCCTGTGTCGACTTGATACGCTGATAAAAACAAGTTCCGGCAAGGTACGTCGCTCTTTTGCTATAACTGTTTGTTGATATTCTGGACTTGGTAGTACAATACCTCGACGGTCATCCTCGAGCACTTGAGAAAGAACTCTGACATGTTGCTGGATTAAGTAGGTTAGTCGCTGCTACTGACGCTGGGTACTACAGGGAAATCCTCGGCGAAACACTGTAATCGCAGACGGCGCGAAGAGTCGAAGTAACAGTAAGAGGTCGCTGGTGGCTGCCGGACACCTATGCTTGTAAAGTCTCCCGCACTCCCTAGTCTGCGCCTCACTGGCAGCCCACCTCCTCCTTCACCAACCTCCACGCTAATTGGATCGTCACCTTACTTCCACTGCCGTCTCACCTTGACCCTAAACTGCCACAGCTCCCCACAGAGTCCCGATGGAGAGCTAATGGTCAAGCTGATCTTCAATGTAGGTCCTTCGAAATGATGTTTGGCGGGTAGGAACACCTTATTTAGGATTTGGAGAGTTTTGTAGCCCAGAAACCTCATAGATTATTTTTGGAGTGTTGAAAGGCTTTTGTTGCGTCAGCGAGAGTCAGGAAAACGCTGGAATACTCGCGCCTCACCGCACACACCAGCTTTTCAAAATGTTTCGCATTTAAGTGTAGTTTTATGTTTACCTTCTTGTGGCTGTTGCTCACAGTGAGCGAAGGAGCACAACTGTCACTTTAAACATGGCTGCGTTTTATAAAATAACTTTCAGCATAAATCTGACATTGAGTATTACAGACTGATGTACGGAAATTGTTTTGTGATCGTTCGTTTAGCACTAAGTGGTGACACACCCAACTTGGCGGGCTTCAACACGCTGTCTGTGAAGACCTACTGAGGCTGGTGGGCCGCCGCGGACGTGCTCTTTATCATCCCCAACATTGTTATCCTCTAAATTATACAGTAAACCAAAGCCTGTGTAACACCCCGCGCTAATTATAAGAGTAGACCCTAAACTGTCCATAAAGGAGAAGTTCTGAAGTGTTAAGGATGGAAGTGTAACTCCTCTGACAAGACGTAAACGTGAGAGGAGTTACGTGAGCACACTGGTGGTGGTGACTACTGATGAGGTCGACTACACAATTTGTTTTTCTCTTCCCAATAGGATTCATTCATTAATTTCATCCCCTGATACCCGTGAATGCATAAAAAATCTCGTAGTTTAATTGAACCAGTTAAATGCTTCCTCACGTCAACAATGGTCAAGTTTAGGGAAGGAATGTGCGAGAATGTGAAGCATAGTTCTTTTAATATCTTCCTCCGGCCATAGAGTACAACCTTGGCCTTGCACTGTTCACGATGGATCCTGAGCCACTTTAGTCCGTTCTGGAGGAGGGCTTCATGTCTGCAGGTGTCCTCACATATTTAGATCTCACGAAGCTTAAGAATCCCAGCTTATTTCACCTGATGTTTAAACACTAACACTATATGAACGGTTGGTTAGGTTAGGTTAGGTTAGGTTAGCATTGTGGTGTTTCATCACCATCACACTTGTCCTCGACTTGTATAACTATCTGATTTTTTTTTGTATCTAAATAAATGATCAAGGCGGAGTGTGACCTCTGAGAGGTGGTGGCCTAGCTCAAGATGGCCGCCTCATCTTCATCGGTCCACAGCCGAGTCTAAGATGCCTTCCACTGTCATAACATGTACAACATTTCTTATCAATCATTCCCACCGTTTATCAACTTACTACCCGTTCATGCGGTCACTCGAATATATATATAAAAGATAAGATTTAGAATTAAGCATGTGATAACTTCGTCGGTTGTCCTTGGTCAAATTGCCATACTGTTTCCTATTGTTATATACCTGCACTGTCTGGGTACACTGTATACCTGAATTGTTAGGTTAGGTTTAGTTAGCTTCACGATACATTAGGTTAGGTTATTAATCCTCAGGTGATCCGCGTTTTAGCTGTGCCTTTTGCATGTCTGACACTCCTCATCCGATCAACTTTGTTCTATTGTCTTGATACATAGATAGACAGAGCGTTGACCATCATCTTGTAAGATTCATGGGAGAGACAGAACTGCAAAGAACATTGGCAGAAAGAAGGGAGGAGGAGAGAGAGAGAGAGAGAGAGAGAGTACAAGGAGAGATAGTGAGAGGGGGAGTGGGGATGAGAAACAGAGTGTAAGGGGTGAGGGATAGTGAGAGGTGAGAGTGAAGGAGAGGAGAGAGAGAAAGATAGATAATAAGGGATTGAAGGTAAGAGGATATAAGAGAAGTGAGAGATAGTGAGAGAGGAGAAGTGAGGTGAGGTAGATAAGGGTGAAACTGTTGCTTCGCCTTATATGGACAGGAAACCTAACAATGGCCGTGAGTTGCCACCTAGTGTTTCTATTCATAATTATTAATATTTTGATTTATTTTTTCCCCATTTTACTTCTACTTTTCTTCATTATTCGCTTGATTAATTTCCTTTATGTCTGATCATCATCACCATCTACTTTAGTTTGTTTATTTTGATTGTTATCTTGATTGTTTTATATCATTACATATATAAATAAGTAAATATGAAGAGTTGTTTAATTTGTGTTTTCTAATTATATGTTTGTTCACTTAGAGGAAATTTTGATGATGATGGAAAAGAGAAGAAAATGGGATGAATTAGACTAAGGGGAACGAGGAGGAGAAGAACATGGAAGCAAAGAAGAAGAAGAAGAAGCCGTGTACACAAGGAAGAAGGTAGCAATAATCGTACACACACAAACACACACACACGTCAGAATGCCATTTTACCCTAACGCAACCTGGGGGTTAGGTTAGTGTTAGGTTATATTACGTTAGGTTAATGTTAGGTTTCTTTGGGTTAGCGTTAAGTTAGGATAGGTTATGTTAGGTTATCGTTAAGGAAGTGTTGCTTGTCGGCCGTCAACTTGAGAGGCATTACAACAATCCCTCATCCCTCTTTTGGAAACATGACGTCACTCATTTTGGAAACATGACGTAACTCCTTCCAGACCAATCACAGCCTGGCTTACGGGCGATCACTACCAGTAGCCATTGCGTGTATCTAAAACCAACAAAACACGAATATTTGAAAATAAATTATACAAGTGTATTTTTTCCCAAACTCGTATTTCCTAAAAAAAAAACTTAAATTATTGTTTCGTGATTATTTTCCTTACGCTGTCTATCCTGGGAAGAGAATGTAGAAGCCTTTGAGGTGTGTGGGAATCCTGACTCATGCGTAAATAGATGACGTCATAGGCAGGAGGAATGACGGGTTATCGGCTCTGGGTGTATACAGTATATTCCACTATGGGTGTTGATAAATAAGAGATGTAGAGCGTAACTAAATAAATGATAATTATATACGTGAAAACGGATCACCTGAAGATTATTACCCCCAGCTTAGTTCACATTAAGATTAACCACCCTTAGGCGAACCTAACCTTGTCTAGCCTAATCTATCCTAACCTAATCTTATTTATCTTAACCTATCTAATCTAACCATACCTAACCTAACCTATATCAACTTAATCCGCCCAGGGAGTGTTTGGGTGTTTAATTTACTTCATCTTCTTCGACACTTGGGCAGTTGGTCACGTCTCTGTTGAGTACTGTTGCCAAGTACTGGGCATGCGACCTAACTTCCAGAGTAACTTATTTATTATTATTTCTACAGTACATTACCACCATAAAGCTAAAGAAGTACCGAGTATCTATCTATCAATATATGTGTCTGTCTGTCTATCTTTGGCTATCAGCGTCGCAACACTCACAACCTTACCTAAACTGGACATGGTCACACTGACATTCCGTGACACCAGGTGGTCATTGACCTTTTTGTGACCACTACAAGGTGTTCACTGACCTTGTGGCGGAAGGTTAGGATAGGTAAGGCGGAACTAAGGAGTGCAGCACAGTACAAGGCGACTGTTTGATCCATCTATAACAGTACTTGTAGGGCCTAGTGTATATAAAACTCACTCGTTTGATACATAAATATATTCTCTTACTATAAAAATGTCATAGTGTGTGACTAGCTGAGAACACTTCTAGTACACACGCCACCACACACGCGTGATCACAAGCCACTGTTCATGCGCCTTCACTCATTACTAAACGTCTAAGCACACTAATAGAGGAAGATTTCCCCAGTAAAATGTTATATCAGTTGATGGGGAGAAAGCGAGGTTAGACGATCACTGTTATGGACCAACGCATATAGGGGCCACCTGTAGCGCCCGGGGCCCATCATAGAAAACCCAACCTTGAGATCTCTTTGACTGGGGGAACTAAACCAAATGTTTCTTGACTAGCTGGCTATTGAAAAAGAAATTACCGCATTTTCAGACACAGAAACTATCTTAAATAATTTAATCTATTCTTAACATGATCTATTAAAATTAAAATCTATCTCAACCAATCCAAATTCGCAGTTTTAGAAAGTAAAATATGTAGCAACGTAAAATTAAAAGGGTTTTGCTCTATTGCGCATGTGCCGAAAAAGAACACTACATATTTTTCGCGTATTAGATTAAAATACCTACCCCGTACATTGTCACCAGTTGAACAGTTGAAAATTCCAGTGTTAATTGCAAACTAAGCAGTGCATAAGGCAGAATTCGAATGGCACTTCCAATCAAGTTCACATTGGAATGACACCAACCCGTATATACTGTATATCGATCTAGCTGGAATGTGGGAGAACTGGCTCGCACATCAACGAGTGAGGACAATGTTGATGTGGTAATTCAAGCATTCAGGCGATATCCACGACAGTATGTAAGGCAGTGTGTCTACATTTATCTGAGACACCACTCCAACAGAGGCAGTGTCATGGGATATTTCTCCTGCTCGTCTAGATCCCGAAGGTATTTTTGTGGAAGCGCTTCTGATGTGTATTGAAGATATCATTATGGCGAGACATTACTCAACAAGACAGGAAAGGTAAATACTCATTAACTTGTCCAAGAACCAGTGAAATGCTTATTGCAAGTACAGTACAGTATGCGAAGAATTTTGAAGTTGAAGGTAAGACTTTTAATTGTTATCGTTGACAAAACTTTGATTTGTATTACGAAAAATCTCGTTTGTTTGAAGTATGTGTCTGCTTCAGCAAGGGAGATTTTTTTATGCACACAATCGAACTCTGATCACATTGTGTCAGTGCATCTGTTGTATTAGTCAAGATCTAATTAGACCTTGGTGTAAGTGTAGATGACAGTGTCGGTGGGAGCTGTGACCGTCCAACAGCTAACACGTCGATCACTGGCGAAGAGGATAAAGTAAATAGTAAAGGTACTTTAAATGTCATTAAGCACCATTCAATATGTCGTCAAACACACATTACCAAACGAAATATTCCAATGACGTTTTTATTTGAGGTTTTCCGTTACGTGGATTAGTAAACGCCTTTAAGCTAGTCTCATGGTGTCTATACCTGACAACTTTCAAGACTAATAGTTATATGGTGTTAAAAATGTCGTACATACAACAAATCTCTTACTAAATGTCTTCAGAACAGTCGTCGTTCAACACTTTATAATCTTGTTATGTTATTACAGCTACTGTGCTTCAACAACTAAGGAATATTTAAGCGCGTAACTACATTATTCTAACAACATTCAAGATATTATGAGAGATAACACTGTTGGTTTTAGTTTTATAATCTCCACGCTAACTTTCTCTACACCTTCACTTGCCTCATCTTTCGTAAACTCCGAACTGTGAGAAGTCCGCGTCTCATGTGTAGTGTGAGGACGACACATTTAGTATAATTTAATAACTACAAAACATTCATCTTCATATGCAGAAGTAGGAGGAGCCGCCAAGTGGAAGGAATAGTATTAATAAATTAAATCCTGGTGTAGATACCTATAATGTAGCTATATACCAATACTCTACATGAAGCTCAGATGTGGAGGTCAGTGACAGCACAAGATGAGAACCACGGATTTCTCTCCTCGACTACTAATAATAAACCTTTACGATAAGAAGAAAGAGAAGGTTGGTATAAACAGGTCATTCAGTCAATGTGAGCCAGCCAGTGTTCCCAGGCGAGGACAGAGGAGCTCGGTCGGCAGCGCCACACCAAAAGATGTCATGTATAGTTTGGAAAATAAAGAGACTGAAAAGATTAGTTTATTATGTAAAAAGATAAAAATAAGTAACTAAAACGATAAATTGGTCACAGCTATACTTAGCGAAGTCTGCGTTAAGTTTTCCCCTCAGTCAGGAAGTTCGTTTTGTTGACGTTATGATATCTTTACTGCGCCTTAGTAACTAAGGTTAATAATTTATATAATTTATCAACAACTAAAAACTATAAGAGACAACACTAGAGGGTAAGTGATAGTGGTCACGGCCGGAGCCCTGTTCGTGTCTTTGACGTTGGCCGTTTAAACTGAATAAGTAATATGTTGTTCAGAACTGTCAGATCCACAACTGATGAGAAAAGCCTCAAAATTGTATCCGTTATCGCTCCCAAGAAAAATACATTCAAACTTACGCACACCATTCTCCCTACCACAATTATAAGGAAAACCTACCACTCGAGGGCTTGTTGACGTGGAAGGAAAATATCTATTTATAGTATTATTGTAATAATTGTTGCCATTTTGAGCCTCGAATTCATTCTCACGTGTCCAGTTAAGCGGAAACTCTATCATTCGAAACTGAGAAATCATCGTTGTGCTGCATCGTAAGTAAGCCAGCTAGATGAATCCCCATAAAATAAAGGGAACAAAATTAGCATGCATGTCTTTGAAAATCTTGGTCGTGGACGTTGTGCTGTGGTAGGTGTTGTGTAAACGTGAGGTTATAAAGTAAACCTTGGCAGCCCCACTAACAGGCGCTGGTCAACACTGCGCTCTCTCTCTCTCTCTACGTCACATACGGACACTCCCTCACTTTCTCTTATACCGCTGTTGATCTTTCTGCTTCTTATACACATACAGTAATCATTCACACAGAGGCGCAACCGTTTTTAAAATAAACAGACGGTGAGTGTGAATATCACTTGAGACTTCTGTGGCCGAGGAATGACATAGAATCCCGGAACTGAAGAAGAATGGATACTCCGTCCCATGCAAGGCCTCGCCTCGTACAAAATTTCTATCCCCTTTTCGATTTTTGTCTCGCCCCCTTTAAAAATCCCAGCTGGAGCACCACTGCACACGTATACAGTACACAAACACACACACTTGTAGAATGGTGAGAAAAGTGCGATATGTTCCCAAGTGTCACGCAAAAAAAGACATTTACAAACCTTGACACAGCAACTAATGCCTCACTAGTAATTAGAAGACGGTGACGCGTGTAACACCACCTCCAGAAAGTCACGGACGTTTATTTACATCCGGTGGAGCAGGTCGGTTGTGCACCGGTGGAGAAGGTCGCTAACACACTGACCCCAATGAACTGTTCTACAACCGCTGGTCATCTCTCTGATCTACTTCGCCCTTCCATGGCATAAAATATACTGTACTATCAAGTGGTGAAATGTTAAAGCTTTATGCCACCATTTCATTTAAATGGATGTGAAGCAATATAGCGATTCCGAAAAAAAATACATCTGATACTTTGGAAATGTCATTAGTGAGCTTAGGAAATATTGGTTTCACTAAAACTTATTTTTTAGGAAAGTTTGAGGCAAGGAAACTGTTTCTACAATGAAGGTTCAAGCAAAAGTGCAAAAATAGCAGTCCCTGTTAGCTCTCAATACACTAACATGTGGTCTTGTTGACAAAATATTACAACAGTTCTTAGTCTGCTAAACATTCCCACTTAATAGCGAATATTTTGAAACCTCAGCAATGAGCTGAACCCATCAATCCTTCACTAACTTAGGAAGATCTTAGGAAATACATACCAACATTCAGCGATATAACTGCCAAAACTCCCATTGAGGAAAACTAATAATTCAAAGAACTATTATAGATGTTTATACATATTTGATGATGAATAGTTGATTTCAAAGTAAAGGGACAAATTGAAGGAGGAATTACATGTAAAAATTAATAGTAACAAGTAATTATATCTATGGTGACGAAATTTGAGTAGAATGGCCATGAACACAGCGGTCTGAGACCCTTAGTTTTGATTGAAAATTATTATTTATTGTATTTATCATTTCACCACTTTGTTATGACCTTCATTGTCCAGTGTGGTGAGCCTTTGACCTTTAATTTATAATACATTATCTTAAAGTTCTAAGAATATTGTTTATATCCAGCGACAAGTGACGTCAACCAGTACCCTGATGTCTACCACTTGCAACAGGCAGCTGGTGGCGAGCGAAGGCACCTGATTAACTATAACAGACGGGTCTCACTTCAAAACAAACATGCCTAAGGTGAGCGAAAACAAGAACATTTACAGTACATATGCAATCATTTTTAAGTAAATGAATGAAATGTCACCAAGTCTCGTAACCTTCTTAATACAGTAACTGAATTCAAGGACACAGCCACTAAACAAAGTTCTACAACTCATAATAATTGACAGTTAGTGTGTTTGTAAAATTCATCTCTCCAAACACTCATACTATGTTGGCTTTAAAAAGCTCTAGGTTTAGTACCGCTTCTTTACAGGGGCCACAACGCGTCTGATTTCTATCATAAACTGTAATTTCTCGCTAATCTTCGCCACGTTTGTCTCGATCGCCTCGGGAGTCGCTCAAGCACGTGCTCTCGTAGTTACCTGTTGTTCTTGTAGACAATCGGGTACCAGATTACTTGTGGGAATTTAATCAAGTCTGGTTCACATCCAGCAGCTGTATGGTGCCTCCTGCCAGGCTGCCAGCCTACCAGTACCAGTCACCTCTCAGACACAGACGGATGAGGTTGTGCCTCTCCCCAAGTGTGAATATATAAATAATTTTTTGTGCTGTAAATCGGTTTCAAGTTGTGTTAGTATTTAACGATTTCTCAATAATACTGATAATCGGTGATCTAATTTGTTACATCGGGGACTAGAGAGAATATTCGTACTGACTCACCAGTGAAAATTTAAGACTTAAATAATAAATAACAATAAAGCGTTTAAGCATCTACTGCTCTTCAGAAAACTAACAGAAGATTTATTACCCAAGTTAAGGAACCAAATACAGGTTGGTGCTCGTCATCCCCCAAGGAGTGTTTGTCAGTCTTCTCAAGGACGCAGGGAAGGTGGGTATTGTTATTCCCAGGAACTCTTGTTGTTTTTGTAAGACCTACACTGTGTATTGTACGTCTCTTACACAAGCTGACCTCCTGTGTCTTAATTATTTATATTTTTTTGTATTTAAGACATACGTATTGGCCTCTATCAGCAGCAGAAACACTTTACGGTATAAATTTTAGCAGTATTGTAAATAGATGATCAGAAAAATGTGTAATAATGTTAGTCTCCATTCTCGTATATATAAACAAATAATTTTGAATCTGAAATATGCATTACTTTCTCAATTAAAACATTTTCTTGTTATGCGCGTTTTCAGATACCAGAACCTTGCTTAACTTCGGAGAGAAAGCAATTTATGTTTACTTTTATATTTGTTTATGCCCGTGTATGTTTGACTGTGTATTTGTATGTGTATAACAGTGTATGTATGATGAAATATATATCACCATACATTCGGATATGTGCAGTGCAGTCTTAGGAAGGCTGAATTTGCTTCCACAGTTCACAACACAACACAGATCCAGGGGCGGGAGAAGAACGAAAATCATGATAGCGAAGTTCGTCGGCGTTTGTGTCAAAGACCTCACTGGTGGAGACAACTGAGCTATCTTTCTAAGTAATGTAACATGACTTTTTTTAAATACTTGTGAAATTCATGTTAATTATGACTTATTCGCAAATAATAACGGAGTACAGTACATAAAAGTAATGCAAAGGTTACAATTTTAAGAGGAAAATCAGTAGTGCATATATCTGACCGCTGAACGTAAATATATAAAAGGAATATTTTCGCTTTTCGTACTTAGAAGACCACAAGTACTGTACACAGTTTATGGTTGTGACTACATTATAATTTACCAACAGAGGATGACGCAATTCCTCATAATTATGAGTTATTTTCCCTCAGGATTTTGTACAGAAATGGAGGATTCAATACTCTACTATAAGGTAGTTTTCCTCATTAATTATTACAGGCCATAATAATTCACTGGCTGCTACCTTACTATGCTTAACAGTTTACAGAAGTAAGAGTGGTGAAAGGCTCCCGGGTGCGTCGCCCACATGAGTCATACTCGCATACCAGGAATTTCCGCTTACCCTATTGGGCCAACACGAACTTTTGGAGTTTTTGTACAGTACTTGTTAATTCGTGTTCCTTTGTGTCGGTTCCAGGAATGCGACGGCATGGATTTCCCGCCATGACAGTGACTTCAACTGAGAGAGTCAAAAGGTTGAGTCTAATATGTACGACAACTTTTCCCCTGTGGTTAGACGAATTAAATCTTCCACGACTAACAGAACTGGATGCTGAGGTGCAATGACAACCACTGAGTTTAGGAAGTGAACCTATGGAGCACAATGACTTGCTCCTGCCCATTGAAGTAGAGGAGAAAGTTTAGCATCAATTTACGAGGTGGTCGTACACCCCGCTGCCCTTGGGTGGTGGTATTAAGTAGCTCGTCATCGTCCGTTGGCCCGAGTAAAGGATGAATGCTGGGTTGATGCTCAAATATCCGGGGTTTCGTTGCATGGTTGAAAATAAGTTTAAGAAATTTATTTTACCCGAACGCTGTAAACTGAACAAATAATTATTTATCTATCTTAACTAACAGAGACAGCTAAGGGCAAACTTACATATACAGTATATGTTGATAACTGCAAGGAAAAAGAAAACACGAAGTTCCCTTTTTCCTTGTGGTTATCAGCATATACCTGGATCACGCGCACCTTCAGTGATTTACTTGCATATACAGTATATTGACCGCCATGTGTCACATTTGCTTAAGGCCAACGCCCGATTTAATCCTGAATGCCCTTAATACCTCTGTTAAAAAACTTGTACCTCCTAAATTTCAAGAAAATCTGTTAACCTAATCAAAAGTAAGGGAGCTCTGAACAAGGATTAGCTAGTCATCCGACCTGTGGTTTAAGGGTCAACATGCTCGCCTCGCAAGCAAACGGACCCGAGTTCGTTCCTCGGGCAAGGTGAAACTATGGGCAAGTTTCTTTACGCCAGTCTACCCAACAGTAATTGGAAATTAATCGATTTTCGGATCGTATTCCAGGATACTAATGGTTAGCCAATGCAGTTGGCGAGTTGTCCGGTCTTCTCGGATTATTCCTTGACACTGGGTCATGCAGCTCGTTAACTCAGGTTGTGGTTGTTGTGTTGGCGACAGCTTCTACACCTTAAACTCGCGTCTAGGTGGCCCTTGGGCCGGCCATCCTCGTTACACGAGGGGGCAACCATCATATATATATATATATATATATATATATATATATATATATATATATATATATATATATATATATTTCATATATATACACTATATATATATATATATATATTCCCAACCATAATAAAAAACAGGCGTCTATTAAAAGGAATCATAATTGTGTAAAAGTTTCTACTCGCGTTGGTGTTGCTGTAGTTAGTGTCGTCTCCGTTGTCCGCCTGCTGTTGACCACCGTGAGTGTAGAACAGGTGGATCAGTTTAGACAAGTGTGTGTGACTGCTGCGAAATGGGAGGTAATGATGTTCATATGTACCCAGTGGCGGCTCGTGAAAAATAAAATGGAGGGACTGCAAGCCTCACACAACAGTAGGATACACAAATTTGACCTACCTCAGGTATGAGTTGTAGTTGATGTCCACGAATTCCCAGGGCATGGTAGTAGTGTTGGTGGTGATGGACCAGTATTAATTGAAAATAAAGTCGGCGTGTCTGCTCTTCGATGTAGCAAAATTGTTTATTACTATTTCATTAAAATCCTTTATTTCTGTTATCATTTTATTTTCAATGGATATCACTGCTAAAGCAGACAGTCTGTCATTCACCATGTATTACTTGAAAATAAAGTCCGGCCGTCTGCTCTTTGATGTAGCAAAATTGTTGAATGGATAAAACTGGTGTAGGTCTTCCTCTTGCTTTGATTTCAGTCTTTTCATTTAATGTCAGCTGGGAAAAGTTGATGTTTTGCAAATACTTCACTCGATTTTCCATGGTCAAAGGGTAATTAAAGAAAGCACGATTTAACCACACCGTCCACACGTTGTACGAGACTGAGCTGCTTCAAGTGCGGCGGCGGCGGCGATAACAGACATGAATCGTACAGCATTGACAGCAACTATGAAAGTAACTTAAATTTTGGTCTGATTTTAATGAAAGTTCACTTAGCAACGTATTGAAAATAATTAAATAACATATAAAATGATATATTTGTTGGTAGTGTATTATTCAGCTGTCTCTCTAAAGGAATCATACGCCTGGCAGTGAGTGTCTGGGGGGACTGCAGCCCTATGCACGAGCCGCCACTGTATGTACCGGTATATTTCTGTGTGTTGATCATGATTGCATTATTTCCTTTCTAATACATACATGTGGTCAGTCCTAAAGGGCCAAAGGAGTAATAATATTTGGGGTGGTAATATTGTAACGTACTAGGCCTAAATTTCCAGGTTGTTGAGTCACCAGGATCACTCAGTGTGTTGACCCTGGTTGGGAATTCCCGGGAATGTGCAGCGGAAATGAAAATCCGGCGTCACAATATTTAAAGAATTATACTAATACTGCACTCATATTACGCATTTTTCTCAGTCATTCGGTTTGTGGTTATGTTACATTATGTTGGATTAGATAAGATTAGATTAAAAAAAATCTAAATGCTGCACATAACAAAGATATCAATATTGAGTTCACCATTTTGGTAAATTCTTAATTGTACCTTCTGAAATTACGATCAACACCATCATTGTTCCACTATATAGCACGTAGACAGATTAATCGTCATACAAGTTCACAATTGGTTCAGCATAAATATAGATAATGCACGTAGTATACAATTCAAAACGTATATAGGCGATGCAGTTCAACATTAATAGATACTGTAGGTAAACAGTTCAGCATGCATATAGACAGGTACATTATACATAGACCGTGCAGGTATACATTTCCAATATATCTACCTGTAGACTGAAGGTATATATACATTTGTAAGCAGTAAGACAATTCTACCAAGGATAGAAAACAAAGCTACCAGATGCTTATTTTCCTATTGGGTAAACAAAATAAAGTAACGTAGAAAAAGTTAGCAGTCAAGAATAATTGTTCAATGTATCAAATGGCTGCAACAGATGGTCCTTCCTTCGCCTAGAGGGAGTGAGTGTGAATGACTTTCACTAATATGGCGTGATGGCTAACTCCTAAAAAGCGAAGTGTGCATTCGACTGAACTCTCTTGTCTGGTATAAGATGTATAGTACAGTATAGGGGCGGTATAATTGTGTATTGGGGTGTTGTGGCACATTATACTATAATGCACCACTATAATTTATAGTGTTCTAATGCAAAAAATAATCTCAATGCAGTTTTGAGTTAATTGACAACTTGGGAACTTCGTGTTTTCTTCTTTCCTTGTGGTTATCAGCATATATATATATATATATATATATATATATATATATATATATATATATATATATATATATATATATATATATATATATACAATCAACACCTCAACCCGCCAGGATTCGAACCCACGGCCCACAAGCCTATGACTGTGACCGGGGAACGCTAACCGCTGGACCACCAGGATACTAAAAGCAGTCCTAGAGCGTTCCCCGGTCACAGTCATAGGCTTGTGGGCCGTGGGTTCGAATCCTGGCGGGTTGAGGTGTTGATTGTATGTAGAAGTCCGCGTGCTTTATTTCAGTATAAGATTTTGCTGTCTTTCCTACTGTACGTCACTGTTGAAAATCTTATCGTTTTCTGCTTCACTTCCTGTTGTTGGCTGTGTTGCATGACTGAATTCAGATAGGAAGTGGATTGCTGTTTAAGATTCGACTCTAGTGATTATTACGCACATGTCCCTCGACTGTTGTTGTTGGACCGTATGTATGTAACAAAAATTGCTTCCTGTTAGGTGACCCGCCCGAGGCATTGTGCTGACCCAAATGTTTTTATGACCATTTGTGCTGCAATATTCTCTTAAATAATGTTTCCGGTTACAACTGGTGTGTTATTAACTGGAAACAAAATCGGACAAGCCTTAACTAATTATATAGAGGAACTAAGATCCCATCTCACATTTACGTAGTCCCTGGATTGAACACACCTTTTTAAACAACAAATTTGGATACATTAAATGAACTGGCTGGTGCAGGCAGGTTTTGTAGAGACTGTGTAGGCTACATATTTGTAGATTTTTTAATACACTCAGTACATATTATTCTGCGTCTTTGAAAACAATAAGAATGTTAAGACAACCTATTCATTGTACATGTTAAAATATCGACGTGCTATTATAGAAAACATAACGTGTGTGTGTGCCCACCAATTACGATAAAAAGCCTGTTTACTCTTAATCTACAAATTCCAACTTTTTCAGTCAGGGAAGCCTCCAAATTATTATTACTATATTATTATTATTATTGTCATGCGAGGGAAGTTCAGGGTCATGGTCGACCCAGCCTAGTGTCTTGTTAATATTTGAATTCATTCTCATTGTTTGTACATTATTTAATAGAGTGGGTTTGCTAATTTCATCCCGTTACTACGATATAGCTACTTGGTAATATTGTTTACGTTATAAGACTAAAAATAGTCGTCCATTTAAATATAAGTCACGTCCAGGAAACTTGTAGACGTGTACTGTATTATTGTTTACAGTTAAGTTAGGCTGCTTGTTTATGTGTGTATTAATATTTGTTTTCGTGTATCTACAAAAGCTTGAATCTATACCCCGCGATATTCAACACTCGTTAGATGCCTTGGGTAGCAGACTTTAGAAAGCTTGGCTAACTTTGCCTGGCTGCACCTCACTCTACTGTAGACTGTTTTACTGTATATAGGTTAAACATCAACCGTTACTCTTTCTAACTAGAGAGATGCCTCACTTAAGGTTTAAGTTTAATTGTTCGTGACTACAGTAGTGTATTTACTAACGTAGAATACCTCTCCGTCCCCCCACCCATAGTCACTACCTCCTCCCTCCTATTCTCGGCTATTTGATCTCCCCGTCCCCCACTTCTCTCAGCTATTTAACTTCTCCGCTCCTCCCTACACAGCCCACCTTCAACACGATGGGTCCAGTTTCCAGAGGGCCTACCCACGCCAGCTGTGTCCTCCGGGGGTGGAGGAGCTCCCTGATACTGCTACTTCTGGTGCCCGCTGGGATCACCGCTGCCAGCGTCAGCCCTAAGACTCGCACATTCATCGTCACCGATTCCACTAACGAGATTGAATCGTTTGTCAAGAAGCTGGAGTATGAAGGCGAGTAGTGTGTGTGTGTGTGTGTGTGTGTACTAACGCTAAATAACAAAGCTCATAACAAAGTAACAATGGAACAAATCAACCGCCTGAACGGTTAGTAAGTTTATAAATACTGTAGTGGAAAAAATTAAAGTAAAATATGCCGTGGCGTGTGCCGTGGTCAGTCCCGGACATTCATCTTGAGTGATTCCTTACATGATCTTCAACGTCTACATCATATCCTCTTATATTTTGCGGCCAGTGTAAAAAATTTATATTACCAACAGGATTATTGAATCGCCTGAAAATTAGCCCCCCTAGATTATTTCACCTGATATATTCTGGAGTCATACATGTCCAGTACTTGTCAGCCCTGCATATGATAACAGATACGTGACCGATCAGTGGCGTGGAGAAGAGGATAACTATAGTAAAGTAAAGGATGATTATTTCACAAACATAAAGAGTAAAATTAAGGTAGAGGAAGACAAGAGGAATGAAGACAGAGAAATGTTAAGAGACGATAGTTAGACAAACAGAAAGAGAGACAAGAAGGAAGAAAGAGTAAGAGACAGAAATGAGATGAATGGAGAGAAAGAGACAAAAGGAAGGGAGAGAGGAGGATTGTTGATGAATCAGAGAGAAGGAAGAAGGCAAGAGACAAGATGGCACAACACGTGTGGTTCAGGCTCCAAGAACTCAACTACCGGTATTTACCCCCGCAAATTCTCGCCAATTTCGCTCGTTCCCGCGTCCCATTACGTGATATACGACAATGGCGGTAAATGGGACGCCGGGGAGAACCACCAAAACACTGACGCAGAAATTTATTGTGCTTGGGTGGTGAGAGAGAGTCTTGCCATACTGATTGTTTTGAGAAAGGTTGAGAGAGTATAGGAAAGACAAGTAGGTAGAGAACGATAGATAAGTAATTGCCCAGGGGAAAAGAAAGAGAGAGAGAGAGAGAGAGAGAGAGAGAGAGAGAGAGAGGGGGGGGGTAAGTTACTGGAGGTAATGTCAAGGCAGCCAGTAAGTTGACGCGTTGCCCGGATATATTTTACTTGTTTATTTTACTTTATTCTCTTCGCCACTAATCGGCTCGTTAGCCATTTGGGCGGTCTATTACGTCTCTGTTACACACTGTTGGCAAGTACACTGCACATGTTCTGGCTGAAGAATGTATCTGTACCTGCGCCAGAGTTGGTCAAGGTCTTGAATGAGCACACACTAGCATCAGGCAAGGTGTTCTCTCTCTCTCTCTTTCTTTTGTTGCTTCAGAAGTAATTCGAAAGCTACATATCCGATATATTTTTACGTAAGTGATCACGTCAATCAATACACAATACTTAACAAAATCATGATAGTCTGAGGAGATGAAACTGAATAAGACAATAGCCAGCTGGTTCACATCTTTACTATATAAAGGTAACTTTCTAGTGACAATAAATCGCCAATGATTGCAAATTTATCACTAGTTGTTGCAGCTTTCTCGCAAATCTTCACAGCTTTCTTTCCAACCGTCACAATATTCCCACCAATTTTCAATATTTCCCAATTCAAATGTCATCTTTGGTAGATCACTTATCAATAAACCCATAAATACACGTACAGTACTGTATCTGGTCGAACCAAAGTAAAAAAAAAAAATCTTACAGGTAGCTGGTAATCTTTGATCATCCCAGGGACTAGCGACTCCACCTTGTCATACATGAAGGCACTTGGAGGTCCTACATATACTGTACTACCCAGTTCCACTCTGTAAAAGTGGTGGTGATAGGGAGGGCAACTTGCTTCAGGTTTGTCTGATGTCAACTGGGACACCACACCAGGTAATCATGACTATCCCACATTGGTGTGGAGAAATGGCCATGATACAGTGATGATGATGATCAATTCCATTTTTTCTTCAAATTTTCAATGTTAATTATTAATTTTGAACAAGTAGGTGTATATTATCAGATAATTGTAATTAGGTAGTTTAATTAAAATATTTACCTTACCTCTATCTGCACTTCAAAATAAATTTAAAACTATCAAAAAGTAAACTTATTTTCAAAGTACATTAATGATTTTACCTCAAATCAAAAGTAACAGTAATTTAAATGGGAATATTACTGTAGACAGCGAGTACAGTACAAGACTACCGATGAATACTGTACGTGACTGTGAGAGTGAAACTGGTGAGTGGTGATCATGACTACAGAAGACTGAGGGTCACTCACCTCTCTTTTCTAATCTTTAGTTCTCTTTTGCCATGATAACTTTCCCTCTCAACTCTCTATTTTACCGTAAACATATAAAACATTGAAAAATAAATGGATTTACCTCAATTCTGAAAAAAAGCATGAAACATGTTAGACTCATCTGGTTTGATATGGTACAGTATTGTATTACCATCTTTACTATCGCATACTGTATCCTGGACCCAGACTTAATACAAAATATTCACCTTTACACCGGCCACCAAGTGTTGGCAGGAAGTCGCCAGGAGAAATGTTTATGGAGATAGACATTTTGTAACTATATATACTGTACTGTACAGAATGTCAGCCATGCTTTAATTGGTCAGGGTTTTTAAGGTCTCTATTACCCAAGCTGTGATTTGAGTAATTATGTAATGCAGGAAATTGTGAGTAAATTAAACTTATCCTTAACCCTTTTCCGCTGATTGTCACACTTTAGAATTTAATTTTGGCTACTGCCAGATGATATTATTCAGCTTTGGGAAACCTCCAGGAACCAAAAGGTTGGTTTGGTTATGTTGGATTGGCGATATTTGGTCGATTTGCAAACAACAACTAACCACACATACCATAGAAATGACAATATTGGTTGTGTTTGGTCTTACTTCATGTTTCCTTTCTAAAAGATGAAATAGTCTGCATTTAGGCCAAGATAAAGTAAAAAAAAAACAAAAAAATGGACTAGAGAGTATTATACAGTATACTGTACTGTACTGTAGTTCTCCCATAAACTCACTGTTGTTAATGCTCTGGACAGATCATCAAAATTATGTTTTTTATTAAGTTCTGTAATTTAGATAGTATTATCAGATGAGTCTTCTTCAATCTACCTGTTCCCAGTGGATCAGTTGAGAGAAAACTGTATACAATACCAGCCTTGTATAGAGCTCTAGATATATGCTGTACCAATTGTAAACTTGTAGTGTACTTTGTAATGATATAATCTACATATCAATTAACTTTTATCTTACCTTACAGCAGCTAACGGTGTGGAGTATACAGTGGATGGAGTGGTGGTTCCTGTCGACCTGAACCTCCTTCCAGATGACATCATCGCTGAGGACATCCAAGATGGCTTGGAGGAGGAATTCACGACTGTTGGTAAGACGTAACCACTTAAGGTTGAGTTGGGTGGGTGGAAAGGGTAAACAGTAATGGTTGTTTAAATGTTGTTGATTTCCATGACCTCTTTCTTTTTAAATAGGACTAATCTGCTCTTAATTTTTCTCGTCTTTCTTGAAATATTCAGATGACAATTTACAATAAGGTGTGAACAAACTAGAGTTCATAATAAACCTAGCAGGCAATGCACTTACAGTACTGTGAAAACAACCTTATGCCTTTCTCTTTAATCAACCCCTAAATATATTTATTCACAATTACTGTACTTATACTTGTACAGTATATGCTTCTCGTCTTTTACCATTGCTAAACTTTCAGAACAAACTCAATAGTACTCAAATTACATAAGTCTAATTCATGTGACTTCAATATAGGTTTGTTGGCTTAGCTTGTCACTGCTGAGACATTCTCCTTATTTGTTCACCCTGAATATTGCTGCCCACTGTTTTTATGTAAGTAAAACTGTGGGCCTTTAGCACTTGCTCTCATGTTAGCCAATACGTATAACATACTGTAATACAGTAATTCACCCAGGCCAGCCAGCAGTAATAGTTATCATCACATCAACTATTGAGAAGCTTGAGATGAAACCCACTGTGGCAGACAAAATGTTGAGAAGTTCCTGCACATGAGTTACATCATCTTACAACCAGGGGTGCAGTGCTGCTCCGGCACCTCTATTTTGGTCAATCAATCAATATCGCCGACGCCTTGTTCCCTCCCGGAAACTCCCCAAGAAGGGGTGGCCATGGCAGAAATGTCTCCGGGCCATTTTATCATTGCACACCTCACTTGCTCTCTCAAACACTCTTCCTCCCCTACCCACTCTCTCTTTAACAAACTCTCTAACTCTTTTCTCCCAGGTGGCAATTGGTCTACCCCTCCCAACATTCCCCTCTCTCTTACTATCATAGATTTTTTTTGTCAGTCTGTCTTCATGCATCCTCGGTACATGTCCATACCACCTTAGTGTATTCCTCTTCATCCACTCCATCACTGCACCACATCACACTTCACACATGAAGTTATAGTAAGCTCTATATGTTACTATAAATTTATATCAATCAAGCAATCAACTTTATTTTGCATTAATAATACAAAACCGAATATATCCTCATAATTAGTCTCTCCTTCAGATCAGCTTACATTTTATGACTTATGAATACTGTAGAAAGACTTTGATAACAGGTGCACTTCTAAATACTTAAAAACAGCACTTCCTCGCATAAGAGCTACAGATGTGTGACCAATATTGAAAGGATAAGCACATTAGACTACCAATAGATAAGGTTTAGGAAACGGAAATTATTTTGACTGCTCTGGTACCTTAAAAATTGGCACTGCAACACTGCTTACAACCATAAGTATTTACCGTTTTTTATTAACTATAAAACATGATTATTGTATATACCATTGTAATTTTTTCAGACAAGGAACTTGGTGATAACACTACTGAAACTGTCAACGCCACTACCAATGCAGCTCAGAGCCGTAAGTATAAACAGTACAGTAATTACATCATCAACATGTACATCAATGTTTTACAGCCATTTTCTATACTTGTGTGGATTAGCCATGATTACAGTACTGTACCTGGTGGCAGCTCTCCATGTTATGTTGTCTCTTGCAGCCTCTCTAGTCAGTTTCTGAGGTAAATTTTTACTACCTCTCCCCACATCACACTTGCTGGGGAAAAAACATACAGTTCAGTGAATTTTGTACAGTTAAGTGACAGTATTATCTTCAGTACCTGTACTGTATTATTTATCCCAAAGTGTAGGTCTTATTCATTGGCATAATTATATTACCAGATACTGAAATATATGTTGACAACTGGGGTACAATATGTATTATTGCCCTACAGGTCAGTTATCACTCATCTTCCAAGGTGTCTATGCACCAGATGCTCGCTTTAATGCCTTTGCGGATGGTGTGATGGTCAACATGGTAGCAGAAATGAAGAGGAAGCAGATGGATCCACTTTACTTCCGCGTGTATAACCGAGGCATTGTGGAGTAAGTACAGTACATTATATTAATGGTATACAGTGGTCCCTCGGTTAACGAGCACAATCCGTTCTAGAAGGTTGCTCGTTAACCGAAACCATTGTTTCAATGGGTTTTTGGGTAATTGGTTCCAGCTCACCGAAAATTGCCTAAATTCAACAAAAAAGGTAGAAAAGTACACTTACTTTGAGGTGTGTATGTAGAAGGCTCCTGGATGCTGATGATGATGATGGGAATTAGAATGGGGGTGGAGGAGAAGGGAGAAGAGAAGGCATTGGGGTGGAAGAGAAGTCACCCCATGGTGCCATTTCACCCATAAAATTTTAGTTCTCTTGGTGTAATTCAAGATTATTTTCTTTAAATCAACACTGCACTGCATTATATATTGTCAATATGTAAAATAAATTTCAAAATGACAAATAATTTGCTTGCAAACACAGAAAAAAGCATTTAGTTGAAGAGTCTCAAGCAAGATGTTACCTCCACTGAAAAGACACAAAGACTGACGCCTGTATGGTGTGTTGAGAGGCTGGATGGAGCGCATAAAACTAGTTTCATTACCTTCAATTATGTTCAATATTTGTTAAAATGACTAAAAAATTTAATACAGGTATTAAACTTTTAAAATTATTGAATAGTACAAACTTCTTGATATTTGCTAAAATGGTAAGGAATTTAAGCCCTAGAACCGATTACTGTATTGGCGGACTAATACTACAGCTGGTGGACCGCCAAATGCAAGCAAAAACATGTTCAGGTCGGCCCGTAAGAAACTCGTTAACCGAAGTTAAGAATCTTATGGAAGGTAACTCGTTAACCGAAATCTCGTTAACCGAGGCGCTCATTAACCGAGGGACCACTGTACAGTATGATGTACTGGGTCACAGATTTGATGTGTGTAAAATATTGTTAATAGAAAGTGAGATATTAGTATTCTCACACAACTTATTTGGAGTGAAGTCACTGTTGCAATTGTTAAAATAAATCTAGGTTGGTATTTTATAATTTATTCACATCAGCTCTTTTCTCCTCAAAATTGGTTAAATAAGCTTTCATATATCATTATTTTAACAGACATGTTGCAACTCGTGCTGGACGTGACGGTCGACGAGATGAACCTGCAGCAACTTCTTCTAACTTTAGGAACACTGGTACTAGGAGAGGAAGGTGAGGTAATTTTCCATTCTAAATATAAATACAGTATATGTGGACAGTATTTACATGTACTCTACTACACTGTGGTTGATGGGTGAAATTACAAATTAAACCTTGTGAATGTAGCAAGTGTTTTCATGTGGTCTGTCTGTGTATCTGTCAGCCTCAAAGCTTTCACAGGACAGAGCATATGCAGTGTAAGCTGTAGAACATAATACATCCACATTTGCTCATGTTTGTTTCTTTAAGTGCATTTATCAGTGAAACTTCCAACCCCATTTGTTTCATTTTGCAATAGCTACAGATACATGGATAAGGATGTAAGTATAGAACAGTACTGTACTATACAACATAATTTTTGCATATTGATATACATGTTATCAAGATCACATTCTGTAATATGTTCAATGTTTGGTGACCAACAGACAGCAAGGCAATGCCATCGGTGGAGGTGTTGTCCGTGGACTAACAAATGTTAAACGTTTTGGCAATGCCGAGGTTCAGATTGCTGGAAACCTGACTCTGGTAAGAAACTGAATTTATTGATTTATTTACACTCAGCCTTTTCCTGAATCATTTCTCTTGTTTACAGTATTAGTAGTGCTGTAGTTGATCCTTTTAAGCATCTTTATAATAAAGTTTGCATTTCCACCTTTATTTTTGCATAATAAAAAAAAAAACGAATATACACTACCTGTATTGTTTGAAAAACCGTTAAATATGTAGTGGTTACAAAATATTGCACAATACAGTACTGTACAGTATATAAGCATAAATGCAGCATGATTGTTGAAAAATTGTCTCTCCAGAGTTTGTTTACTCTTCACCACAAGTACTGTATAATCAGTGTCTTCAGGGCACTCACCACATTCTCAGTGTTGCTGGTTTAGGTAATTTTCTCATCATTATTATAGTAGTCATAAATTGCATTATCAGCCACCTGAATGTCAGCCAAATGACCGTAAAGTGTGTAAGAAACGGCAGAAATTGTGCCTAAACCATACAACTATACACAGTACAATTTACGTGAGTTTGATCCCCAGGCAGAGTGATACTGTGGGCAAGTTTCTTTACACCATTTTGCTTCTGTCTACCCAGTAGTAGTTGGGGTCCTGATGTTATTCAATTGGCGGATCATTTGGGGACCTAATGTTATTCGATTGGCGGAGTAATAGTTCGCCAGTGCAGTTGGTGACAACTTCTACACCTTAAACAAATTCATGTCTAGGTGGCCCTAAGGCCGACCATTCTCGGATATTAGGGGAGGCAACCTATTATATGCCATGACAAATTCTTTACACATGTTAACTAATTATATAACAAAACTTATAAATATGAAGATGACTGTTTTTTCCTGTTTTTTAAACTTGTTCAAGTTAAATTTTTAGTTAATAAATGTTCTGCCATTCAGGTTCGTAGTCACTATGTGTATGGACCCCTCAACGTGGAGCTTGTCTTCCATACCGACAAAGGTGTTAAAACCATCAACTCAACTTTAACTGCTCTTGCTGCTCATGCTGTTGCAGAAGTCAATGACAATAGCTCCAAACTCATCGATTTCATCATTGACAGGTAGGATTACTTAAGCCACGATATGCAAGCTTTTCTATCCACAGATACATTAAGGAACAAAATGGTCTCTTTCTGGAGACTGGATTTGCTGATGACTGTGAGTGAGCAGCTCCAAGAAACATTTTTGCTGAATCTCCACAGATGGCAATTTTAGCGAGCCAATAGTAAACCTTTGACAGAAGTTTCCCACTTACAGATCCGTGCTCACTGGCTCACTGGGCCTCTGGACTTGATAATAGACTATCGAGCAAGTCCTGGCATCACTAGAGTCCGCACTGGGCTCCAGGCTGTCCAGTTAGATACATTGACTGTTATTGACCGATTTGGTGCTGAAATGTCAGACTTTCATATCGTCAGGTAGGTTGACTGGAGGCGACGAACGACTGGTACAAGTTGCTTTTAATATTTTGAAAGTGCATTATCTCTGCAATATGAATATAATTGAAATATATTTAGGACAGCAGTGTATTATTTCTTTCTTAGTATAATACTGTTCTTTCCTGACAGACGTAAGACTTGATACTACAGTATTAAAGGACAATAATGACAACTTAATTTTTATATGAAATTTGGCTAAATTTTTTAAGTGGTCAGCAAAGAACTTGGCAGCCTGTGAGTCCAGTGTTCTGCCGTTACCATTAACAAGGGTTTACTGGATTATGGTCATGGCTTTAGGATATTGTGTTTACTTCCTGTCATGTCTTAAAGTAGCAAATTAAACTTAATTAGAAATTCATAAGGTAATTTGTTAAGAATATTTTATTAAAACTTTCATACACTGTTCTAAAGCCACATTTAAAAAATTCAAAACCCCCTCTAAAAGTCACAAGTTCTCATTACTTACACTCACTACAGCCCACTGTTTGACTACATGCCGTACTTTGGAAACCGAACCTTGGCACAGCAGCAGATGACTGAGCTTGTGGTGCGCCACCTCTTCTCCAATACCTCCTTCATGTCCCTCCTCTTGCGGGATTCCTTTGAGATTGCCTCCTATGACAAGATTATTCCCCAGTTTGGTACAGAATCAAACTACTATTCTGTCCTCAAGTACCTGTTCAATAGGGTACCAGTTGCAAGTGGCAGGTCACAATCTGTGCCTCAGGGAGTTTCCATACCAGGAATACCCTCGGCCGTGGCGGCCTACCTGGCAAATGCTGCCCACACTGCTCGCGCTGCTCTAGAGAACTTGGGTTAACACCTACATAAAGATGAACATGGAAATTTAGTAACTGAAACACCTCTACTATAAAGGATTTCCAGGTTACTTTTAAATGGTTGGGAGGTCACGCCTTTATGCTGTTACGAGCAGTTGTGAACTTGATCTGAATGCTGATATAAGTTTAATTAACAGCAAGATCATGAATGAGTTTTTATTTGTTTAGAATGAGATCGATGCAAGTGACATTTTCAAATCCATTAGTCAGTATCTTACATAATTGTATGAACCAATTAATTAAATAAGTGAAGTACGTATGTAGATATATCACTTCACAAATTTAAAATGGTAATGCAGTAGTGTAATGTAGAGTATTAGGTACTGCAGCCTACTTTGTTTTTGTGTAGTACAGTATTTTGTTTGAAAGATCAGCACATTACACGTGATGGTCATAGTTCTCTTTCAGCATTATCAACTACTGTATATAGTATTTACATAGAATTTATGTACATATAGAATTCAAAATCAAGTTTTTCTAAAGTTACAGTTACAGTATAAATATGTACATAAATAGGTGTGTATGTTTGTCTACACATAAACTCTCTCTCTACACTACCAGTATTTTCTTTTCACTTTCCTTTTTTAGTTCTTGCTTATTCTTTTTTCACTCTGTCCTTTACTATCAACAAATTAGTGTAACTTATGGTCTGTGATATAAAATTGTTGTTATGACTTAAGCTGGAGAAGTAGAATTACAGTAATGGCAAATTAGGTTACCAGTGGCATCATTAGCAGTCAGCTCTTGAAGTCGCACTCCTCACACTTTGAACACGTTCTTTATACTCGAGATAAAATTCTTGTCTGACGTCCATACATTTTATAAATTAAATACGTACAATAAAACATATTAATACAGTGACCAAAATTATAAAGATTGTGAGTTGAAAGATTTGTTCTTTTAGCGAATTAACACTTTACTATGTCTTGTATTTACTCGTCCTTGTCATAAGTCAGTTGTTTTACTTGGTTGTTGTGCAGCACGAAACACTATTATCTATTTATTTGTTTGCTGTAAATTTGTTTATTGTTTTTGTTACAGTATTTATTTTTATTTCTGTGTTAGTTCTTTTTGGCAATGTTGTCATATATATTTCTTAATGGTTCACATAGTACGTATATATTGACCTTAACAAATAAAACATTAACTGTTCTTAGTATTTTCATTGTATTTGTATAACAGCAAGGGACCGCATTACCTGCCCTGTCCACCCGTCTGTCCAGGAGGGTGCGGCAGGTAACCTTGGACAATACGGTGTAATGAATTACTAAAATGATGAAAGAGCAAATTATAAGAGTTAAACATTCAGATATGTATGAGTGTAATCAGAGGGTTAAAAATGGGTGTTGGTGGTACTGTACAGTAGTAATGTCCATATTTTGGATTAAGTCTCTAGCCTGGGACAGATGTTAGAAGATGTTATCCAGTGTCACACTACCAAGCGTGGCAGGTTTCCTCCAGGTTCTCTGGTTTCCTCTTGTATAATAAAGGGCATAATAAAAGTAACAAAGAACAGACTAAGCGACCAAATGGTTAATAAGCTGATAAATAGTGAAATAATAAATACTGTACATAAATTTAGGTAGTAAAGTTAGTTGTGTGTGAGAGGCTGAGTGAGTGTTGTTGAGTGATGACATGTGGGGTTGTGTGATAGAACATAAGTGGCTCAAGCTCAGAATATTAACTGTCATCAGAGATAACTTCTCTGTATTACGAGTTGTGAACTCTTGGAATAACTTGTTGTGATGGTACCCAGTGTGAGCTCCTATAAGACCAGACTTGACCAACACTAGTGCACGTTTAGGTACATTCTAGAGCTGGTATAAACCCAGAACTTGCCAACAGTGTTTAACACACACATGGCTGACTGCCGGACTGGCTAGAGAGCTGACTAGTGGTGAAGAGGATAAGATAACTATAAAAATGTTGTGTTCAAAAGCACACAAGGGTGACAACGAACTGGCCAGTGACCGAGTTAATCTGCATTTGACAAATCTTCCCTCATGTGCAAAAAAACATCAACAGTCTGGTTTGGAGGTAGAAGCTTAAAATTCACTGATTATATTTGGCTGTATGTAAAAGTATGACAATTTTATGACTTTAGAAATCCCTGTCAGAGAAACAAGTGTCTTTCCAGTTATATTTTCATTGTTTGACAACTACAGTATATACTTACTAATTATGTCGCATAAATGAGACAGAGAAAAAGAGTTGTGTAAATTAGGGTTCCTGTCTTTTATACGAAGGAGAAGGTTCTCTTAAACAGTGTCCACCTGTACAGTACACTACTGACATTCAGACAACAACAGACCACTTAGGACACAAAATGTATGATTAATTATTTGACTGTCAATAAATAGTTCACTGGTAAAGAATATTAAACGAGTAATTTAAATGTTGCCTTGGCAGTATTGTGCAGTGAACAACTTAATAGTACTGTACAGGGTAAATCAGTAACTGGGAGAGGAGTGTACAGCATATGGCTTTCCATTTAATTATAAGAAAATGTTTTTTTTACCTTTTACAGAGGAGTTGTGGTGGTTGTTGCTTCCTGTAAAGGTTCAGGTCGTTTGTGATGGTTTTATGTTACACTGGTCCTTATTATTCAAGTCAAGTTTTTATGATCAAGGTAGTTCACATGATTCACAGTTTGAGGCATCCCACCTGGACTGATCTATTGATACAGAGTTCCCTGCAGTTATAAATATTTCTTCTTATAAGAGTTTGTTACCTTTAGTTATAAGATTTGTTGTTGCAGGCCCCGTTACCAAGACCTGCTGGTGACAGCTCACCCCTCCTACAAGGACCTGTACAAGCAGATACAGTTTGCATCCATCCAAATGCTTTTTTACCCACGATCATTTCTTGTTCTGCGTATGCGCTCAGCTATGCGTCTGGCTGCTTTTGTTCCTGGGCCATCACAGCCCTTTGGTTTAGGCCAATGAAAGATCTTGGAGACAAGAGTAAAAAATCAAAATTATAACTTTTCAATAAGATTTATCTTTAGTATTATTTAACATACACTGCTCCAGCTCTCTCTTTCTGAGACACAGCAAGTTGATATTGTTGTATTAGATGTTAATTCCTGTGTTGTGAACACAACATTGATACTGTGTACAGTATGTAAAACATTCTTCAAATACAGTACTGTACAGTAAACCCTCAACTTACCATGGGGATGTGTCCTCCTCTCATAAGGTGAATCATCACATCTTGGATCTTTACTCAGTTATTGTTATAAATTGTATATAGGTTCCTGGCAACAACAACAACAAAAATAAATAAATAAATACAGGTAATAATAATAATGAAATAAATGAATACCCAATATAAATGTCCCCCCAAAAAACTAATATACAAAATGCAGTAATTAATACAGTACATACACTGATAATCTGCCCATCACAAGAGAAACCCATCACATGGATCCTGCTACTCATAGAATACACTGCCACAAATAAAGCTCTCTAAAAGTAGCAAGTAACAAATAACTGTTGGAATTCTTCTAAAATGTAGCTTTACTACTGTTTTTATTACCTTTCCTCAAAAGGAGCAGCGCTACAGCTACTAAAAAAGTAGTGCTAGCTCTGCTCCTAGTGGTGGCAATACTCTCAACACTGAAAATAAGGTGATATCACACACCCCTGATGCACTCCCTCACTAGTTCCCAAATACAAATTACCTGAGCTTGAATTCTGTTCTGTATCTAGGGAACTTCATCCCTATGTTGTATGTTGAATATTTCATCCAGTAGTTCTCACATGTGCTGTTTTTATCATAAAAAACTTTCAGCAGTTTAAGTGTAGTCTTGATTGACTTCTCCAACTTTAATCTGACCTGACAGTCATGGACATAATGTGACATGGTTGATGTGAGAGACACAAGGACAATTTTAATTTACGTTTTATGTGTTATATATTTTATCTTATTTCCAGTTTAGTTCATAGATCTGGTCTTTGTCTCCTCTCTCTTAGTTTCTTTCTCTCTGAAAACTAAAATAACTAAAAAAATTAAGTAATTTTGTGATATGACGGATGGCACAACCTGACTGTAACATATACACTCATAATAGGTTTTTATTTTTTGTTATGGTAGAGACTAATGAGCTTTAAAAGTACTGTTTACAGTAGTATGCTATTAGTAGTTTGTAAAACAGCACTTGAGATGACACAATAGTTTCAAATAACAAAAAATATATAATGTTTAAATAACACGCTTGTTTTCTTTACATGTCCTGATAGTGCTTGAGGCTCACCCATACACCACGAGCTCTATGTGCTGTACAGTACTGTACTTCAGTTCAGAGAATATGTACACTCACCCCAAAAAAGTATCTTTACGAAGGGTTCAATGAGTTTCAAAATGAAAACTGCAACTCCAGTGTCTCCGGGTTGTTAAAATCCTTCGTCTGTTGTGTCATATTATTTCACACAAAATCATAAAGATACTTTCTGGAGCGAGCGAACCTGTACTCTTAGGAGTGCAGTGGTCAAGTGGATACAGCACTCACCTCCTGTTCCAAGAGTCATTGGTTCAATCCTGGAGTATTTCAGTCCAACCAGCTGTTCATGGGTATCAAACTTTACAAGCTGGAAAAGAGAAGGTAGTTAATTGTGGTGTCAGTCATGCTGCCTCCTTGTGTCCCAAGTAGGCAGTCATGCATATGGAACCCTCTTTACTTTAACCTTCACTCTTGAATGATTTACTGATCTTTGGCAGTTGATAGTTAAGGACAGTAATTTGTGACACAGTCTATACTGCATATATCTTATGAGATTGTCTTTGTTTCTTCTATGTCATCAGAGAAACAAGATTCATATTATATCAAACTTAAAACTAGGAAGGCTGAAGACTGACTCAAGACTAAAGACTGATGATGAGTAATTAAGAAATTATAAAACCATGAAGAATTTGGAGATTAATTGGTTTCAATAATAATCCACAAGTATGGTGGCTACAGTGTTTCTAATATATATTTATTTATATAAACATTATTTCTTGTAAAATTAAAGTTGTCACCATTCTTTTCTTTTCTTATTGGGAATTGGCAACAGTAGTCCAACATATGTAAGGTTTATCTCATGTGTATCTTAAGTGTCAACCTTCATGTTACCACCTAAAGATTTATATGTATGTAACTCTTAGATGAGAAGAGCAACTGTCCCTATACTCACATTAACTGTAGTGACTTTTAACCTAGCCTTACCATCCCTAACACAGCCTCACCATCCCTAACACAGCCTCACCATCCCTAACACAGCCTCACCATCCCTAACACAGCCTCACCATCCCTAACACAGCCTCACCATCCTTAACACAGCCTCACCACCTCTAACATAGCCTCACCACACATACATAAACCCTTGTTTCTACAGTTGACAGTCAAGTAATATTATAGTACAGTATAGTACAGTATATCCTCTTGTAAACCAACATACCTATATTTTGTGTCCTAAACTTAACTAGGTTTGGTAAGTATGGTACCTATACTGTAAATATTATAAACATAAATAATGTACATTGTTACATCTTCAATACTGCCACTTGTCTCACTTTTTGGAAACGAAACATTCAAAATCTGGAAAGTTGGGACAAACAAGTATCATGTGTATAGTACTGTACAGTAGAATATCCTAAGCATTTGGAGATCTTGTAGGGAGCACATTAGTGTCCCTGTCAAAGTGATCAACTTTTGGTGCTAGACAGAGCTATTTGTTGTTACCATAGCAACTTAAACAGTGACTTCTGGAGAGAAAATCCCACAAACCTCAGTTTGTATAACATATATTTTCTACTCTAGATGTGTTCCTGAAAGACTGGGTGCCATAAGAAACAGTCCTATAACATGGTGCCAGTGGAGATGTGTTGGTGGCAGCACTATTTCTTACAAAGGAGTGTTACTCGAGATTTTCATTGGGTATCAGTAATAACCCTAATAATGATCCTGTACAAATATTAAATGTTTTAAACCATTTTGTGAATAAAATTAATTATTTTTAATGACAACTGATATACTGTACATAACTCATGAATACGAGTATATTCAGTCAGAGCTTCCCTCGGATTGCCCAGCATCTGCCATTGCTTCTAGTCTGATCCTACTCCTACATGGAGACCAGCTACCTTTCCAATTTCTCCAGTAAAATGCATCTTGAATGAGTTGTCTTCCTAATTCTTAACAAAGTGATGGATTGGGCAGAAATCCTTCCTTATACTGTATTGTCTGTATTTTTAAGAATGGTTCAAATGGTTCACACAGCCAAATGAAAGTGCTACCTGATGCCCTCTCACCTCTAAATGTTTTATCATCTGCAGTTTTACATCCACACTGATGTTTTTCTTGGCTGAATTACTGTACTGCCAATACCACTTGTAGGCCTTTTTCTACACATGGCTAAAAAAAATTTTTTAATAATTAGCACCACAACGGAGTAAATACACATCTGTGGTAACCATTGAAAACTGATGGAGGCACAGGCTGTTTAACTGAGTTGTCATCAGTGTAGTATGTCCTTCTCAATCACTAAACTTGCAGCTCAGAGAAGTGAGAACATTGAACATCTCTTGACGTTGCCAGAACTTTTGAACCCTCATATAAATTTTAGAAATTCTTTTATTGTAAAATTTCCAGTAGAACTTTGAGCATTATAAAAAGACACAGCACACAGAGATTCGCCTGTAATGGATTAAAATATGGTAACAGTCATTGAGATTAATTTAAAATGGTCATCTCTGGTAAAGTTTCATATTTTATGTGAAAGAGTTTGAGGGCTGTGAGTTTGGATGGATTTAATAATTATATCCTTCCAGTGTCTGATATAGTGCACAAATACTATACACGTAGCATTTATATGGGTCTGTAGGAGGAACCTCTATTCAATAATTTTAATCACTCTTTGCAGCCCAGCCGAGTATGAGATACGTCTTGTGGGAGCTCAGAACGAACGATACCAACGAATAAGTCAATCTGCCCTCTTGAGACTCTTCAAACCCACTGGTCGACTCGAACGTCGGTTACGAGGAGTATACGTGCGGTCACGGTCGAGACGCATACCTGATGTCGTGGCCAGAAGTCAGAGGAGAAATAGGAATAGAAACAGGAATAAACAAAAAGGTTCATCGAGTACAAACACTGAAGAAACAACTACAAATGGCCAAGACGGTGGAAATGGAAACAGTGAGAGGAGTAATGACCAAGGAAGTGCACAAACAGAAAATTCACAAGTGTCGGTGAAAGAACCAGAATTACCTTAAACTATCTGGTTAATACAAGACATTACAAGGAAGAAATTTTAGAGGTCTCTTAATTCCAAAGAAATTTCTATTTTTAATTTTTTTTTATTAATTTCTAATATTGAGATGTTTTTTGTGATATGCCCCAATATGTGGCATTAAATACTATATACATGCCATAAAAAAATCATACACTGTAATCCCAATAAAAACACTTGTCCAAATATTATTGATAATAAACTGTAAGATGTATTGATTATTCATTGCATGGGTCTTCTTCCTAGTCTTAAAAATCATGCTAAAGAAGTAGCTTTCAACACATACTAATAAATGTTAAATAATGCTACTTATAATGAGTTACTGAAGTTGGGTTGGTTAGATGTTGTCTCACCTGTTAATGATCCTCTGTTGGGGCAACTGACCTTATGAATTAACCTCCTGTCCTAAGATTCTCTGGTTGGTACCCGGGTCACCCTCAGTCCACCCAGTCGTGAATGGGTACCTAACTTAACAGTTGGGGAAGGGAAGGAGTTGAGGACAGTGCCAGCCACACTGCCTCCTTGTATTCTACAAAAACGTTTTAGTTTACACTATTGTATCCCCACTGCCCCTAATTAGCAGTCAGGCCTACAGAACCTACAGTACTTTTCATTTCACATGACCAAATAGAAGGTCTTCTCAAAAACCTTCAGCAAAGAAAGTGCATTTACAATTAACAAAAAAGTAATAAAACAAAATGGGTTTGGAATGTTACATAGTTTCCTACAGAACAAAGCATAGATTCTGAAATCATATTGTAAAGTATCTATGGTCAGTTGACTCAATACTGTACAGTACTGACAGCCCACTGAGGACCACAGTCAATGGGAGAGATTAGGTGCAAAGTTTGCCCTCTTTAGACAGGTCTAATATTACATACCTGCCTGCCTGTCCAATCAACTCACACATCTTGCCAGGACTACCAGCTGCTAACTTAATATCAAGTTAATCTACCCTGTTTATAGGTGTGGCTGCATCAGACAACCACTCCCTTGACTGCTTATATACTTTATTACAAAAGCTAAAGTCTTGAGCCTCTTTATCACACCCTCAGGGATGGTCAACAGGAACTACTGTAATCCCAGAGGTTGTCATGCAGTTAAAACTTACTGTAGGTCTCATGTTACGTCAAATCCTCAATTTGAACTACATTTAAGTACACAAATAGAAACTTGAGTCAGATAGCTGTAACTAATATGGATACAACTACAGTACAGTGTCTGTATCTTTCAAAAGACCGAACTAACAACATGAGTAAGGGGAAAGTTGTCAGGTTAAGGAAGCATGCATACCAACACACTAGCCGGCTTCAAACTATCATTAATAAATGCAAACATTAGTATTGTGCATCACAAACTTCACCGAGACACAATACTAACACACAAGACTGTATTACCACCAAAGGCAATAAAAGTGCACTGAGCTTCCAATACAAGTTGATTGCGATTGACAAGAACTGACAAAGTTGATCTTGCTTGGTTTTTTGTGGCCAGACCAAAAAACAAAACAGGAACAAAGAGCATGTTTGCTTTAGTAGTGAAGACCATCTCACTAAAGTGGCAACAGCCATACCTACAGTAGTGTCTCCTCTTGAGGGACTTGGCTTAGTTGAGAAGGTTCACCTAATATTCTAAGTTCCAGGTTTTAGAATCTGAAGGTTTCAACTGTATAAACTTATTGACTGTGTTTGTGTTACCTGGTACTGGCAGGAGGTTAGAAATCTTTCATTATGGCTGAGTTTTAAAATAAATTTATACTTCTGTCACCAACATGAGGGCTATAATACAATACATTTCTGCACAAATTGGAGAACAAAAATCATATTTCCAATTTTCAGTTTTATTGTTAATTAATTTTTTTTAATTTCTTTGGTCATTCATATTCATTATCCTTTATTAATTTCTTTTCATAAAATTTCCCTAAAGCTAGAAACTAACAGTCTAGTGTACAGTATATTGACAGCTGACTGCGCTACAGCTCGTCCATTATATTATCAACTGATTTACACGATTAAACAAATCTTTCCTTTCAAATAATTCTTCACACAGTGTATTAAATGTATCTGGTATTTATTCCATTAACAATTATTTTCTTTATAATAAAACTTGCTCATCTTAACTTCATATTTGGTTGTAAGTGATTTGGTTCCCATTATTGTTATCCCAATTATAGCAAATTGTTTATGGTGTAGGACATCATAAAATACCGAAACAGACTAATAATATAAATTAACTGACACTGAGGATACCTGGCACTATTGTATCAGTGTTCCACCTTATACACTCGCCAACATTGTCTTGGTGTACACTGCCATTTGACCACAGGTGACCAATCTCCCTATACGTAAAGTTAGTACAAATATATCTGAATGTTCTTTATTATGTAAAAGAAGTAAACACAAAAGCAAAATACTACTTCTGCTACTGAATATTAGGAAGATAATTAAAAAAAACTTTCACATATGAAGAAATACTACAAATTAATTACTAACCCTCAAAGGTGAAGTACACATTATGTAATATAGCAAAGAGCGCTAAACTAAAGGGCAAGTAGTATAACAAGCGTATTATGCAAACCAACACTGATGCCTCAAGCTGATATGTTCCGGTTTCCCAGAAGACAGCAGCATTCACAGTGTGCCGAGCATCTACTCTCCACGTACGTCTTCAGTCCCTACTAGACCTAACAATGAGAGAAACAGTGCAATTAGAGTAACTGAGAAGTGATCAGCCAGCCATCATTTATCTCATAACCTATACTGGTTACCATTACTGTGCATGATAATGATAAAGCAAGCAAAAGACAAGATAAATAGTGAGTTATCAAAAAATAAAATAAAAGAGAAACTGGACAGCAACATAGTAATAATTAAATGAGAAAGCTGGTAAAGATTTAATAATAATAATAATCGAAGTGTTGTGTAGTTCTTAATCTGTTGAAGCTTGTGTCTCTCCACCCACTCACTCACTCGTGCAGTTAAAGTCTACAACTGGAAACAAATGGAACAAAAAAAATCACACAATCACTGTATATTAAGGATAAGTTAACACAATCACTGAAAAAATAAATTTACACAATCACTGCATTAACAAGATAACACAATCATTATTATCAACCTTAAAGCACGGAATTTAGACAGCAGTACACAGAAAACCTCCAACACATACAGTACAGTACAGTACAGTACACAGCATGAAAAGGAATGATAAATACAGTCAATGTAATGAAAACTTTCCACTTCTCCATCTACAAATTCCCTTCCTCGTATCTCCATTTTATTAGGTGAACCTCGGAGAAACATTGAATAGAGAGAGCAAGTACTGTAACCCACCATACTGGAGTTAACAATGATACTACCATACTGGAGTTAACAATGATACTACCATACTGGAGTTAACAATGATACTACCATACTGGAGTTAACAATGATACTACCATACTGGAGTTAACAATGGTACTACCATACTGGAGTTAACAATGATACTACCATACTGGAGTTAACAATGATACTACCATACTGGAGTTAACAATGGTACTACCACACTGAAGTTAACAATGATACTACCATACTGGAGTTAACAATGATACTACCATACTGGAGTTAACAATGATACTACCATACTGGAGTTAACAATGGTACTACCACACTGAAGTTAACAATGACCACTGTAGGAACTAAGAGGAACTAGAAAAATAAACCAATAATTTTGGGGTTATAAAAACAAACAATAATTCTACCATTCACAATATAATACCTGGGAGTAAACTAAACCTAACGAAAGTTGTATCATGAATAAACTAGTCATAATCTACCATCATAAGAGTTAACTAATGTGGTGAAACTTATCATAGGTGGTAGTAAAGCAGTAATGCACATACCTCTCACTAATGTGTCCTGGGTTCAATCCCCGGCCTGGGACAGACGTGAGAGGGGTGTTGTCCGGTGTGACACTACCAAACATGGCATATTTTCTTCAGGTATTTCTATAGTGTTCTCCTGTGCTAACACTGGACAATAAATGTCATGCTAAAGTAACAATGAACAGACAAACCGCCCGAACCCTGAGATTTGGACTCATGAACCCGAAGCAGCAGACTGATGCATTATACTGTTCATAAATGCTTCAGATTCATGAGTCTAAATCTTGGGGTTCGTGGTTCAGGGGGAGAGATAAAAGGACTTTCGTAACTGACAGTACAGAACACTAATGGGACAAAAACCCAAATCTGCATATAACTGGCTCTCTATGATCCCAGTAAAAATAAAAAATAAATAAATAAATAAAGCCTAAACTATTAATATCATTGCTTAAAGCTTGAACCAAGGCATCCTAGTACTGTCCTCTGCATAATCTTTAAAATACAGCAGCAGTATATTACACCCACACTCCTATCAGCACTTGGCATCACTGTGACCTCTGAACAATATGACGAAAAATGTTTGTATCTCACTTATTTTTTTTTTAAGGTCAATAGCAAGGGAGAAAAGTACACTATACTTAATTACCTTAGCTGATAAAAACATGGCTGAATAAAACCTCAAATTATGCACTTAAGGGACATCATGGCTTTTGACCATGTACAAGTATAAACCATACAATGACCAAATTAAAAAAATTTAAGAGGTTTCTATGCATACTGGACCAAGGTACTGTACAAGGCTCCCAAGATTCAGAGATTAATCTGCCAAGAACTGAAAGAGAATGATCAAATGCTGTTAAGTATCTGCAAAACAAGGAAAAACACTCTAGTTTCCATCCCCTGTGGAAAAGAATGAAAGTACTGTAATGGGAAAAACAAGGTTGTGTTAAGTCATCACATAAATACCATTAACACTCATAAATCAATATTGAACTGGGCAATAAAACATGAAAAAAAGCAAGCAAAAAGCAATGTATTTACATATATAAAGAGAGAAGAAGGTACTCATCAGCTCGAGACATTGGGTGGGCACGACAAGCAGTAAACAATCTTAATCTTGAACTTCAGCATAAATAGTCTCTTCTTCCCTACCTTGATGACTTTATAACCTAAACTGCAGCTAAGGATTCCCTAACCCCACCACCACCAAGGAACATGAACTGTCCACTGGTGATGACTGCCGTCTCTACAGCTAACTTACACTGGTGATGGCCGCCGTCCTACAGCTAATTTCCACTGGTGATGGCCCCCCTACAGCTAACTTCCACTGGTGATGGCCGCCGCCTACAGCTAACTTCCACTGATGTGATTCCACTGGCCGCCAGCTAACTTACACTGGTGATGGCCGCCGCCCTACAGCTAACTTCCACTGGTGATGGCCGCCACCTACAGCTAACTTCCACTGGTGATGGCCGCCCGTCCCTACAGCTAACTTCCACTGGTGATGGCCGCCACCCCTACAGCTAACTTCCACCGGTGATGGCCGCCGTCCCTACAGCTAACTTCCACTGACGATGGCCACCGTCCCTACAGCTAACTTCCACTGACGATGGCCACCGTCCCTACAGCTAACTTCCACTGACGATGGCTGCCGTCCCTACAGAGTTGCCAAAATACTGATAGATCATGCACCCCAATACACTATTGAGGAATGTATCAAACTACTGTACTCTCACAACACAAATAATTATGTAATACAGTAACATAATCTAAGCCAACCAGTGATCATTGTTTTCATTTACAGTACTTTCACTACAACATACAGAAGTACTTAATATCAGCTTCAATAAGTAAATATCTTTATTTATGATTTTTTATTTACTTACACTCAATAAGTGAAATGTTCATTCTTCTTTTAAGTCAATGGTCCTAATAATTGTCATCCACAGTGACATGGTGGTACAGTACTGTATTTACTGCTACAGTATCTTGCTCATATCTCAGTAAATATTATAAAAAAGTAAATTTGACTGAACTTAAGACAAAATATGTGTAATCAATCCTTTAGGTGCAGTGTTCCTTTCTTGTCCAAAAACTTATTGATGACAAGAAATGACCTGCCCGGTACAGTACTATTCTCTACATACTTCGTCTCCATTTAAAATTTATTTAACAGTACAGTATTGCAGAAGTAACATATGAATGTACTTATAGTATTTACAATTTTTGAGATGGAAGTAACTTAAGAAAAACATTTCTTTAAGCACCAAAATGATGAAGCACGTGTGAATATGATATGGTGAGGCACTGCTAAGTACAGTATAAATAATGGCTTACACATAGAACTGAGGTTCCTGTAAACAGCTACAGTATTTCCTTAGTTTACTTGTATCAATTTCAGGGACTGATAGGTTCTACACAGTAACTCAAACCATCACCTTTAGTATAAAAACATAATGAACTTAAATATAATTGGACGCAATTACTCAACTAGACATCAGTGTACACATACAGTACTAAATACTGTACCTCTACAGTACAGTACTTCAGTATTAATTCAAGATGTGTTAAAAATGGAAGTTGTGATATCTTGTTATTACACCAATGTTGGTCTGCTGCTGTGGCAGCCTTTATATAATTGCTATTGGAATGGAATATCTAAACACTATGAAATTCAAATTATCTTCATATATTTGAAGAAAACATTTTTTGTACACACAGTGTACAGTACTGATTTATTTAAAAAAAATTTAAGTTGGGTTAAGTTATAAAGTGCACAATTGTATCTTATGTTACTTATATCTATTTTGAACAAAGGTGACAGTATAGTACAGTACAGTATTCAGACCTTCATTCACTTGGCAAAAGTATGAGTACAGTATTAGCAAGACACTTGCATAAGATTTACTGAGGGTGTTGTAAACACACACAACACACTCGGGTACACCTACACAAAATCAATACTGTAATGTAATGTAGCAGCACCTGTACCTCTCACTTTCTTTTTCAGTTACTGTTAATTCAATTTATAAAATCTGGACACACTAGCCAACACCTTTCTCCAAAAGAGACATAAGTAACTTATTTATCAATGTTTCTCCAAAATTTTAATAACCAAATGGATGACACATAAAACTGTACAAAATAACGTGTCGTACATAAAAAGCAGACTCATTATTTACATCAGCTGCCAAATTCACAAAACAGTGTACAGTATGTGATGAAGGTCCTCTTAATAACAATGGTAAGTTCATATAGCCAGTACAGTACAGTACTCTACTAAATAAAGTTTTTCACAGGTCATCAACTGCCAAATGAAGTTATCTAAAGTAATATTTACTAATAATTTTTAGAGAAACATAATTTAGAAACACTGCAAGAATGTTAAAACTAAAACTCTTTTCCCTTTTTTTACGTTACATCATATAAACCATTTTTTTTATTATTGGCACTTCATAACTTGATTAATTAACATCAAAGGTTTTCACTCTGCCATAGCAACTCCATCTAAACCTTCCATATTGGTTATTCTCTACACAAAAGAATATTTTCTCTGACCTTCAATTCTTTCAGAAAATAAGTAAACCAACTATTCTTAACGAGTCCATTTGTTATCTATTTTAAACTATGACAACTCCCTTTACTTTACCTTTACAATTTTCTTTAGTACTTCTCCTTATTCATGGTCTTATATTCACATCACCTTCACATTTCTGGAGATCAGTATAATCTCCTCTACAAATATCTTACTGTCTATTTTCTCTCATCATAATAGTGTGTCTTTACCTTTTCTTCTCCCCTTCAACTGAACATACATCAAA